TTTGGCTGGTGCTTTGATCTTACCGCTGCAATCCCCTCGGCCGGGCCTTGACATTGACCATGGCCATGCCTATGGGATCATCTGCCTCGTGAAGCTTCAAAGGTTTAGGGGCTTAAAGGAGAACGGTCATCCCTGTTCCCGAAGCTTCATCCTGCAGCTTGGATCTCAAGTAAGCAAGCCTTGCAGTTCGCAGCTGTCGCATCCTGAAGACCGGGAGCCCTGCATCTTGCAACCCCCATTCCATCGCTAACGGCACGAAGAGGCACAGGACTCAGCTGCTCTGGGCAAAGGCGGAGCTTTAGCTAAATACACAGCATCTCCTCCCTGTAAACCTCCAGAGCCTTGAAGTTTGGAATCCCGACATCCACGCCAAGCTTCACCGTGAATCCTGAACCCAGAATCCGAACACCAGTAACTCAACAAAGCTTCCCCTGAACCGCAACCCTGTCATCCCAACCCTAGAGTCTTAGAAGGCCGCAAATTCTAGATCCAAAAATCCAAACCCTAGATCCTGTACCCTAATCCTGAGCCCCAATCCCCAAATCCCAAGAGTTTATATATGAAACAGCCAAGCCCCGCACCCTACTTGCCTGAGCCCTTAATCCCGAGCTAAAACTAAACTCTCTATTGCCGCTCCCCCTCCCACCTTGAAGTCTGCCTCCTCTTTTGCAGCCCTCTCCACCTCCTCCTGACATGCTTCGGCCGGGGTGATTTGCAAAGCGCTCTCGTGGGGATTCACAATACACATACTACATGTACGAGTGTATGTGTGTGTGTACTGTATATACTCGTTAGATATGTATGAAAGGGAAAGTGACCAAGTTCTGCCCAGCCCTGGGACGGAAGCTGAAGGCCCTGGAGCCTGCTTGGCTCTCAGCGAGGCTGCGCGTTCTGCCAGGCTCTCAGCGGAGAGGCCCCCGCCCCCAAGCTGTTGCAGGGCCAGAACGTCCTGCACCAAGGGATCGCTGCTGACCAAAACAGTGGGAACACACATGCCGTCCAGAAGAGCCGCTGCCTCTAAGGCTGGAGCATACGATCGAATCGCTTCGAATGCCAGGCTCCGCCGATTCAGGGCCTCTGCACACCGGCTTGGGGGGATGTAGAACTTCGGATTTCCTTTGATGCGAGAAGGGGGGCTCTGAAGCTGGCAGGCACTTTCAGCGATTCGGGGGTTTAGGGCTGGGGGTTTGTCCCCTGCTGTCCCATTCATGCGGAGTTGCACATTGCACCTGAAGATGCCACTCGACAACCGGGATGACTTGTAGGGATGTGTGACAATGGGGATGAGCGTGAGCTGTGAGTCTTGCGGTTGGTGTAAGACAAGAGGATTCGAGCCCTCAACCTGCCATGCGCCGCCTTGACACCCGGTGCCATCATATCCACGGTCCCAGCCTCAAAACCCCAACCTCAGGTCGCGAAATCGAGCCCCCAACCTTTCCAAACCACAGAAGCTGGGATCCCAAGACCCCAAAGCGGCCTTGGCGTTTGACGGGTCCAACTGCAAGCAGGAATCTGCAGATTCGATGGCTCGGCGATAAAGCTCTTGGCCTAGACAATGGGGTTTGTGATGAACGAACGGGATTTGCAAGATTCAAACCCGATGCAGCATTTGAGGTACATGGACACGTGCACACCTACCTACACATATGCGTGAATGCACGCCTATGCGAACGATGCTTTGCTTATAAGACAGCAAGCGAAGCTGCTGAGAAAACACTGCGCAATGTTGCTGTAGAGCACCGCCTTCAACTCGACCTCGGCTAGCGAGCACTTGCTTGCCTGGCTTACGATCTGGGTCCAGGGAGCCCGAAGTGTCCAGGAAGTGGACGTCTACAAAAGGAGGCTTGCGAGGCCTGAGCGTACAAGTACCTTCCAAACACTTCCTACTATGCCGTTTCGACTTGCAGGGTCGGTGGGCGCGAGAACTATAACGGGCGTGTTGAGGGGAGTCTTCCCAGAGCTTCCCATAAAGTGGAAAGGACCCTGACATCCAGATTCAGTGGATTTCGCTACCGCGACTCACTGCTTGTCTGTGCCGACTCAAGCAGTCTCAGAGAAACCCCAAACCCTGGGACTTGTGTGGGCAAGGGTGTTTTCGGCGGTTTGTTTGGGAGCCTGGAGTATGTTCATCCTTGTAGGCAGGATCCGGTTCAATGAGCTGCCGTCTTTCAGCCAACACACACTATTGGAATCAAGCATCCAAAAAGCCATGTATAGTATGCCCATGCCGCACTGTTCAACCTCAAACCACAAATTTTACGCTATCTGAGAACCCTAGACCCGACAGAAATGAAGGAAACATAGACATCTTCCGAGCTGCCATCTGCTGCCCCTCTGTCCGAAGAATAGGGTGGCCATCTGCCTGCAAGGGACACACATCAAGGACGAGTTCGATTCATGGTTGTTAGGCCTAGGACCACTTGAATTGGCGGTTCCCAGTGTGTCGGGGTTTCGATTGCAAGATTCCTGACATGGAGCGTCGGTGGTACTTGAGGCGTAAGCGGTAAGGACTCGTTGAAACTTTGTCGATGCGTGACCCCGTCTCGCGGGTCCATGGCTATAGGAGGATCTTGGATGCGCGAAGCACACGAAGCACTAATTTCAGCGAAGCCTGGCCACCTCCACCCCTGGACCCGTGAAGGCACAGACAGCCTCATGCACACCAGGATACCCGTCTCTGTGGAACCCTAGTCCCATGCTGGTCCGGGTCCTTGTCCAGGATGCTGATGCCATGGGTGTAGGAGGTCACGGCATCGGAGTAGGCCTTTCGCTTCACCGCGCTGTTGCCCTCCTCGTGATCTTTCGGATCTACGCCCATACAGGTGCTTCCAGATGCCTGCTCTCTCGAACTCGGCCAGTGGGAACTTTTACTAAGAAAAAAGCTTCTCGACTCTGTATGTTCAGACAGGGGAACTCAGAGTGCAAGAACTTTCCGTTCCCTTAAATGGCTTCTCCCCATACAGCCACTAGCATCTTTGCGTATCTGCGCCTTAAACTTAAACGGTCTCTGGCCCTGCATGCATCTGACCACTGACATCTTACCACAACTTGATGTTCTTAGGCTCTGCAGTCACCCCAGTTGCTGAAGCAATATGGATGAGGCAAAGCTGTGTTGCAGAACGATGCCTAGGCCAAATGGCACATGCTACTCCTTGTGCCCTTGGGCAATTTCATTATTCGCAGCTGAGCGGAACAAGTGTGACGTTCGAGGGGCATGATTCTCAACACTGCACACATGGAAGCCAGTTTGGCTTCAAAGTAGTGTGTGTTGGGCTTTCGGTTTATGCAGACATCTCTGGTTCTCAGCGTGGGCTCTGCTCCTCCTTCTGCTTGGTCGCCGCTTCAATCAACGGGATGCAGTCGATGATCCTTGGCATCCGTTTGGGGTTCGACCGCTGCCCTGAAGCCTCGACCCCTTCATTCCCAAACCCTATAAGCCCTAAACCTCCCTGAGCCTCCGTCAACCTCCCTCAACCAAAGCCTCCCCAACAATTCTCTAAACTAAACCCTTTCGAAACCCTAAACCCCTAAACCCTAAACCCCCCGATCCGAACCAGGTTTGCACAGGCGATCCCAGGCTCTGTGGCGGGGCCTCCTCTTCCGAAGGCGCCATGGCCGAGCCGCGGGCTTTGGAGCAAAACTTCTACTAGATTATGATAACAAGCGCTGCGGCCTGGATTGAATTACGAACAAAATTGGTATAGAGGCCTACTTATTTTGTCGTCGGCTTGCGGCCTTTCGACACGCTCTGTTCTCGTCTGGGACTTTCGGGGTTTGAGGTAGGGCGAATCGTGCAGTTCGGGGCTTTCGGCGCTGGCCTCGGATTCCGGCGGTTCCAGAATATCCTCTCCACCAGTTCTTTCTTCGGCGTGGGAGAAAATACGGATTTGGGTTTGGTTTGAGAGGTTCGCTTACTTGGACTTGGAGTGCCTCAAGAGTTGAGCCACAACGCTGCCGCCCTTGGACATCCTCTGCCTGAGAATCCTTGAACCCTTCATCTCGATGCCCTGCATGCAAGCCTCAATGCTGTGGGACCCAAACTGAGTCCTAAACTCTTCCACCTGAGAGCTGTGCACTTGGTCGGGTCGGTTTTGGGCATTACGGCCAACTGCTCGTGCTTGAGAGTTTCGGCAAAAGGACAGATCAGGCGAGTTAAAAAGAGACGTAGCCGGTACCCCCTCAGCCCAAAGATTCTCCAGACCCAGCAGACCCTTGCCTTTTTGCACTCAGCACGATGTGCAAACGGACAGCACAGAGCCCGCTGTAGGCAGCCTCGAAACTTCGAACAGCGACCCATTGAATCACGACCGTGCGAATTCGCCTGAAGCATTTATGCAGAGAACACGCTATGACTCCTCACACCTTTCCTCTGCAAACAGTTCCACATCGGACTTCTCTGCCAAGGCTGGGAGTGCGGCAGCAACGCCTGCCGGGTAGACACACCGCCTATCTCGGACAGGGGCTGTCTTCTCTTGCAGCTAGGGTTTGCACGTCAGCGACTTCTGCGATTTTCTGGCTCCGACTGCCGGATCTGGATCTAGAGGTTACAGGGTCCAGGAGTTTTCTGAGTTGCAGCCGTTTCGAACACCTGGAGAGTTCTGTTTTGGGTCTTGGCTTCAAGCTTGAACGCAAACACCTGAAGCCTTGCTGGCACCAGGCACTCGAGGCACAAACAAAAACGCTTCTCTTGCTGAACGCTCAGTGTCCCGGACAAGGGCTTTCGCGCTTGGCTCCGGGGTCTCTGAATGGAAGGCTTCCAGCTTTTGAGATGTTGGGGGGGAGGGCGGAGAGCCAGCTAGACCTCCACCTGGAGTCCTGCTCCCTTTTTTTGCTTTCGCGTCGCCACAAGTCTGCGAGACACCAATACCCAAAGAAGCCATGACACTAGCAACCGATCATCAAGGTCTGCACACTCAACCCTGAACCTTCTTCAAACCTCCAACCCAAGTCCAGCCATGCAGAATAGAGGTTCAGAATCTAGGTTTGCGAAGAGCAGTGGCTCAGCCGGTGCATCTGTTCACGATTACCTGCCAGGGAAGGCTCCGCTGATGACAAAGGGTACTCTCGAATCTGCGTTCTGTTCTGTGGTGAACTACAACGGCCCTTTCCGCAAGAACAATGCTAAGGACGCTACTCCAGAAATTAGCACTTCATCACAAGCCGCGAAATTACACCCAACACCCAAACCACTAAATTCGATGTAAAAACTCAACGCACTGTCAAAAAACAGTGGATCCGAGTGCAAACCAAACCAAGTCATGAAGGTCAGGCGTAGCCAGTACAGGATTCGGGCTGTGACTCTTCAGAAATTACTGTACCTTACGAGTATCTGATGCCATGGGGTTGATTCAAGGCGGCTACAAGGGCTTCGAGAACAGGTTCCTTAGAATGAGTGACATGTCCAAAACTGCTGGTTTTGCGTATACGTAATTGTATAGCAATGTATATAGCTGCATGGTAAGATAACACAATCGACACCAAGGCAACGTGTCGCATCATCTCTCATGGTACTGTCAGCACCTACCTCTCTCTCTCGCTCTCGTGTACCCTTTAGATAGCACCTGCAATCCCTTTAAATCCCTGGTAACATCCCTACAACCCTACTGAAACCCTTCGAACAAGCTGCCCTTATCAGGTACATCCACTCCCTCCCCATCCCAGCCAGCAGCAAGCCCAGCACGCCCAGCACGGCGATGCCGACGAGTCCCACGAAGCTCCAGGGGCCCCGGACTGTGCAGGGACTTCGGTGCACAGAGGGTTTTGGGGCTTTGGGAACGCTTGGAATCGGGCTTCGCAGTCGGAGCCTCATGGGCATGGGATGGGGGCCCTGGTTGCTTTCGGAGTCTGGCCCTTCGCGTTTCCTTCGCGGCTTGGCAGATGAGTCCCGAAACCCGACCGTGGCACGGTCAGTGTTTTCTGGAAGGCCTGAAGTCTCCGTCAACCTCGCCGAGAACCAATTCGAAGCAAAGCCCTAGATTCCCTAGGTCAAATGATCAAATCTACTTAGCTTTGGGTTTGTACTTTGAAGTTTGGAGTCGGCCCGGCCTGATCCGTGAGAATGGGGAGAGCCCAGTGACGATGCCTGCGCCTCCTCCGAACAAATGGGCGAACCTCTTTGTCTGTTGCTTCCTTGATTTCCTTCTTACAAGGAGTGGGCAGGTTCAATTCAGGTCAGGTCGCGTGAGATGGAGTTTGCATAAACATTCGGCCAAGCAATGCCACGAAGACCTGCAATCGTCCCATCCAGGCCTCCTCCGTTGGGGGCTCGGTGGATGGAGCCTTCCGGTTTTGGAACTGTTGAAGCATCGGGCTTCAGAAGTCTCCCGGTGTTTACGGAGATGGGCATGGCTGGTCCCTGTCGGTAACTGCCAGCGGTTTCTCTGATACAAATTGGCATGCCGAAACACTGTGAGGTCCAAAAGGTGCAGGAACCCCTTTCCGCGATAATCCTGATCCTAACAGCCAACACCACCGGAATCCCTGCTCCCCACCGTCTCCCGCAAGCCGAACTGGAAACCGTGCCTCGTCTGCAGGGCTCGGCGCCTCAGAACAAATCAGTTGCAGGGCTTCGAAGGCTGGCTGCGGAGCCTGGAAGCTCAGAGGCCTTGCTCCCTGAGCACTAAGGCTTCGGGATTCGGGCTCTGATGAAGAGTCTGTTATGGGGAACACTTACAGAGATGCAGACGCACTCGCCGGTTTGTAGACATACTTGCGGCCTTCTTCCTTACCACATCTCATGAGCCCTTTTCGCATCAGCACGGGCCCACATCGAGAGTGAAGAGGGGGGCTGGTCCTCCATTGTCCAGGGGCTCAAGATGACAAAAACAACAAAAACTGAGCAAATGTGGTTTTCGGGGCTATGGAGGCCCTGGGCCCCCGAAACCCTCAACCCCACGAAACCCCGTCGCCATATCCCCAGACCCTAAATCCTAAACGTAAGGGCCCAGTCATCATGTCAACAAAAACCTAATCCTTAGTAAGCGCCTTCCCAGATTCCCCGCTCTTTGCTGTGAAGCTTCATGGATCGGTAACCCCTCCCCTGAGACATTCGGAAGGCCGGCGATCTGGACCTGGGCCAGGAAAGCTGAAACCTTGCTTTTCACGGTTAGAATCTGAAGGCACTACGGTTTTACATGCGGTTGGACGACTTCGAGGGCTTTCGACTTTAGAGGCTTCTGGTTTCGGGCCTTGCGCCTTAGGGTTTCGAGTTTGCAGGCTTTCGGGGCTTAAGGTTTAGGACTTGAGGATTTTTCGGTACCAGACCACAGTCATCGATTGAGACCTTGATGGGAAATCTGCTCATTACTCCAACTGCGCGGTGCTTGTACGGAGGATTCTGCCGACAAACCTTTCGTGGCGAAGAGCCGCGGTGCGCAAATATACCGAAATCAATCATTGGGAGCTGCTCTGCTGTTGCACGCCTTGGGGACGGCTGCTGTCTACAAACCGGACAATGCTCCGAATCATGTCTCCACCACTAAGACGCCGAGAAAGCCCTGATCACCAAGGGTTTACAGCCCTAGGCTCGCGGTGGGCGATTATGGCATTTAAAGAGGCCTGGGCTTCGGGCTTTCAGCATGTAAGCATACGCTTTAGCATCTTTAAGTACATGGACTGAAGTGACACGGAGATCAGCAGACGCAAATCTTCACAACCAAAACCCAAGCCTAAATCATACAGCCCTGACCCTGCGCAGCTATATGCCAGCCTTCTGGATGTCCGTGACGACATTGCCCAACACATCGTGGATCGTCTGGTGGCCAAGCTTAGGGTGTGACCCGAGGACCACAGGAACTCTAGACGTCTTAGGGCTGCCAAGGCCCCAAGTCCCCCAAATCCTTCTGAATTCCTGGAAAGACGATGAAGCTCTGTCCTGCCTAAACCCAAATGGCTTGGGCAAAAAGATTAACGATCAAGAATGTACGGAGCACTCGCAATCAAAACAAGCAGGTTTCCTCATTCTGCCGCCCAGCAGCACTAGGAACGGTGGTGGTCTAGGATACAGGCTTTAGGGCCTGAGATGGCCTGAGCCCTGCATTCCAACATGAATATGACGGGCACCATAATGTGCACTGGAAGGATTGGCTATATAGGGGTCATCGTGGAGGTTCCCTAGAGGATCTCAACAGCGTCATGCAATCATCACCCAGAGCCTCGGCCGTCGTGTTGGCCACATCCCCGATCACTGCGGAATCTAAACTTCCGACCTGCCATAACGAGAAGGAGTTCCTAAGATCGAATTTTCGGAGCCTTCTGTCAGAATCAACCAACATACTCCGAATTTCTACCGGCACTCCAGCCATAAGGCGGCAAGGCAGTAGTGGCACTAGGGTCACATGGCCGGGGGGGCCCGATGACCAGACACAGCAACATGGAGGAGTTCACTAGGCAAGTCCCTGTCGGAAGACCTAAGGGCTCAAGGTCTTAGGACTGTGAAGAGTCAAGAGAAGGCTGACGACTCAAGCCCCAACTCGCAAGTCCAAGCCCAACACTCCCCAGCTTACACGCTGAAACCTTCTGCCAAGCTCACAAAACGTCTCAACTCGTCCGGGCACCAGGGCGGACATCTTCAGGTGACCAGCCGTTGCGTTCTCTTGCGAGCGCCTGAAGGCAGGATCCCGCCAAATCCTGTGGCCTCGATGCCTCATCCACTGTGTTGGAGAATGCCCGAACTTGTGGGCCACGTTTCCGGAGTTTGCTGTTTAGACGTTTTCCTTTCCCATTTTGTTTCCGCTTCCAAGCATGGGGCTCGCCTTGGCTCAGAGGTCTGTAGGTTCCGAGTATCTGCGACATTTCGGGTTCAAGCTCCAGCGACTGAGTTCTGGGTTCCGCCAGATGTTCGGCGTTCAGCTTTCACGGTTCAGATCTGGCTCCCTTGAATTAACGTCCAAGCCAGACAGTTAGAACATCACCACCCTCATGCGTCTCAGGCCTCGTATTCTAGTATGGAGAAACCCAGCACGAATGTTCCAACCTTTTCGAGCTCTCTGCACTGGACTCCGAATTATGACCCGAAACAATAGGATCTGTTCAATAAGGACCTTAAACACATGCGCAAGTACCTCTAACTATCCGACTTTACTGCGGAGCTTGGAGCTTTGGGTTCCTGTCCCCCGACGGGCATGCAAATCAAAAGCCACCCGCTTCACCACTTACGGTCCGGGGCTTGACATGTAGAGTTTGGGGTTTAGAATTGAGCGGTTTGTTCTTTTCTGTCTGCTGCTGGGATTTAAAGCTTTAGGGCTTTTGGATAAGGATTAAAGGTGAGGACTTGGGGTTTACGATTCGGGGTTTAGGTTCACCTGCGCCTGTGCATGTCGCCTAGTTGTACATGTCCGGCCGGGGTTGGCACATTCGGATTGCTGCTGCGAAGTCCGAGATGAACGTGGCCTGCAAGCTGCACAACAAATGCGGTCTATACTCAACCCTATGGCCCTGGCGCCTAAATCATGAGCCCTGAGAGCAGCAGGGACACCAAACCCTCAAACCGTTCCGCGCACAAGCAGCTCGCCCGCCTGGAAAAAGGCTACATAACTGCGAGGGCAAAAGCAGAAACGATGAAAGATCTCGGGTTCGGGCTTGCTGGGATGGGGTTCCGGAAGGGTCAACCCTTGAACACACGGGGCTCCAAACTAGCTCGGTGGCATCTCTTGGGGAGCTCTCTACACTCCTGAACCATTTGCCCCTGAACTCGAAACCCATCGAAACGCTACGCGGACTGCCTTGAGCCTCCTCTCCAGCGCTTCGATGACCTCGTGGATCTCGCTGGCATTCTGGCTGAAGATGTCCACGTGCACCGTGACGTTGCCAGCCCTCGGCATCGGCCGAGAACTCTGGGACGTCAAACTAGATGCAGAGTTCGGAGACACCCCTTTCAGCTCAGCCCATGTTCTTCGGGGATGCGTGGCACCCAAAGCCGAAGTGTAGAAACTTGCACCCCGGATACTCGCGATACCTCTTGACCCAGACAGCCTCTGAAAGCCCAGGTTTTGAAGCTCGAAGCGCTCACCCCGGCTTATCTCACCGTCGGGTGACTCTCCAGCTCCCTGGATGTCCAGGAGAGAGACGGGCCTTACAGCTCCAGATGGTTGAAGATAAGGGTTTAGGCTTGATTGGGGCTTGCGGTTCGAGGGTTTGGTGAAGGTGCGTGATGTCAGCTTGCAAACTAGATGACTCCCCAAGCTCAAGCCTGGCTAAGCTGTGTGGAACCTGCACTTGACGGGCTACGCAGTCTTTAGGTCTAGTAGGTCCAGCAGACCAAGTTCGGGCCGGAGTCCAAGTTCGGGCTGAAGTGTCAAGCCACGGGATTCACAGGTTCCTGGGTGCAGCGCAACACTGACTAGAACGCTCGGAGCTCTGAAACCCAACACGACCCTGGACGAACCATCCTTTTGCACGTGGCAGCAAGGCTAAACTCCCTCAAGCTCCATTCGCAGAAGACATCAGCGAAAACAGATTTTTCAGCTCATAGAGTTACATGAACCAGGCACAATTCGAGGTCCTGTGAGTTCGGCAAACTCCAAGTCCTGTGCGCTGCTTCGTCTTGCCAATCGTGCTACACTGCTACATCCAAGGCACCAGTCCATGGTTTAGGACATGTGTGCGAACATCTTGCAGGCGCTTGCAGCTGTGCAAACCCCCCCAAACCAATGAAACTCTGCCCAAGGGGCCGATGCTTACTCGCGTTCATGTGACCTCGGACAGGAGGGGGGCATCGCTAGCCTCCGTGTCGTAGCATTGAACGTATCCATCAGATGCTGAGAGGGAAGCATCTTTCTTCAATGTGCTCTTCAGGGGTTGGGTTGCTCTTGGATTTCTGTATCCTCGTCCTAGCTCCCATCAAGCTTCGTGGCCTGAGCATTTCAATTCTCGCTGTTGCGAAGCTTGTCTTTAGGATTTGAGGGCGTGCTGCGGGCTCAGGGAGGGTGAACTGAAAAGAGCAAGTCTTCTGTTGCGAGGGCTTCAAGCTCGAAAATTGCTGGCAAGGGTCAAGCTTCGGCTGTTTTGGTTCAGGGTCGCCTGCGCTTGATGCTAGATGTCGATCAGGCTACGCTGACACCAGTATGCACTTCAACCAACCTTTCTAAAGCCATTGCCCAAGCAGAAAGGGGATCCGATCAATCTAGGTTGCTTGCGGACCGAAAGAATACAACCACTGAGAAGCTAACTCTCCTGTCCTCTGTACTTGCACCCTAAGGGGCGCAGGGAGGTCTTGGCGAGTTCGGCTGCACCAGCCGATTGGAGGTCGGCGACCATGGAAGCACCAACAACGGCCTCAGTGGATCGAAGCACTGACAGACTTCTGCTGTGCTGCCTATTGGATATGCGGTGAGTTCGGGATCTCGCTTTGTTTTTGCTTCTCAGGTTCCCGGATGTCCCCGGAAGATCTGCGCCCTTAGATGGACTTTATGCGCGAAAATGCCTAACATCCAAGAAAACACTCTGAGAGAGAGACGAGTTCTGAAGCTCCGAAAGCGGACACAACTATCTTCCGGCGAAGTTCGCTTTAGTTTTGAGTCCAAAAACCCTCCTGGGAATTTTTGGGCGACCCATCATCACCCTCTGCACCTCTTGCCAACTGAATCCTGAATAGCAGCTCTGCCGACCAGTATTTCCGACCATCGCCCGACTGAAGCACAGGCCCCCTCAAGCTTAAGTGCTCGAGCCCAACAGCCCACGATCCGATTGACCCTCGCCATGGCCTCGAGGGACCCCTCCACTGTTTTTGCCATGGCCACTTCCTACGCAGAGCTCGGCAGGGTTGGGGTTTCGAGTTTAGGGCTTAGGACGAATTGAGAAGCACCTTTGGAATTGACAAGGATCGGCATTCCTATCGCGGTTTGAGTTGCGGGATGAGCTTTGAGGTGCAGGCACTCCCCTGAAAAAGTCCGGAATGACCCGGAACCCTGAAGCCCGGACACCTCTGAGCCAGCAAAAAAGTCCCTCCTGACTGAGGTTGCCAGCAACCTCCTGGAGCAGCTCCTGGTAGAGGAGCCTTGGCTCAGGATCAGCGAAGCTCTTCGAAACAGCTACGTTACAGTCACCATTGGCCTCGGCTAGCAGAGCTAACTTAGCTTGCCTCATGCGAACTGCTGTGCCGGCTATGCACAGCAACGGCAAAGTACCTTGTGCAGTACCGGCATTTCCGGTGGAGTCGCACTCGTAGTCCATTCATACGACGAAGCAGTAATTAACAGATTTCGATGCCAATCTGGCACCATCGTAACGCTGAGGACTGTCCTGCGTCCATTCTTCCAAAACAGAGAAGCGCCCAATTGACTACTTCACGTCAGAGCGGCTGCAGTTGCTCGTCTTCCCTTTTCTGGCTGCCTCAATGACTGCACCCAGGGTCAGCTGTCAAGATCTAGGCTCATATGCAAGGACGCCTTTGAATCGACCCTCGCCCTCTCTGAGCCACTCACAGCTTTGGTTTCGTAGCCCTTGAGCATTGAAACCCACGTTGTCATGGAGAGGTTGGGCTCTCAGAACCGAGCCCAATCTCTAAAATCCTGTGCAAAATTCCAAAACCCAACACCCGCCCGGCTTGGGGAACAGCACGAAAGGTTCGATTCTAGCACTCTTGTGACATACAAAGTACGTGTCAAGTCTTTCGAGCAGGGTGCTGCGCCGCACCCGGCAACATTGAATAGACTCAGCCAGGGACGCCCAAACACAGAACTTCCCAGATGTCTTCATATAACATGACCTTTCCGAACCAACCAACCTCGAACACAGGGGACAGGGGACCCTCACATTCTCGGGGGCCCTTCGGGGTCGTTTAGCGATTGGGTCAAGAACACATTTGGAGGCATTTGTGGCCTGCGGCGTCCGAGGCTGCTTTGGCCTCGCCGTCCAAAATGTCAATCTCCGTGGTGTTGACTACGGCTCCTCGAGGGCTCTCTTGGGAGGGGGACATTACTGAAGGTTGTCAGGGAGGGTTTGGGTACGGCCTTAGCACGTCAACCAAAATAACGCGAACGGGTTGGCTGCTTTGCTGCCGCGCATCAATGAAAAGCCCTGACCCAAACCCAAATCTTGAGGCCGGAAAAATGCTTGCCGATAAACTCGGCAGGTACCGAGTCTAGACATGTTCTCCCCCATTCGGTCCTGGCACATTCATCGCGTCCCGCATCTGTCAAAAGCGCCGGGTTTATGGTTTGAGGCGCGTCCAAGGCTCGAGGTTGTTTGCTTTGGCCTTGAGGCGTTCCGGGCTTGGAGCTTGGAGTGCCAAGAGCCTGGGCTTGAGGTCACAGGGCTCAAAGCCGTCCACTTCTGCGAATTCATTTACGCGACTTCTGCCTTTGTAAACGTGGAGATGTCCTTGCCAAGCTATCGGTGCTCCCATGGGATGCTTGAAGACATGCCGCGATGCAGCGGCCTTTCAATCCTTCCGCTTCTGTGGGTCATTGTGGGTCTGTCTTATTCTCAGTCCAGCTATTCACCACCCACAAACCCGCAAAAAGCCGAAAACTGCCAGACCGGTACTTGATAAGACCACAGGCGAAACTTGTGCTCCTTTGGCCCTGGCTTGCCAGCAACAGACATTCCGAAGCCCTCGACCCGGAAATCCCAAACCCTAAACAGCCCCAAATCCCGGTAATCCAAGCCCCAAAACCCCAAACCCTAATTTAAAGCCGAAACGAACCTGGGGAACCTAGAACTCTAAACCCTCAAACCCCAAAACCCTAAACCCCCAAATCCCGAAACCCCGAAAGCCCCTAAACCTCTCCAAATGCTAAAAACCTTAACATCCACTGCTTTCCCCGAACTTTACCACCCCGCCTTCTGCGCCTCGAGGCTCCGGTTTTGCGCGACAGCCCTCGGTGGCCAAAGCTTGGTTTTCGGGGGCTTAGAAGGGTTTAGGGTTTTAGGACTGACGGGGTTTTGAAGGCTTCGGGGTTGAAAGTCTAAGATGGCTTCCGGTTGAGTTTCAGGGTTGTCGTTGCCTTAGAGGGCTGTAAGACTTAGAACTTCAAGCGGCGATCCCCGGCGCTGAAAACAAAGCCGACAAAACGCATGATCTTTAGACATGGTACAAACACGAGGGAAGTCCGGGCTTGCTTCGGGCTCCATAGACGTGCCGTCGCGTCCTCGGGGCAAACATCCTCCCGAAACCCGCAAGAAAACCAGGTACCCTTGGAATCCCAGAGTTGCAAAACCAAGGGGCTCGTACTCCGATGCAGCCTCGCTGGCCTGCAGGCGTCAGGCGTCACTGCGGCTAACAAATGGTCCGAAGGTCACCTCTCGAACTTCAAGTTCCATAATCTCGAAACCCGAAAACCCCTAAAAAACCCTAAACCTCCTATGCCGAAAAACCTGTGATACTTTGGGTTTTGTGACCGTAGGCGATGACCAAACCACCACAGCTGAAACGCCGTCACTCATTCTGCCCCGAAGCCTCCTTAACCCCCACCGCGTTGAACCGTAAGAAGTAGGCATCTTTGACGACCCAACAACTTCAGAAATGTCCCACCGGGGAATGACCGCTACGGCCCCTCCACCAAGAACCCCTCGCCCTAGTTACATCTTGTCCCGAAGCTGAGCTTCTCGGTTCGCTGTACTTAAACATGGTAGATTCAGGAGAGACCAGCCAAGGAGCAGCCTAATCGAACCTCCACATTCCCAATTGAGCGAAGCACCCGCCTTCTCGGATTCCACTTTCACTGTCTCTGCCTCGACCTGATCTCACAAAGCTGTGCTTCGAGGGCTTGGGGGAAAGCTTTTGAGTGGCTTGAAGGAGAGAAGGCTTTCAGCGTCCTTCAGCATTCGGGCGAGGCTTCTTTCTCATTTGCAAGGGCTCGCGCACAAGAAGATCTCTGCTGTCGTAGCAGTAGTGCTGTCTGTCGCAACTAGTGCATGAATCCACTGATGGTCGTCGGTTAATTACTCTCTGCCGTGCCTTCGCGTTCTCTGCAGCGGCAGCTGCTGCGCGGAAGGAGTTGTAGGCCTGGACACAAGAGTCCCCCCCCCCCCGGCGCAGGCTTTCTGGCATCAACAGGCTCCTAGCAGCAACACGACTCAACACGCACTGTAACGCAGCTATGCTCGACTCTGGAGCTGGACCGCATTCTCTCCTCCCTCGTGCATTTGGGGTTGTTGTTGGGAGGCCACCTGAGGTCTAGAAGAAACCACGACTGGGGCCAGCAGCAGGCTTCCAGGCAGAAGGGATTCGGGACTCGGGCTAAGGCCAAAAGTTCAAGGAGAGTGATGAAAGAGCTTGGGCCACAATACAAATTTATCACAACTAGGAGTTGAAGTGCAGGGCCTCCTTGAACCGATTTCTGTTATGGGGCTGCTTGACATGTCTGCGTGGCACTGCGGCGATCCTCGGCGGATTGCGCAGTGCAGAGCTTTGGGACATCGACGAATTCAAGGTCCCACGCGCCTCCAGCGTCCTGTTGACTCCCATCTCCTTGGCACAAGAAGCTCTGAATATCAATGCTTGTTTGTAGTCTTGCAATGCCGATTCAGACGTCAGGATTGTGGCCTGGGCTTTCGGGACGAAGGTCTCCGATCCAGGACGAAATCGGCGTCGGGCCCCAAGACCCTTGACCAGCCCAATGCAAGACTGAGGCCACATGCCAGAGAGCCCCGCCCGAAGCGCCGCAAAAGTCTCTCTGAAATGTAATTGCTTGAGCCCCGAAAGCCCAAGGATTTGCACAGTACATTGGACAGTGTTGTGTAAAGATGCACCGTCACAAGTGAGAACACTCAACCTAACACTTCGAGAAGTTTTCACCCTAGACCCAAAAAAACATTTTCCTCAAATCCTTCAAACTCGCCGACATAGAGACATGTAACCGAAAACCCCAACCCTGAAACACAAAACCTCTCAGCCCTCACAAGCTTACGCACAAACACCCCCCAAACCCGAAAACAAAATCTACCCCCAACCCTCAACATGCCTACAAACCGCCTGAACCTGAGACTGTTGCTGAAACCCCAACCCTGAACCCTAAACCTGGCTGGGGCGCGGGCCGCCTCCCCGAGTTGCACAGCCCAGCCACCGAGGCTCGGAACCGGCAGCACCTGGCCGAAGCCGTGCCTAAAGGGTTTAGAGTTTTGGGTTTGGGGTTTAGAGTTTAGGATTTTGTGGGTTTAGGGTTAGAGCTTGTAGAGTTTAGGGTTTAAGCTGAAACGGAAACCATGAGAAAGTTCGCGTCGAAAGAGGCGATGATTCGGGGCACGGTCTTCGATGCTTTAAGAAGCCTTGTGGGTACTCCAACCGGAGTGCTGGCTGGAAATCCTGCTTACTTCTTCCTCTCCACAATACCTACATGTTTAGCGCCCCAGCCTTTGTACTCTGAAGAATCTGGACCAAACTAACTCGAACAGAGAAGGAAGAAAACTCCCCAGCAAAACTCCTCCTGAAACCCCCTGGCACCTTGCGCAAGCCGCCTGCGAAGCGAGCCCCCGCCTGCGGGCGACGCATCATGGTTCGGCGAGACGGGGAGTCGGGTTTCGGACTCCAGGTCTCGGGCTCCGTGTGGTTTGGGGCTCGGTGGGCACAGGTTTGGGTTTCGGGTTTGGGGTTTAAGACTTTAGGGTTTAAGGGTTTAGGGTTTAAGGGTTTGGGGCCTGTTTAGGGAGGGTTGCAAGACTGGCAAAGGGGAATGAAACACCAAAGGGCCCTCACTCTTCGCAGTTCTTCGGAAGATCAGGGCCCGATACCATGAAACCCGCTCTTATACCTTCTACAAGTAGCCTTCTAAACCCCAAAAACCCGAAACCCGAAGATCCAAAATCTGAAACACACAAAACTGTTAAAACCTGCTCGGGATCCTTATAGAGACTCTCAAAGTATCCTCAAAGCCACCTCCAGGGTCCCCTGAAGGCCAAAGAGGGCCAGATTCCGATGCACCCGGAGGCGTTCGAGCAGCTTCATCCGCATCCTCAAAGGCGCAAGACAGCCCCGTAATCATGTGCTGAACGATTGAAAGTTTGGGCCTTAGGTACGCTAGGACTTGGGGGTTTTGGATTTAGGGTTTCGAGTTTAGAATTTAGGCTTTAGGGTTGAGGGTTTGCTTCATGTTTGGCAAACGGCTTGAGAAAACTTCCTGCAAAACACCTTCATAACTTCGGGCTTCTCCCAAATCTTAGGCCACCAGTGAAACCTAGTCACCTAGTCACCAAGTTACATCAGCCCAAGGCTCAAGATCTTGACAGCCTCGATCTACACGTCCGAGCATCTATCTACAGCTACAGCATGAGTATCGCAAACCTGACACCACAACAGACTGGTCACGGAGCCTTACCCGAAACTCGGGAACATGCACTTCACTAGCCCCTAACAGGGATGAGATTCTCCCAAATTGGTAACTCATGGCATGTTATGACCGCTGAGACTTGGCTTCATGTTCCTGGTCTGAGGATCCAGGTTTCGGGCCGCAGGTGCTCACAGGGCTTCAGCAATCGAGCCAGCAGCTAAAGAGCTCTTTGCAGCAACATAGAACGATCTGGTGAAGAGCTCCCGTCCCACCAGGCTAGCACCAGTTTCAATCAGCTTGCTGTGCCGATAGAGACCAAGCAGCTGAGTCCGGATGAGCTTTGCCTTGGGTGCCATCGTGGCATTCACCTCAATTCAGGGCACAGGACAGTCAGGACATGTGAATCAGCACAAGGCTATCCTGCTGCGTCTTTATGTCTGGTAGATATCTGCAGATTTGTCGTGTTTCTCTGTCTCTGCTTCTCTCGATCGCTTGCTCTCCGTTTCTGCTGGGCTTCCTATCAGCTGAGACTCCCCGTGGATCGAGCTCGCTTCTCCGAAGAGGCTTCGGGAGTGTCCAAAGCGGGGAGAACTCATCTCCCGGATCCCAAACCCTCAGGATTCGAACCCGAACTCACCAAAAGTTCCTGTCAATCGAACATGTCAGCTTCACTGCAACAAGCAGAGAACAAGGCAAACAAAACACACCTGGTCATTTAGAGCGTAGGGTTCAGGGAAAGCCTACACTGGCCTACACTCTTGAAAATCTGTAACCCGAGCCGCCTTCTCGATAGCCTTGGCCAGGGACTCCGAGCTGTTGCGGTGAGATTCCAAGACCTGCTCGGCGCAGCCGAGGAATAAACAGGGCGTTGGGTTTCTGCGGGAGGGTGTTTAGGCTTTGAGGGTTAGGCCCGGCTTTGGAAGCATCTTCCACATGGGTAGCTACACACACCCTTCGCTAGCTACCACCCGCTGGCGCCTCTTTCACGGCCCTAAGCAGGGTCGAATTCGGCTGCATCTGAAGTGCCTGCCAGGAAGCCCAGGATCAGGGCTGAGCGGTTCCGTACAAAGGCTACTTCAGGCCGAAGGGGTCTTATCTCGTGACGTTACGGCCTCAGGCAACCAATGGAAATCGTTAAATCCGTTTGTTGAGTTCAAAGTAATCTGCAAAGGTGACTGAAGAAACCCGGGTCCGGGAAAAGTGATTTCAAGTGTCCTGAAAAGTTGGCCGGGCGAAAAATAAAATCAAAGTGTTCCGACACGTGCTTCAGAAAGTGAATTCAAATTGATTTGGTGCCTCAAAATATGAAATTAACAGTGATTTATGTATTTACGGCTTGACAAAGTGATTTCACAGTGATTTTGCAAGTTAACACTGATTTGAAATTGACCGAGGGGGGCACATGGACTCACTCGAATCGATAGAGTCACTGAAGCCTTTTTGGGAAATCCGATGTGTAAGTGTGTATCCACAATGCCTTTGAACACGTTGTTCAAGCCTTACCTCACTTTAAAACCACTTTTTCAGGCCTGAAAGTCTAGTCCCAAAGATCAGCTGTCAAAAGATGGGGGGTTATGGCTCGCATTTGGTGCCTGACTGGGCTGAGCTGAACTTGGTATCAGTGCTCTCCGGCACGGGGAAGCCAGAAGGAGTGAACATGTGGCGAAACGAAGAAACATGATTTTGGCAGTTTGGAAGTGATGGACGTCACTTGCTCTAGGATTGAGAAACGCTTACCTGCCGACCCCGAGACCCCCGTTACCTCGCGGGTTCTGAAGCTGCGCACAGAGCTGCGGGTACAGTAGATTCCATGATGACTTTAGTCCGACAGGTCAACAACTAGTCCGGCAGCATTTCGATGGTACCTAATTACCTTCAAGGATCTCAACCGATCCTTGATTCATGCCAACCCGACACCCCCAATGGCACCCTGGCTGTACACGTTGTGGGATGCGAAGGACAAAACAAAACCTAATCCAATGCTGCCCAGAGCCGACCGAAAGCTCCGATGCTCCGGCCCCCTCAACCCGAAATCCCAGACACCGGCAGAGCCGTGCGGATAGTCCCACCGAAAACCTACATGCATAGAATTTGTAGAGCTCCCGGTGCCTCGGACTGCAACTGCTTGAGCGCCGTGTGCGCATGGCGCACTGCCTTGCTTCTCTGTCGTCCCACTCACCCGATAGCTTTGGAGGAAGATGGTGTGTTATCCCAGTTATGTCTGTTGCAGGACTTGCGGCTGGGGGCTCAAGGTATTGGGCTGCCTTGGGGTGCCGATCTCCTCGGGGCGACCGGCAAACAGCCAGACCTCGGACAGCTTGAAATCCTTGCTTTAACCCCGCACACCGGTGTTATCAGAGCTTCCCTAACACCCAACACTAACCCAAACGCTTTCAGAGCTGCTTTGTTCGTCTCGCTCAGCGCTGCTGCGTGCTGGCGCGCCACTGCCTGGAGCAGCGCGGTGTCCAACACCTGCGAGATGCTGCGGTTTGGGAATTCAGGTCCTTGGGGGATTGCGGGTTTAGGTTCACCCAGTCAGGGTTGATTGCTGAGGGTGTTTTGATTATTTAGGGCTTCAAGATGCTTGGAACCTTCAGCCAAGTAACTAGTACTGGTAGGAGCAGCGAACGGAAGTTTAAGGACTTCATCCCTACACCCCCGCCATGAGCCTTGTTTAGTCTGTCTGACTGTATTTCCCTCCAAATTAAGCAACACCCGTGCGTTTTGGAAATCCCACTGCAAGAGAACATCATCCGAAACGGCAATACATCGGTCCATGAAGCCTGTGAAACTCTTGATCCTGGATCCTGACACCACCATACACTGATCTGCCGAACGCCGACCCCCTTCCGGCACGTACAGGCCATGCACCCAAGACGTTGTAAAGCCCATGCAGGACTCTGTTAGACTCTGGGCCAAAATCTAACACTTTCGCAACAACTCGAAGTAGCGTTCGAAACCTCCCACAAACCCTCAACCCTCCTTGACCCCACCGGCTGCCTTCTGCGCCTCGACGTCGGCAGCTTTGGGACTGCCTTTCAGGACCTGAGACTCATCGAAGTGATCTTTGAGCCTGCTGAAATCCCCACGAAACCCTCGAAAACCTTTCTGATCCAACCCAAGCGATAGAGCCACCCAGACTAAATTACTAAACGCCTAAGCCCGCATTGGAGCTACGAGGCTGGCCCCAGGTTGAGGATTTAGGCTTCAGGCCCTCGAGGGGCTGCAGAAGCTTTGGAGCTCCGGCTCGGGGTTCCTGCTCCTCGAGAAACCTGGCATAAGAACCTTAACAACTAGACTATAGGGTTTTGTCATTCTGTTTCGTAGAAGTGTATTGAAGGACACAAAATGGGAAAATTAAACTGAAGTGTTCCGACCGATTACACTCCGCTTCCGTCCAGCTGCACAAACTCCGTCCACCGTCGTCGTGACCTCGTGCAAAGCCTCCCAAGGCCGGGACGGGACCCACTGCAAACCCCAAGTAGCAGAATCCTCGAAATGACTCCTTGACCTGGGAGCAATACATCGCTAGCCCTGACCCCGAATCCCGAGATTTCAGCCGTGCGGAGATTGGAATGCTACGGAAGTAGTCCAAGAGAAATGGAGCTTTGCTGCTCCAGAATATAAGAACTAAGCCCAGCGATGCGGCTTCCTCGTTGCCTGCAAATCATACAAGGTTTGGCTCGGGGCCGTGTACTTTCTCCATGCACTCCAAACTCCCGAATGGACTTAACAGGCAAGCACACGCTGATCCACACAGAGGCTTCTTTGCACTGGATCTTTGTCCCAGCAGGACCCCAGCAGTTCTCGGACGAAGCTGCTGTCACCACCGGACTGCTCTGAGCCCCAGGTCACGACACTTCCATCGGCCCTCACGGCTGCAAAAGCATGGAAGGAAGCACAGATGTCCTGCACATCGAAAAGCTCACGGGCGGCCGGGCCGCAGTCTCCACCCCTCCGAGCGTCTCCCCAGGCAACGACGGAGCCATCGAAGCGCCTTGCGGCGAAGGCACCCTCAGTCGCGAAGAGCCCATCCACGCAGCTCAGAAGCACTCCATCACCGGCATCCCCCCCGCATGCGGGATTGCCCCAGGTGATCACCCGCCCGTCCTGGCGCAATGCTGCGAAGGCACCTTCTGTGGCCCGGAGGACTTGGACGTCCTGCAACTGTTCTTCGACAGCGCTGCTGTCGCCTCCAGTGTCTGCTCTGCCCCAAGTCACGACGGTCCCGTCCCGCCGGAGCGCCGCGAAACCGAAAATGGTGCACTCAATCTCCTGCACATTCCTAAGCTGGTCGCACACAGCCCGGCTGTCTCCTCCAAACGCGGTGTCCCCCCAAGTGATCACGGACCCATCTGCCCGGCGGGCCGCGAAAGCACGAGCGAATGCCCAGACTCGCTGCACACTCTGCAGCTGTTCACGCACGGAGCTGCTGTCGCCGCCGCCTGCGGATTCACCCCACGTCACTACAGTGCCACTGGCCAAGGTGGCCGCGAAAGCGCCGAAAGAAGCCGAGATGTCACGGACACCTTGGAGATCCTGTTGAACTGCGCTGCTGTCAGCGCCACTGCTTGGATCGCCCCAACTCACCACTTTTCCATCTGCTCCTATCGCAGCAAAAGCGCCCTGCGAAGCGCACAACTGCTGCACATCATGGAGATGGTCTTGAACAAGGCTGCAGTCTCCACCGTAGCTGGCATCCCCCCAGGCCACTACAGAGCCGTTGCTGCACAGGGCAGCGAAAGCAAAGGCAGAGGCCCGGATGTCTTTGACACCACACAGCTGTTCTCGCACCAGCCAGCTGTCGCCGCCGGCCGTCGGATCACCCCAGGTAATCACGCTGCCATCAGTGCAGATTGCTGCGAAGGCCGACTGCGAGGCCACAACGTGGTGCACGGGTTGGGAACTGCACAGCTTAGAAGACTGACGGCACATGCCTCCAGACTTCGCATCCCCCCAGACAACAGTGCTTCCCTCAGGCCGCACCAAAGCGAAAGCGTCGCTGTCCGTGAAGGAAAGATATGGCCAGCGAACTCCGCTGGCCAGGAGGGATGAAAAGTGTGATACCACCATCGTCCGGCGCAGACAACACCCCACCTGATCCCCATCTTTCAAGCCGGCACCAGCCAACGTGGAGGGGCCGTGCAGGATCACGCCCTCTGGTGAGCACAGGTGGTGGATCCCAAGCCCGAAATGTGCCTGAGCGTGTGCCTGCAGCTCGTGAATGGTGCTATCTGGCTGAAGCCGCACGGTCGTGCTGCTGCCACTCAGGAGAGTGACTTCCAGTGCCAGCGCCATGCGTGCCGATGCCGGGCAAACAAGCAACAGCAGGTTCTAGCAAACCGTATTCAGCAGGATGATAGCTGATAATCTGTTCCGTGCAGAGGCAGGCAGCACCAGACCATTTCAGGCATGCTTTGATCTTCTAAAAGACACTCCGGCACAGAACATCTTGCCTCCCGTTCTCTCCCTCTCCCTATTCAGTTTCAAGTCATGGCACCAAATGTGTTCGTGATGAATCCTGGCAAGTAGAGAGGGCTCCTCAAATTTGAATTCCCGTCATGACCTCGGCGTACGACACCCCGAATTCGATCTTCGCTGGCTCCCAGCCGCCCCCGCCTTCTGCAGGTCCACGCCCGTGCTCAGCTCGAAGCTCCGGAGCCCCGGGGCGGAGCAATTGAAGGCCACCAGACGCCTGAAAAAACAGCGGTTTTGCTCGTGGAGGAGCTCCGCTCTCCAGGAAAATCACAGGGCTCTGATGTGGCAACACACCTAGCAAAGGCTTGCGCGGGTCTTGCAGGAGTCGGAGTGTTCAATCGGCTTCACGACGCTCAACTAACAGGATGGCCAAGTAAGCCTAAGACTTAAGGGGCGAAACTGACGACAATGAGGTGAATTATGTAGCAGTTACACTTCTTTCCAGATGTCCGACTGCGACTGCCAGCCAGGAATTGCAAACTGCTCAGTCTTCTGGTGGCGGTGCCAAAAACAGTGGGTTCGGGCGGATTCCCAAACTGCAAGACCTCACATCCTGAACTCCTAAACCCACAAACCCACTTGACCCAGGCCTCCAAGGTCTTTCTGAACGATCAAACCCTGAACCCTGAATCCCTGAAAGCCTTGCACCCCGTGACAATCCCCAAACTCAAGAATCTGTTGCTACTTCGGCTACGTCCCCAAATCCTCAAGGCGGGATGCATCATGGTGCCATCCAGCAGGCCACGACTCTGCCTTCCGTTGCCCCGGCAGAGAAAGAGAAAGAGCGGTGGCATAAACCAGCAGTCCGAATTGATGTGGAGAGTGCGCGACTTCAGAGCTTCAGGAATTCAAGGCGGCAGGATTCTGCGCTGATGGGTCGACAGTAAGAGCTTACTGGAAGGAAAAGCTTCGGGCTTGTGCATCGGCCTCTTCGTCCAAACGAGTTGAAGCTTTCAATGCTTCGATACTGTTCCAAACATCTGAGAACGCCCCTGAACCCTCGGCTTCAGCAGCTCTGTCTTTCGGCTAACAGCAAATGACACAGTCTTCATGAGTGTGCTGCTTGAGGAGGTCAGGGTGCACCGGGCAGACTCCGGGCAGGCCTCACGGCATCCATTGCCATCACTCGCAGCTTCAACTCGGTGTCTGCATCGGCGTGGCCCGCCTCCGCATCCAGCTCCTCGGCAAGGCTGGGGCTGCATGTCTGGGATTTGAAAAAAGAGCTTTGGCCTGTGGTAAAAGCCCGCTCGTCCTCGAAATAAATGGCTGACATGATGTTTGGTGGGCCGTGTTGATTCACTGCAAACTGACATACTCTGATGACTGCTTTCAGCGGCTCTGAGTGCCGCATTAATCACAACGGACTCTGACCTGACCTGCAAAACTCTTGCTACCCGCAAGGAACGACTTGCGAAACCTTTGTGGTAGCTCCCATAACATGCTTGAACCTCTCCACTCCATGACGCACACTGAACATCCAAAGACCTTAAACCCAAAACCTAAATGCTCACCCTCAGTGCCTCTGCCAACGTTTGCATGGTGGCTTTGAGCCTCGGCTGAGTACCGCATCGTTTGGCTTCCAACCGGAGGGTTGTAAGAATTCTTGCTATGGGAGAATGCAAGGGTTTAGGGAGTTTAGGGTTTCGGGTCTCTTCTTTGGGAGTCCTTTGTCTTACGTCCTGTGTTTAAACTTGCATGGGAGCTGGAGCTGCTGCACCTAGATTGTCAGGAAAATTATGTACTATGCCGGGTGGCTGGAGGTGCTGCTTCCCTGTGTTAAGTTTTGGAGACTGACTCGTGTTTACGGCAATGCAGGCTCATTGGGTCGGCCTTTTGGCCTCAAAAGAGCAGTTTCGCTTTTCCACAGCTTCCGTGCAAGTGAAACATCGCAGCCCCTGGCGGCAGACAGAGAGGACGCCGCCTCAACCTCATCTTGTAAAGTTCGGTCGCGGCCTCTACATTGACTCTACATGTGATTATAGGCTGCCTCATCCTTCACTCTCTGCATGTCCGGCCGTTCGGAGGCTAAGAAGCAAAGCCCGTCCTTTGGGGCTGTGGGAGTGGGGAACGCGAGGCGCCTCCTCGGAGCATCCCCAGGCCTCTGAGCTCCCAAGAGCTATCGGAGCATCATGCAGACACAAACAAGACAAAACCAGCATCGACACAGAGAGATAGAGAGCACTTGCTCGCTCATGTACTTACTTTCATTTTGGACTCATGAGCTTCTGCCGATAGCGTGAAGTTCGTGTACAGCCCGATTGAAACTGCAGCTGCACGTTGGACAGCACAACTTGGGGTGCTGACCCACATGCGAATTGCGTCCGCCGTAAGTTTGAGTAGTACGAAATCGAAACACGCCTCAAAGGGTGAGTACAGGCCTGAGAGGTTGTACATGGCTTGTAACTGTGGGCCAGAGTTCTTCTTGATTCGTGGAAGACTGTGCCGATATTTGGAATCCCGAAAACATCTGAATGGTTGAAGAAGTTCCAGTATCGCTTTCCTGGAACTTCGGCTCAGCCTTTCTGCGGTCACCTTGGAGGCTAAATTCGAGCCGCCTTGCGGGACTGATCATCGCGGAGAGCCTCAAGCAGCATCGCGCCGATGATCTTCCTCCGATGTGGTAAAAACATTTCGAGGTCTTCGGGTTTCTTGGACTTCTGCTGAAACTACGGACTGAAACCTGTACTTCAAAATGTCGTGCTCAAGAGAACGAAACTAGACAGTTGACGACTCTACCTCAGGTGTAAGCCCGAGCTTCACCACCACTTCGGCCGTCTCTTCTGGGTTCCCGGATTCCTCGGTCAGCCTGTCCCAAAGCGTCTTGTCAACGCCTCGGAGCTAGATTTGACGAAGGATTTCGAAGACTTGCAGCTTCAAGCTTCGGCTTGTGCAGCCTTCAAGTCCGGGTGGAGGGGAACACCCTCCGTAGCTTGGACGAGGATTTCTGCCCTTGCAACGAAAGCCTACACCCCAGGGCACCTCGGGCCTCGGGGTTTCGGGAGGCCATCCGGGAAGCTGTGGTAGATCTCCTCCGAGGCCCCACCACTCTTCTTCACGGCCAAGACCGGCACGCCGTTCGTGAGGGCCAGTTTCCTAGTGTTTTTGGTTGCGTGGACCGTGCGTGTCTGTGGGTGATTTGGTATTTGGGGGTACATGGAGTTCGTTCGGCGGAAGGACTCAAGCTGACGTTGTCGCTGATCCTGTGTCAAGCTAGTACCTAAACCCGATCACCTCACAGCTCCAAAAGCCTCGCTGGGTTGGCACACACAGTCAGGCGGCCTAGGACCCACACACGGCCACTTCACCTCGCCTAACTCTAACGTTGGGTTTCAGACTGTGTTTCTTATGCGCTGCTGGTCAGCCACTTCTCAAGTTCTCTACATGCCATAAGGCTCACCCGTCCGACCCGAGCCTGTGCTGCAAAATCAGCTCTTGAATGATCAACCACCAAAGCCTGCCCACTTCCTAAAGAGCCCGAAACCTTCAACCTTGCCCTCGACCTTACTCTCCTCGATCACACGAAAGAAAGCCTCCACACAAAGCCACACCAAGTCCAAGCCTCCAAAGCTAAGCCCTAAACTCTAAACCCTGAATCCTAAAAGACCCTAAACCCTAAACCCCAAAAACTACCAAACCCGAAATAGATCCTATATCCTAAACCCCAAAGCACAGACCCTCAAGCGAGGCACATTTCGTCCATGGTGCCAGGGCCCCCTTCCACCTCCAGGGACTTCGCTTCATGAGGTCTATCTGGAACCAGCTCTTGGTTTCGGATTTAGGGTACAAGGTTCAGGGTATACAGTAGGGCTTGGGGTGTGGGATTTCATGGGATCTAGGCTTTAAGTCGGTCAAAGGAGTTGCGCCTTGCAGAGGACTTAAGCTCTCTGCAACTGTGGGGAAATGAAGACACAGCTGCCACTTGCAAACAGTGGCTGCCTATCGTCCTCGCAACCAAGTCGAGCCAAAGGAGGAAGACGAAGAAGGTATGAGTTCACAGTGCCAACAACTACTAGGAGAACTTAGGGCCATTAAATCCGGTAATTCCTGGGGATCTGTGCTCCAAGCATCCGAGGCACGGCGATGCAGGCGCTGCAGCTCCGCGCAAAGATCTCGCGCCGCTCGTTGCTGTCACTGCCAGCGCCTGTCGCAGGTCACCCAAAGAAACACCTGCAATCCTCAAGGAAACCCTCTGCGAAACATCCATAAATCCTACACAACAGTATGTCGGGATTTATCGGGTTTCGCTCTCGATCCGGGGTCGCAGCATGATGTACGGGAAGGGTTCAGATGCGCGGCGTCGATAAAGGCGGCGAGCACAGGTGCGGCTTAAGATGTGGTACGAATTAGCAGGATGCTTCTCCAATGGAGCCACTAAGCTCTTTGGCGAGGAGCTTTCGACGAGAAGCTGTGCAAAAGCATGATTTGCAAGCTTCTCGGCCCCCTCGTTTTGAGGTAAGTAACTGCCGTTGTCCTATGCTTGCAAGAGCCTTCAGACACAGCTGCAGGTGCAAAAGGATCACTTAGTCCCAGCCTGTCGCAACCTTGACAGGTTGTAGGGTTTAAGAACTGAGCTGAAGAACATGAGCCCGAAAGAACTGAGCATTTCACCCCTACCCGCCTACGATGACGCCGAAGTCGAAGTGACACACACGGCCAAGGGGGCACAGGTGGAACACGGATCGGTCGCGGCCCACCTCACAAAGATGAGTCTCTATCCTGGGATATCACATTACTTGCCGCCATTGAGACCTAAGCTCATCCAAGAGCGATCGAGAGGGCCCAAGCGTGAACATCCTGCCTCCTCAAAGAAGGGGCGCGCCACCGCTTCGTGGACGATGGCATTTCCCCCGGTGAGCAGGATGCACCGACCGCCCACCTTCATCTACGAAAGAGGGCTTTTGAGAGGTTTCAAGCTGAAGATCTGTAGAGGAGTAAGGATTCCAGCTGGGAGATGTTCAAACCCTGGACTTTGGTAATTGAAGCTTCAGGCCGCTGTGCTTTCAAAAAGGGATTGGCGTGCGGAGAATTGCCTTTGAGGATTTTGGGCCTGCGGTGGCTGGGCTGTTACTGCAATCACACTGCGTTTCTTGGTTGAGTCTATTTGGTCGTGGAGCTGCCGAAATTGGGGCAGGACTTCGCAAAACCACCTTTCAGCAAAAAAACGCGCTCAGATTCATCTACATACCTGCCCACCTCTGACCCCAGCTTGTGGCCAATCGCAGCACACAAGGCAGCACTGGTGGCCTGGTGGAACCTCGAATGACGCTTCCACTTCCAGCAAGTGGAAGGTGATCTGCAATTTAAGAACTAAACTACCGTAGGATGCAGCTTCCACCCGACGATACTGGACCGCAGCAGCAACAACACAACATCCCCTTGGCGCACCCACACCTGACCTTCACAAGGTGACTCACATCCCGACTCAAGATCTGCTCCATCCAGGCTAGTAAGCGCAAGAAACAAAAACTGAAGGAAACGATTACGGAAAGAGAATCCGCGACCATGAAATTGGTTATTGCCAATGGTTAACCACAACGGAAAGTGAAGGTGCTGCTGACGCCCGGAAGCTCGGTGCTCCCGAAAATGCCGACCCGAAAAATGTCCTGGGCGCTCTTTGGTCTCAGGCCTTCATGGTGGTGCTAGCAGTACAGCAGTCGTCGTTGTCCTTGTCTTGTTAGTCGACGTCGTCGCATTGGTACTGGTATGAGCAACGATAGCAAGAGCAGCAGCAAAGTAGCAAAGGCAATGCTAGCAGCGCATGAGGACGACTGCTAAGCTGCTTCTGCTTCTCGTCCTCCACACCTGCTACCTGAAGCTCCTGCAGCCCCTACTCCCGAGCTTGTTCCATGTAGTTGAGGGTGCTGAAGCAGCAGCACTTTGAGAGTGTGAGACTGACCGATGTGGTCCGCCGAGCGTCGGGAGGCAGGTGCTGCATCACCGACTCGTAGCTTCCCTTCGCCGGCCCCGGCATCACACAGCCCATGGCTTCGACGACCCGCCCGGAAGTGGGCTCTGGGCTCACAGATCTCGACGTTCTTTGGCTCAAAGGATTTCTACAGCTTCGCAGAGCTTCTAGAACGAAACTTGGGTGGGACCTGCGAGAAGCTGCGGGCAAGCACGGAATGCATGCTGCGTACTCTGCAACTCTGGGCCTACCCAAAAAGAAACAGCCAGAACCCAAAGACCTAAAGCTTAACCCAACATCTAAAGCCCCTGAATCTATGTGGCTGGGGGAAGCATAAGCCAAGGCTACCATCATCATGCGGTGGGACCTTGCATCAGAAATCCAACCGGGGCAAGTGACCCACTCAAACAGCAGAGCTGATCGTAAAATCGCAGTGAGCTGATCTCTCGTCATCAGCATGCGGCCGGGGCGCTTCACTTGAACGCCAGTGGTCAGGTACTCCTCCTTTCCAACAGCTCTGAACTTGACTTGTGACTGCTGCTTGCAAGGGGCCCAGAATCATGCTTGAATGCCGAATTGCAGAATCCAGCATTCAGGACATCGACACAAAGGGCATGCGTTCTCGGCGTCATGGGACTCGCGGGTCTTTGGATGTTTACGACTTCCGGGTTGAGCCTGCTGATGCCCTCGGACGAAAGCCGGCTTTAAGTTCAGAGATTGAAGCACTTGCTTCACCGTTTTGCTCATGGGATCGAATACCAAAGGTCTGAACACGGCGTCCCCACGCCTGAAGAAAAAGCACAGATAACGAGGGCAAGCAAATTACGCCCAATTCATGCAAACCGAAACCAAGGAGAGCGGGCACCCAATCCCCAGACTTGACCAAAGCACAAAATCAATTCTCGATGTTAAGCACCAACCCGGAAGCCCCGTTCCTAAATCTGGAGTGAAACCTGCTCTGAAGCCTTGAAGAATGTTGAGCCCTATGCCGCTTCCGCCGGAAATCGCCATCCCAGAACTGACACTCAGACCTTCCGCACCCTCCCACGCAAAACTCCCCAGCCGCACTGGAGTTGCGATTTCAGCAAGGACTCCGAAAGCCCGAACCCTTTCAAACTTACTTGAACCCTAAAGCTCAAACCCTGAAGGCCCTTACCCCCAATCAGCTCCAGGATGCCTCGGGAACGGAGTTGGCCTCGATGGTGACCTGGACCGTCGTCTTCGGGCCTGGCTGGTGGATTCCCCTTCTGGTTACTCGTGTCGGAGGTGGCAGAGGCGTGGGTACTTTGACTGTGTCTTTTTGGAACTACGCATGTCAGTTGATGTCGCTGCGGAACTGCAGCAATGGCAGCTTCGCAGGTTCAACTGCAGTCACACCAGTGCTGGCAGCAGCATCAGCGATACAATTGCTGCAACCAGCGTGTAAAAGGTGGTGTGCGGCTTCTTTGCGACGTTTTGATGTTGTGCATGATGCCGAAGAGGATTGTAAAGATAAAACTCTTGGCAGTGCCGACTCATGAATCACCGCGGTTTGTGCTGGCAGTGTAAACGAAGAAGCAGCACAACACGATGGCGGTGGTCTTGATGCCATGCCGACGACGATGATCGACATGCTGGCGATGGTGAGGAAGAAGATGATGATAATTGGATGATGATGATGATGATGATGACGATGATGATGATGGTGATGATGATGATCATGGTGGTGACGGTGGTCAGGACGGACGAAAATGCTGACGGTTAAGGTGATTGCTATGATGGTGGTAAGCACGATACTATCAGCTATGCTAATTCTGGTTGAGGCCTAAGTATGATGCTGCCTCGACTTGACGGGGAGTCCTGCCCCGGCTACCCCTCATCAGACCTGTACAGACGTTGCGCAACTTCTGAAGACACTCGCCAAAAACCAAACGGCTTGAAGATGAAGTGCCGGCCGCGCCTGAGGGCCCAAAAATGGCCTGCGCCGCCGTCTTCGCTGCCTCTGTGACCTTGGACTGATTGTGGCTACCGAGCTCCAGAGAACTTCTTTACAAGACTCCAAGTCTGGAGCGCCAAAGTCATTGAAACCCTTCGGCCGCAAACCCCCAGCCGCCAAGCAACAGCTTCTGCTGCTGCGGCCGTGGAGTTGGCTACTTCAGAGGCGTTGCCCGAGCCCGTCAGGCCATCCCAAATGGCCTCCAGCACTGAGCTTGGAGGGTCAAGCAGATGGCGAATGGTGTCGAGAGGACGACTAAGTCCGAAAGCACCAGTCATCGGTCTCTGAAACTGTACTGAAATTTACTCATAGCCGCGACCATCACCGTCATCATCATCACCGTCACCACTGTGTCATAACCATCCGTCAACCATCAGGGTCAGCGCATGCACAAGCACCAGCAATCGTGTCATGCCCATCCCACGGTGCGGGGACGAAGCCATCTTATTCAACTACCGAGCAAGAGCAGCAGACTCACAATGCACGCGTTCTAGCAATGCACCAGCCTCCAAGGTTGAGTTCCTTACATGGCGAAACGCCTCCTGTCATTGATCTTATGGGAGGATCTGCCTGCTCGCGATTGCTCTACCTTCCGGCCTGCCAGTTTGCAAGGGATGTTGCTCAAACCTAAACGCTAAGTTCCCCCAAAACTATGACCGACACCACATCGAACTCCTACGAATCTCATGCCCTCGTCCCAAATCCAATTCGACCCAAAGGTGTTCCCTAGAAGCCTCGAGACACCCGGGCGAGCCAGGCCTTGGCTGCGGCACCGGCAGCTTTCACGGCCTCGCCAGCCTCACCGCAACTGCTGCTACTCCTACTACTGCTACGCTACTTGCTGCTTCTACTTCTACTGTTAGTACCATAAGGAAAACTAGCACTAGTTGCTGTGATGCGCGGATTTCGGATCTGGCTTGGAGCGCTTCCGAACGAGAAAATGCCCTGAAACTTTGTACCGTAGCCCCAGACATGCCTGAATCCTTCCAAAGCCTGCCAGATCCACCCCCAAAGCGCCGAATCCGAGAGCGGAATCGGGCCTCAGAAGCCACATCGGTTGCGTTTGGCCCCTTCGTCAGAGAAGGAGCTCTCTACTCAGGCTCTGCGAACTTGGGACTTGCATGCTCGGAGAGGGTTGTCCTTGCTGTGGGGGAAGATGCAAAGTGGAGCAACAAAGCTACCCGAAGCCCTTTCACAAAAGCTCCAAACCTTCAAGTTTAGAAGCAGTCTCTGGCACCTTGGTCAAACCTCCAATGTCTACGATGTGACGCTCGATTCTAGGTGTGCACTGACAGCCGCCCACCTCCGTGACATTCTCCGTCACCTGAAGACCGGAATGGCTGCCGTGTTCGGCTGGGGCTACAGTTTTCGCAGCTTCGGGTGCCAGGTCGGGTTTTGCAGTTGCAGCTGTCCTTATTGCAAGCTCCACCACCTGCCGGAGGAAGAGATAGGGGCTTTGATTGGTTTGCACAGCTGAAGTTGGCTTAGTCGTCCCCTTGACCGCAGTTTCACGGGAATGATTTCTTAACCACGTTGAAAACACGACATCTTAACAGCGCTCTTCTTTTTTCTAACCGCGTGCAGGTTTTGGTCCCTAACCGCACGCATCGCACAAAGTCTCCCAAGACTGAACAACTCATGTGAAAGCCTGCGTGCTGCTGTTCGTTTTGCAGCCTTTCTGCAAGTGTGCACACCTCCGGGGACAAGTGAAGAATCAGAACGGACCCTGCGGTTCAGTTTTTTAGGCTTCTGCAAGTGCATGGTGCCGCTCGAACCGGCGAAAGTCACATCACATGCCAAAACGTCACTGTTAACAACTTAGCGTCAATCACCAAGACTCGCGATATGACATGGCATCGCCGCAAAAAAAAACAAGCGATTCGATGGAAATGTTGCGACAGCCTTGGGAATATGGAGCAGGCACCCATGATCCATGTCCCAAACATTCCCAAACACACACATGGCATCCGGCCGTTCCCCATCTAAACGCTCGATTTGACAGGCACCCGCTCAAGACACAGAAGATGCGGGTCTGGTGGATACGACGCGGCCTGGGCGGGATACGACTCGACTTGGGGGGGATACGACGCGGCTTGGGGGGGATACGACGGGGGATACGACGCGGCCTGGGGGGGATACGACGCAGCTTGCGGGGGATACGACGCGGGGTGGGGGGGATACGACGCGGCCTGGCTGAGATACGATGTGTGGGGGATACGACGCGGGCTGGCGGAGATACGACGCAGCTTGGGGGGGATACGACGCGGCTTGGCGGGGATACGACGCGGCTGGGGGGGGGGGGGGGGGGGGGGGTATACGACGCACCTTGGAGCGCACATGATTTTCAGATCACCGCCTCTTAGTGAGCTTGAACTCCGGGGGTGGGGCCTTGGACGCCCCTGGTTTTTTAATGAGAACTCTTACAAATCTTGAACTCCGAAATCGGGCCTTGGGTTGATGGGGCACCCCTGATTTCTAAATCACAACCCTTACAGATCTTGAACTCCGAGGGTGGGGCCTTGGACTCTGATGGGGCGGGGCGCCCCTGATTTTTAAATCAGAACCCTTACAGATCCTTGAACTCCGAGGGTGGGGCTTTGGACTGATGGGGCACCCCTGATTCTTAAAGCAAAGCTTTGACAGATGTTGAACTCCGAGGATGAGGACTTGGACTGATGGAGCGTCCATGATTTTCAGATCACCACCTCTTAGTGAGCTTGAACTCCGAGGGTGGGGCCTTGGACTCTGATGGGGCGGGGCGCCCCTGATTTTTAAATCAGAACCCCTACAGATCCTTGAACTCCGAGGGTGGGGCTTTGGACTGATGTGGCACCCCTGATTCTCAAATCAAAGCTTTTGGAGGATGCGGCCCTGGACTGATGGAGCGCCCATGATTTTCAGATCACCGCCTCTTCGTGAGCTTGAACTCCGGGGGTGGGGCCTTGGACGCCCCTGGTTTTTCAATCAGAACTCTTACAAATCTTGAACTCCGAGGCAAAGGCCTTGGACTGATGGAGCGCCCTTGATTCTTCAGTCAGAACCCTGACAGATCTTGAACTTCGAGGGTCGGGCCTTGGGTTGATGGGGCGCCCCTGATATCGGGTTTAGCGGGTTTATCGGGTTTGGCGGGTTTAGCGGTGCGCGTCCGCTGTTTGCGCGCGCAATGGCGAATACGGTGGTCAGACACAAAGCTCTGACAGCCGAGCCCTAAAATTCCCGGGTCACCTCCAGAGTCGACTAACTCCCCGAAATTCCTGACTCCCAGACTTTCAAGTTGGTGGCGCTCATCCAGAAGTGAAGCCCCAAACCCTGAGCCCTGAGCTTGTCCAGCTCCTGAATCTGCCCTCTCCTGTTTGCGATTACTACCACTATACAGGGGGGTCTGATCCCACAAATAAGCTTCACATCCAGAGCTTGCTTGGCCTTGTCTTCGACTTCATCTCCCCCCTTCGTCCAGGCACCCCACACCTCGACTGCAGGAGTGGTACAGAGCTTTCCTTTGCACTCCGGCTTGTCCAGCTTCCAGCGATTTGCAGTCATGCTTGCCCGAGGTACATGCGTGACCTCTGTGCCTGCTGTCGCTTCTGTAAGTGTGCTTTTGCCGACTCCACCTCCACTTGTTGTGATGGCATGCTGCAGAGCTTGGATGGTTTCAATCAAATGCTCTCGCTTAGTCGGAGAGCTTGATCCTAAACTGTGGGGCTTAAGAACAAGTTTCGGGGTGGGGCCCAGGCAGTCGGGGGGGGCCCTTCACTCAGCGCTTAGGATGGAGGCATTGGTCCCTCCAGCCGTCTCGGCTTCCACCAAGAAGCCTCCGTGGTGCTTTGCCCCGTGGTGCTGGTGGTGGTAGTGGCAGCCTCGGCTCAAGACTTTTGGCCTCGAGGCCTCGAGTGGCTGACTCAGGCTAGCGGCTCATCACATTGGGCAAATATCGGTTCAATGACTTTTGACACAATTCGACCGCCTCAGTATCAGAGCTCACAGATTTGGGCTTCGTCCACACGTTTAAAGGCTCGGGCGTGGTCGAGGTTCGGGTTTGAGCTGCGAGTTCCGGGCTTCATGTGCATCGCGACACTCATGCGCGTGATCAGCCCGAATGGCTACCGTCGTGTTCTCGGGAGCGGCCGTACTGATAGTACTGGTGGTTGTCGTGGCCTTGGATGTGGCATTCCCAGCCCGAAGATCAGAGATGCTAGTTCAAAGAAAAGGAGAACTGAAAGGCTTAAAGCTCCTTAGCACACTCTCAGAGGCGAACGACACGCTCCAATGACAAAGTACCGGCGTTGCAATACTGCGAGTTCGCTTGCTCTGTTGTGTGTGCACAGGATCGTCGTGGTGATTATCGTTCCTGCTCCTTTGTCAAATCGAGCCAAACCTCGAAGCTAACTTTTGGAGCCTCACAAGCGACGCTACACATGGTCTCACAGGACAAGAGACTGCAGACGTCGTGGGAGCGCTGGTGGGCGGCTCTGCTGTGCTAGTAGTGGTTGTCGTCGTTGCAACCTCGCTCAAAACGTGACTACCACAGCAAGCCTCGCTTCCTCAAACCGCAACACTGACCAAACCTGGATATGGCATGTCGATTTCAGCTCCTAGGACTGGGAAGTCGGAACTTGCGGTTCGAGATTCAGAATCGAGTTGTTGGCTAGGACTTTGCTAGGCCCGTCATTGCAGATCTCAAAGTCCGCACCCGAAATGCTACTATGTTACAGACAGACAAGCGGTACGACTTTGAAAGCCTCCAAACTAGGTCTAACACTCTGGCCCAGGTTTGCTCAGGCAGTTCGTACGCCTCGCTCAAGCCGGGCAGCCTGAGACGTCGTGGTCTCGCTGGCAACTTCATCGGCTGTGCCACTGCTCGATGTGGCCTCGGGCTACCAACGATGGACACATTCGGAAACCAAACTGGCAAATTCGCAAAAACAAGTGAATTGGTGCAAAGGACCACCGGCGTTGTGGTCTCGCTGGTGGTCATGCTACTGCTCGTGGTCGAAGATGCCTCACATCCACAAAACAGTTCCGGGAAGGACTGCTAGGGATTCAGGAACCGATATGCACGTCAAGCAGATGACTTGCAACTCTTAGAAGCCTGAGGCGTCGTGGTCTCGTTGGCAGCTTCATCGGCTGTGCTGCTAGTTGAAGTCTCCTGAGACTATCACATACTATCACCACTGGGCACATTCAGAAACCTGACGGAAAGCCCTCGACTAATTGATCAGAAGGGCCACCGGCGTCGTGGTCTCGCTGGTGGTCATGCTACTGCTCGTGGTTGAAGATGCCTCAGGTTCAACAAGCAAACCCGGAAGGACTGCCAGGTATTCAAAAACCGACAGGCACATTTAGCATATGACTTGCAACTTTTCGAAGACAGAGGCGTCGTTGTCTCCCCGGCAGCTTCTCTGGCTGTGCTGCTGGAAGGAGTCTCTTCGGACCACCACTGCTGGACACATTCGGAAAGGGAAAACACACCTTGCAGCCCTCTTTTGTGGCCATCGTCGTATTGGTCCGAACGGCCACCGGCGTCGTGGTCTCGCTGGTGGTCATGCTACTGCTCGTGGTCGAAGACGCCTCGCATCCACAAGACAGTTCCGGGGAGGACTGCTAGGCATTCAGGAAACGATAAGCACATCAAGCAGACTTGCAACTCGCCTGAGGCGTCGTGGTCTCGTTGGCAGCTTCATCGGCTGTGCTGCTAGTAGAAGTCTCCTGAGACCATCACCACTGGGCACATTCAGAAACCTGACGGAAAGCCTCGACTAATTGGTCAGAAGGGCCACCGGCGTCGTGGTCTCGCTGGTGGTCATGCTACTGCTCGTGGTCGAAGATGCCTCACATCCACTAAACACTTCCGGGGAGGACTGCTAGGCATTCAGGAAACGATATGCACATCAAGCAGACTTGCAACTCGCCTGAGGCGTCGTGGTCTCGTTGGCAGCTTCATCGGCTGTGCTGCTAGTAGAAGTCTCCTGAGACTATCACCACTGGGCACATTCAGAAACCTGACGGAAAGCCTCGACTAATTGGTCAGAAGGGCCACCGGCGTCGCGGTCTCGCTGGTGGTCATGCTACTGCTCGTGGTCGAAGATGCCTCACATCCACTAAACACTTCCGGGGAGGACTGCTAGGCATTCAGGAAACGATATGCACGTCAAGCAGATGACTTACAACTCTTAGAAGCCTGAGGCGTCGTGGTCTCGTTGGCAGCTTCATCGGCTGTGCTGCTAGTTGAAGTCTCCTGAGACTATCACATACTATCACCACTCGGCACATTCAGAAACCTGACGGAAAGCCCTCGACTAATTGGTCAGAAGGGCCACCGGCGTCGTGGTCTCGCTGGTGGTCATGCTACTGCTCGTGGGTGACGTCGCCTTCGATACAAGCCTACCGTTCGTCTGACAAGCACTTGCAGCACTGCGAGTATCGAATGTCATGACGTGCTTGAGCTCCGCCACGCAGAAACACACCTCATGAATCAATCCAAGCTTCAGCCGATGTCGTCGTCACGCTAGTGTTCTGAATTGCTGCGGCGCTGGTTGACGTGGCCTGGATTCAATGCCACACATGCCGTCATCCGTTTCAATAGACTATACACTAATTACTGCGACGAAAGAGAACAGGCTGCAATAGAAGAAGCTTGCGGCATAAGAAAACAAAATCCAATGAAATGCGGCGTAGTACTGTAACACGAATTAAAATATACTTTGAACCTGAAGCGATGCTGGTGCAGTTCTTATCATCGCACTTCGTCTACACCGATCTCCCCAACGCGCAAACAGGGCATCGTGCAACAAACGCGGGACCAAGTTCCTCTCCCTAAACCCTAAACTTCTGTAAACCCTCCCGCAACCTGAACCAAAGCTAACATTGAAATTCATTTTTTCTGGATCCGACCCTGGGCCCAGGGCTGCTGCTACTGCGATTGCGACTACGAGTGCGACTAGACTACTCCTCCTCCTCCAGCTGCTACTACCACTACCACCACTACTCCTGCTGCTGCTGCTACGATGACGATAACGAGCTTGTCAGCTTGTGGTTTTGGGTTCGATCACTGACTGCCAACTGCCACGAAGCCAGGAGACCCCAGCAGAGACCAGCGGAGGCAACGGCGGTAGCTGCTCCTGGTGCCAACCCCCCGGGGATTGAACTCCCAAACTTCGTGCGTTGTATGGTACCCCATGTTCCCCGGTGCTGTTCAGGTTAAGTGAACGCTCAGCAACTCCTTAGCGGATAGCCTTCCCGAGATGCAAGTGCTTCGAGAAAACAAAGTTGATTCGACGTATCTTCTCTACTTGTTGGCTTGCAGCATGTAGAATGCCGCTTCAGCACTGAAACAGCCCGCACTTCCGAGATGTTCCAGAGAAGTCCGGCAGCTTTCCAGCTTCTGTGCATCCATGGGCAAGTTCAGCTTGCAGACTCGGTACTTCCGTGACCAGTTCTGGCCTACCGCATATCCGGCGAAAATGCCAGGAATGCCCTTCGGGTCGAACTTGTGACCATAGGTCTTCTCCCTTGTGTCAGTAGGTTTGAAGCAAGACCGCCAGGGGCATTTCTCTACAAGCCCGGCAATCCAACTGAATGGGATCAGCCAAACAAGTTCGACGGTCTGTGTTGTCGGGATATGTCGGAAACACGGATGCGTCTTTAAACTTGCTAGAGGCTTCCAGTTTTGAGGCTTCGAACGTCAAAGATTTCTTGCGGGATTGAGTCAACCTTGCTGCGCCGAAGATGAAGCCAGAGAGCTGGCGCCGAGGACTTTCAACCCGGGGACTTAAGTCACGTGACAAGCAGTAGACAATCAACAGGCGTAAGTGCCGTTGTCGTCGTCGGCCTGGCATTGATCGACGTCAAGTCACGTCAATCTTTGACGTCATTCTGGAGCATCGACGAGACTGATCTTCCTATGAAGCTTTGAAGTGATGCAAAAAGGCATTAGGTGTTGAGGGACCTGCGGATCTTCAGAGTTCCGGCTTCTCCTCTGCAGCATCGAGGTGCAAGCGGCGCACCTGCACTCAGGGTGGCTCTTGTCTCCGGGATTCAGACAGCACTGCCGACCGACAGCATGTCCCCGATTGATAAGAACCGTGGGTTAAGCTTTGCGAAAACCCCAACAGTTCAACACAAAGAGACGGATGGATAGTAAGGCCAGGAGGCCCCCTCAAACAAAAATCGTGGAAGAGAAAGCCTGCCCATTGACGGACCATCTGATAGTGGGTTTCGAAGTGCTCGGGCTCAGAGGTGCTGGCTTCGTTCCAAAAGTTGCCCTCAGACTGGCCCGCCACCTGTATCAGCTGGCTCGCTCGAGGCCTGCAGCGCGGTTGTTTTCGCTGTCGCAGATCTCAACATGGTGCGCAATCGTACCAATACGGTACGTGGATGCAGTCATCCATCCATACCTACATCTACCAATGCAGGCATGCTGGCATACGTGCACACATACACAGATACATAGATATACAAATACATAGACACATACATATCTGCATACATACATACATACATACCGTGTGCGTGGCTTTTGGGCCCATTTGACCGTGCATCAGCCGATCACCCGATCAGCCAATCAACCCCTAAACCCTAAACCCCTTAACCCTGAACCCCTAAACCCCTAAACCCGACCACCCGACCAGCCGATCAGCGGATCAGCTGATGAGCCGATCAGCCGATTAGCCGATGAACTGATCGGCTGATCGGCTGATGCGGAATTTGGAAACCCAGTTTGCGAGCACAATGCAGAAACACATGCATGCATACATACATACGTACCTACATACATACATACATACATACATACATACATACCGGCAGACAGACCGACAGACAGACATACAGACACACACAGACACACAGGCACACAGACACACAGACACACAGACGCACAGACACACCGACACATAGACAGACAGACAGACAGACAGGCAGGCAGGCAGGCAGACAGACGGACATAGGTACACATAAACGGAGATAGTGTGTGTGTGTATATATATATATATATATACATATATACACATGCATACAAATCTACACAGATATGATTCCGGCTCGGCCGGTCCCACCCCCCCCCCGGTTCACCCCCCCGGTGGTGTGGTGTGGGGTGGAGCTTGCTTCCCCCCTGCCTGTGGTGTGGCGTGGTTCGGGGGTGGGTCTGCTTGGGGTGGTTCCTGGCATGGTGTGAGCTCGGGTTTTCTTGCCGTGATTCCCCTGCGTTTGGGGGTCTGCTTTGGGTGTTTGGTATACTCATCCCATGATGATAATGATGATGATGATGATGGGGACGATGATCACCATCATCATGATCATCATCAACTCAAACATCTTAATGCTTCTTTGGTTGGTCGTCGGGTGGCCTGTCAGGGAACTCGGTCCTCCTGACAGTTGCCTTGCTTAACCCTCATGTCGGAGTGGTCTTTCTTGGAGGGTGTCCACAGTCACAAGGATCGGCGTTTTTGCGACGCGATCCTCGTGACAGTTGACGGCTTTGGCGGCCTCACGTGTGAATCGTGCCGAAAAAATAAACTTGTACTGTCTACTGTCACACGGATCGGGCGTCTTTGGGACGCGATCCTCGTGACACATGACGGTTTTGGGGCCCGCATGTGCAAAAAGATTCGGCTTGGGGAGTGGGTGGGTGAGGGGAGAGATACCATTGGGGGGGGGGTCGGCGAAACAAGAACAGATATGTATTGTATATGTGTCGGCTTATAGGTGACCCTGGATGAGAAGTCAGGATTTCCGGTACGGGCCCTTAGGTTTGGGATTTCACCGCAAGAAGGCTCCAACCATGCCGTCTCACCTCGATCGTTGGAAGGCCTCTGTGCAAGCGCACAGGGCCAGTATGGACAGAAGTCGCGTGACAACGGCCTGTGCCAGAGGAAATAATTGAATTGCTGTCTTTGAAGAAGGCAGACGTGAAGGTTTGGGATTTATTGGCCGGAATCTTCGCGGCACTCCAAGGACAGACAGGCTCGGCATTTGCATCTAAGCTCTACTCTCTTGAATGATACAACCAACAAACAGCACAAGCAATGTAGCTTGCAGCATGCACGGCGCTCCTGAGCTTGAGCCCACCCTTCAAGTACAAGGCCTGCCAAACAAATTGCCACCGTACTTGCAGTTTGAGATGTGGGCTAAATCCCCTCTGTTTCCCAGCAAGAGATGGTGGTTTCCTGCCTAATCTGACGAGTCTCGAAACCCTGATTCTGAGAACTGCATGAGCATCCAAGCTCGCAGGCCTGCATATGGAGATAGATGAAGAGCGACGTTCGATACGAAAAGGTTCCTAAGCGAAGATGGTGAAATTGAGGGGTTCCGTGTCGCGGCTTTGGAAGAAGGGGTTTTGGGTTCAAGATGGAAGCATGAGGTGTCGAATGCAGATTACCGATGTCCTCCGGTGTGTGCAGCTTGGACGTTCGGATCTCAGGCAGTTTGAGTTTAGCGCGACGTCACCCCTCCCTTGATGCCGGCATGGAAATGGCTTCGCAACTCTGACGTCGCCACCAACCACTGAAGCCTTCACCCTTCCAGAACCCTGAACCCGAAACCCAACAAGACCAAGAAGTCGCGCCGAAGGTCGGTACGCTTCCGGACAGGGATGGGTGTTTCCCCTTTGAGCCGGTTGGCTGTGGAGACATCGCAAGGCTTCGAGGTTCAGGGTTTAGGGCCTAAAGGGCTCAGGCTGGAGGCTTTGGGCTGGGGAGCGGTGTACAACATTGAGACTGAGGGGTGATGGTGGCTTCAGGTTCTGGATAGAGGGGTTGAGGTTCACATGAAAGCTGCAAGAGCTTCGGACTGGGATTTGGCAGGGAGGATTTGGGACCACTCGACGGCTCAGGCTTTGCAGCGGGCAAGGTAGTTCGGGAATACCCACTTCGTACAACATGCCATGGTTCGGCCTTCCAAGCGAACCAAACCATCTGGTGATGAAAAGGCATATCCCAACAAACAGTCTTGCTTCCTTAAAACTGAAGGATTACCATTGCGATGAAAAGGCCCGGATCCAAAACAAGCCCGGGGCACCTCCTTATTCAAGCTCAACCTAAAGTCGCTCTGAGGTAACATTTGGGGTACCATTTGGGGGTCTTTCAGGCCACAGCACAACAGAGAGCAGCGGTATCCACACGAGCATCCACCCCTATCCTCACCTCGCCGCTGCGTCGTCGTCGTCCGTCCTTACCGCTATATTCTCGCCCGCCGCGCCGTCGTCGCCGCATCGTCGTCGTCGCATCGTCGTCGTCGCATCGTCGTCGTTGTCGTCGTCGTCGCGTCGTCGTCGCATCGTCGCCGTGCTCGCCCCGCTGCTCCGCGGCCCGCGTGCTCCGCCTGCTCGCCCCTTCTCGTGCGCCGCCGGCTCTGCCCGGGCTCATGCCGTGAATGCCAAGGTGCTGCGGGCTGCCTGGGCTCGCAGCCTATAGGACTATAGGACCACATCTGCGGCAGCCCTCGCCCGTCGTCGTCGCCGCGTCGTCGTCGTCGTCGTCGTCGTCGTCCCCGCATCGTCGTCGTCACGTCGCCGCGTCGTCGTCGTCGTCATCGCCGTCGCATCGTCGTCCGAGCCGAGCGTTGTCGCATCGTCATCCGAGCCGAGCGCAAGCGTCCGAGCCCATCCTCGCCGCGTTGCCGACGTCGTCGCCGCCGTCGCGGCCGTCGCGACGTCCGAGTCTGCCACCGTCGTCGGTCCCACAGCGTCATCGCCACCGTCGCCGTCGTCCGAGCGCTGCGCGACGCCCCGCCGCGTCGTCGCCGCATCGTCACATCCTCGCCCGTCCGAGCCCGCCGTGGCCGCTTGCCGCCCGCCGCCGTCGTCCGTATCCTTAGTTTGGCTGTATGGCGACCTCGAACACTTACTCGTCGTTGGTCTGGCCTCGCCCTGCCCTCCGCGCCCCTATCTTCCCCCGCCGCGCTGCTATCACCGCGGCCTGTTCCCGGCCTGTTCCCCCGCCATCGTCGCGTCGTCATCGTCGCCATCTGAGACAGACATCTTGGCTCGGGTCTTGTCGTTGCCCCCAATTACAGCCCTGCAGCCCCGCTTCCGTCGTGGTCGGGTCGTCGTCGGTCGTCGCCATCGCCGGCTTGTTTTAGCCTTCTTTAGGCTTGTTTTACAGGCTTACAGTAGGCATCTAGGATTCGGGCAAACAATTTCTCATTTTGGGGTCGTTGCTTCTCGCTTTCCTTCGTTGTTTCTGTCATTCTGTCGTACGGGAAAGCAATAGTTCTTTGATGTTCAGTATTTTTGATGTTACTGCATATATTTCAGTCTTTCTTACGTTCTGTATTAAGGAAAGCTATAATTATGTTGATGTTTCTGTATTTCTTTTGTAGGTTACTTAGTTTGTTTTTGAGGGCTCCACGACCGGGGGTGAAGGCGAGCCTTCCGCCCTCCCACGTGCCTCCAGAAGGTACCTGCGCTTGCTGCCACTCTCGTCTCGATCAGCTTTCAATGACGCCAACTCGTGCTTCGTTCACCCTGGCTTCATCCATGTATTTACTTCGTTCATGTTAAGCCCCAAGCCAAGCCTCATGAAGCGCACCGAAGACCAGGAGCGTGGCGATGACCAGCGCCGTGAAGGGCCAGAACCTGAGTTGAGGGCAGGCTGTTTCGCCGAAGCCAACAACGGAAGCACTGCGACGCTGGAGTCTTAGCGGTTTTGAACATGGAATGGTGCTCGCATCCCACTCAAAACTCCAGGTCTCCAGCCATAGGCCGTTACCGGCAGAAGCCTCTAGGACCTCTAGCGATGCAGTCGCTTAATTTAGCGCCTGCGGATCTTGTTGGGCGGATAGACGGGAGGAGGAATGAAGCAGCCGCGGTAGAAGTTGCAGTTGGTGGCCATCGTGTAGATGTCAGACTGCGGCCAATCGCAGAGCGTGCGGAAGCACCGGCCATCCGCCATATAAGGCAGGCCCGGTGGACAGCCAGACTCATCTGCTTCGACCGCATCCTCCATGGTGTCCACAGCAGCCTCTGTGGACTCTGCAGTCTCTGCACCCTCCTCCAGCAAACCGATTCTGCAATTCCGGTAAACTGAGCAGTCCATCATCGAATACATCACTGCTTTCGGCCCAGGACATTTGTTCCTGAAGCAGTACATGCCATTCGGACCTGTTTCGTAGCCGGCGGGGCAGCCAGCAGCCCACTCTACCTTTTCGAGCCCCGCAGAAAGCTCCTCGGACTTCTCCAAGTCCAACTCCGACTGCTGGGCGCCTCTCATCTGCACTGCGCTCAAAGCACAGGTGCCGCTGCCGTCGCACTCCCCATCCAGGTCCAGCGAAGCATCCAAGTCGTTGACATCGGAGGCAAGCGCGCAGCCGAACAAGAAGACGGCACCGAAACGGGCCAAGAAACCCAAAGCCATCTCAGAAGTGATGGAAACAAGCAAAGATGCTTCACTTTGAGCAAGGCAAAGAGGCTGCGAAACCCAAAGAACATTGAAGGCCGAAATGGAAGGTTGATGAGCCCGGCCTCCAATTCTAGCAAGTCTAAGGCTGCATCTGGTCATCATTCTCCAGCAATGGTCTAGTATTTTACTTATGGTGGTATTGTGTAATATCCTCTTCTCTCCATCGCCCTGCCTGCGGCTGCCAATGCTGTCTCTCGCACATCTAGGTCGAAGGTCCTCACAGGAAAGCACACTAAACCAAATAAAAAGCTGGGAAACGTTCTCTAAAAGAGTGCGATGATTGCAGGAACACTCTTCTGGAACGAGTCCTTGAACGGATTGCCTCATGAAGGCCGGCAGCATCACCATCCTCAATCGCCCAAGCCAACGCAAGCCATCTCATGAGACATTTTGGGCGCTGACACGATGAAGATGGGAGGTCCTGTCACGAGTCACCTCCAAATGTCGAAGCGCATCGCGGTCGCAAGGCCTCAGAAATGGAAATGAAGATTCAGCGAGGCAGCCTGCACTCCACTGAGTCACCGGGCCCGAGTGCGGCGACCAGAACGCGGACTTCGGAGAGCCCTGCCGCGACGCTCCGCTCTGCTTCCCCTCCCGCTCCTCTACGCTTTCCGCATCTCCCCGTGTTTCCCTTCTGATGCTACTTTGCCTGCACTTCCTTTGGGCTCGTCCGCCACATCCCTCGACGCCTGGCTGAGTCTCACTGCATTCGCCCCATTCTCAAGACGATCCCTCACCCCTCACCTGCACTTCCTTTGGCGCTTCATCCACCTCAGCGAAGAAGGCAGGCCTGGTGTCGGAGAAATCGGAGAAAGACCAAAAAAAGGCTCCCGGTAAACCTCTGCTCTGCGCCTGCTCTGCCCTCCACCTCCGATTCAAGGAGGCGTCGCCTTGAGCCATCGCCCTGGAGTTGGGCCCAAGAGGAAGAGGAAGAGAGGACAAAAAACATGCGGCCAAAAAGTTGGAAAAAAATACACAAAGACACATGAAGAGCACTGATTTCGTACGCTCGTCATTGCTTTTTCGCACTGCTGACATGCCAGTACAGCGAATGAGGCTACTTACAGGGCTCTACGTCTCTATTTCGGGCCAGCTGCACAGCACCGCTCGCAATCCGAAGAGAGGGCATGCTGGCTGCTGGCTATTGCTGTGACGGGGCGTTGAGGGCGGTTTCAGGTCGGATGTGCGAGCCACCACAAACTCTGTGCGATGCAGGCGGCGAACGCTCAAACTCCGGGCCATGCTACTCCCGGCCATGCTTTGAGGCTGGAAATCTGCCTTTGGAGATGCTGTTGCGCTAGGACACTAGGAGCAGCAGCCAAGCATTGTCCCCTCAAGTGTGGGACAGCAGTTCCCGCTGAGGCGAAGATCCACACATGCTGGGTGGGCACTGCATTCCGGGTACTCCATAGGCACCTTTAGCGGGGGTGCCCCCCTGGATCTGTCGATACAGGAAAGGTAGAAGTTGCAGTTTGTCGCCATGGTGTAAACCTCGAGCGAACGCCACGTGCATTTGTTGCGAAAGCACCTGCCGTCAGCCAAGTAAGGCATCCGTGGAGGGCAGTCCCAGCTCGCCGAGGGAGCGGCAGGACCCCCGATTACGCAATTCGAGAACCGAGAGCACTCCGCCATGGAGTAGAAGACGGCCTTTGGCCCTGGGCACATGTCGGAGAAGCAGTACTCACTGTCAGCTCCACCTGGAAGCAAGCCATCTGGGCAACCACCAGAAGACTGCCTCACCTTGCTCGCCACCCCCATCTCGAGGCCCGCAGAAAGCTCCTCGGACTTCTCCAAGTCCAACTCCGACTGCTGGGCGCCTCTCATCTGCACTGCGCTCAAAGCACAGGTGCCGCTGCCGTCGCACTCCCCATCCAGGTCCAGCGAAGCATCCAAGTCGTTGACATCGGAGGCAAGCGCGCAGCCGAACAAGAAGACGGCACCGAAACGGGCCAAGAAACCCAAAGCCATCTCAGAAGTGATGGAAACAAGCAAAGATGCTTCACTTTGAGCAAGGCAAAGAGGCTGCGAAACCCAAAGAACATTGAAGGCCGAAATGGAAGGTTGATGAGCCCGGCCTCCAATTCTAGCAAGTCTAAGGCTGCATCTGGTCATCATTCTCCAGCAATGGTCTAGTATTTTGCTTATGGTGGTATTGTGTAATATCCTCTTCTCTCCATCGCCCTGCCTGCGGCTGCCAATGCTGTCTCTCGCACATCTAGGTCGAAGGTCCTCACAGGAAAGCACACTAAACCAAATAAAAAGCTGGGAAACGTTCTCTAAAAGAGTGCGATGATTGCAGGAACACTCTTCTGGAACGAGTCCTTGAACCGATTGCCTCATGAAGGCCGGCAGCATCACCATCCTCAATCGCCCAAGCCAACGCAAGCCATCTCATGAGACATTTTGGGCGCTGACACGATGAAGATGGGAGGTCCTGTCACGAGTCACCTCCAAATGTCGAAGCGCATCGCGGTCGCAAGGCCTCAGAAATGGAAATGAAGATTCGGCGAGGCAGCCTGCACTCCACTGAGTCACCGGGCCCGAGTGCGGCGACCAGAACGCGGACTTCGGAGAGCCCTGCCGCGACGCTCCGCTCTGCTTCCCCTCCCGCTCCTCCACGCTTTCCGCATCTCCCCGTGTTTCCCTTCTGATGCTATTTTGCCTGCACTTCCTTTGGGCTCGTCCGCCACATCCCTCGACGTCTGGCTGAGTCTCACTGCATTCGCCCCATTCTCAAGACGATCCCTCACCCCTCACCTGCACTTCCTTTGGCGCTTCATCCACCTCAGCGAAGAAGGCAGGCCTGGTGTCGGAGAAATCTGAGAAAGACCAAAAAAAGGCTCCCGGTAAACCTCTGCTCTGCGCCTGCTCTGCCCTCCACCTCCGATTCAAGGAGGCGTCGCCTTGAGCCATCGCCCTGGAGTTGGGCCCAAGAGGAAGAGGAAGAGAGGACAAAAAACGTGCGGCCAAAAAGTTGGAAAAAATACACAAAGACACATGAAGAGCACTGATTTCGTACGCTCGTCATTGCTTTTTCGCACTGCTGACATGCCAGTACAGCGAATGAGGCTACTTACAGGGCTCTACGTCTCTATTTCGGGCCAGCTGCACGGCACCGCTCGCAATCCGAAGGGAGGGCATGCTGGCTGCTGGCTATTGCTGTGACGGGGCGTTGAGGGCGGTTTCAGGTCGGATGTGCGAGCCACCACAAACTCTGTGCGATGCAGGCGGCGAACGCTCAAACTCCGGGCCATGCTACTCCCGGCCATGCTTTGAGGCTGGAAATCTGCCTTTGGAGATGCTGCGCTAGGACACTAGGAGCAGCAGCCAAGCATTGTCCCCTCAAGTGTGGGACAGCAGTTCCCGCTGAGGCGAAGATCCACACATGCTGGGTGGGCACTGCATTCCGGGTACTCCATAGGCACCTTTAGCGGGGGTGCCCCCCTGGATCTGTCGATACAGGAAAGGTAGAAGTTGCAGTTTGTCGCCATGGTGTAAACCTCGAGCGAACGCCACGTGCATTTGTTGCGAAAGCACCTGCCGTCAGCCAAGTAAGGCATCCGTGGAGGGCAGTCCCAGCTCGCCGAGGGAGCGGCAGGACCCCCGATTACGCAATTCGAGAACCGAGAGCACTCCGCCATGGAGTAGAAGACGGCCTTTGGCCCTGGGCACATGTCGGAGAAGCAGTACTCACTGTCAGCTCCCCCTGGAAGCAAGCCATCTGGGCAACCACCAGAAGACTGCCTCACCTTGCTCGCCACCCCCATCTCGAGGCCCGCAGAAAGCTCCTCGGACTTCTCCAAGTCCAACTCCGACTGCTGGGCGCCTCTCATCTGCACTGCGCTCAAAGCACAGGTGCCGCTGCCGTCGCACTCCCCATCCAGGTCCAGCGAAGCATCCAAGTCGTTGACATCGGAGGCAAGCGCGCAGCCGAACAAGAAGACGGCACCGAAACGGGCCAAGAAACCCAAAGCCATCCCAACGCAAGTGCGGGGAAAGTGAAGAAGCTGCGCTTTTAAGAGACAAGCGAAGAGAAAGGCTGCGAGGTTGCAAAATCTTCACATGACTGGCTAGATCTTCTCAAGTCGAAGCATGCAGTTTTTGTGCTCTTAGCCGACCAGGAAAGAGGGCGAATCTGGCACGGCCGAGACCGAACCACCGCCAACATACTTACTTCGTACGGCTAACTATGATGTGCTGACGAATCCAGGCGATCCGAGGTGCAAGAAACAAACTCGGGAAGACATCGTCCCTCCAAAGGCTCTCACATCTGAGCTCTGAGCAGTCACATGTCTGGCTGGATGCGATTCTGATGCTGACTTGCTGGCTTGAGCCAAAGAAGCTGATAGCCTCGGCGTTACAAGTTCTCGGCACCTGCAGTTGGGACCGAGCGAACCCAAACAGCTGGAGGGAGAAGAAGACTGTACGGCGAGGTTGGCTTGCACATGCCGTTCCGGGGTCCGTCAGATCCAAGCCAGTTCTGGGCAAGATTCCTTTTCGGTCAAGCGTCGCGGAGGCAATGATAAGCAGATTGCAGGTACACGGGTAACCAGAATCTTTCCAACTGATAAAACTACATCAGAGTTCAAAGTGGAGCATGCCGCAAAGTCATCAATATTGCAGTATTGAGCGAGTCAAAATTATCATCGGCTCATTGCCGCCCAAACACATCTCAGAGGCTCTGCTGCACACAGACAACATGAATTGGCTACCGGCTACCTGTCGGTACCGCAGAAGGGAAACATCATCCCAGCGGCTTTCTGCAACATGCACAGATCATAATGCTGCCTCCTTGCAGAATGAATATGAATCAAGAGCAGCACGGAGCCGTGCACAAGGTCGCTTTTCCCAACAGCACCGCCGCGTGAAGCGCTTCGCATTGCGGCCTTCTTGGATCCCCTGCAGAGCCCTGTAAGGTGCTCGAGGTCCCACGAGCCGAAGGCCTTTCTGCATCTTCCGGGTGCTTTCTGAGGAGGTGGGCAATGAGCCCTTGAGCCCTTGTTCCCCCTCCTCGAAGTTCCTGCGGTCTGCGTGCACTGCAACCCGGCGCTTGTGCGGGGCTCGCGGGTCAGCTTGGCGGGGCTGTCAAGCTCTCCACGATGCCGGCGCCCCCCAGGATCCTGGCAGGCTAAATGGCTTGGGGAGGGTTGCGTCTGAATCCGACGCTGCACGCAGATTTCAACGGTCTGCACTCCGGGTTTAAACGCACGCAGGTGATCGAATGTTTTGGAACCGGCGCTGCACTAAACGACACCCTTCGGCAAAGCCCACACCTGCCTGCCACGGGCGCGAACGCAGGTCGAAGAGGCTCCGGAAGGTTGGGGAGATCAGGTCATGTCGGCAAGTCCTCCAGGCGCTTGCTCCAGTGGACAGCATCGGTACACTGGGTTTCGTTGGGAAGGAATGTACGGAATTACAAGCCGTGCCGATCTACAGCCAACCACCTTGAAACTCGCGCCCTGCTCATGGGTGACAACTCGTCCGACCATAGTTGGAGTCCTACACATACTAAAGTTCTGTGAGGTCTAGATCGAGCCTACAGAAGCTACAAGTTTCAAAATACTGCCATGCTGAAGCCATGGATTGCAATCTCCTTTAATTTCAGTGCTGCTTGGAAGCAACCAGTCGAACAGACGTATGTTTGTGCTCCTATGACGAAACAAGGCAGCCTGGCGCAAAGCAACGCAGGCAACGTGCCTCATCAATAGCGGGTCGCTTCCGCAACTCGGCCTCTCACTTCGGCGCCGAAAACTCCAGCAGGCACTTATGATTTGACTTCGGAGCTTGGGACTACCACGACGGGGAGGTATAGGTCGGCTTGAGCATCAGCACGTGCATTCGTGTCCTTGCTTTTCGTCCTCAAGTCGCTATCAGACATCGTTCTGCCCTCAGGGCCTTGTACAAACCCCTCAGAAGATCTGAAAGTGCCCCGGCTCGGCATCGGGTCCTCAAGCCTGCATCCCAAGCCCTAAAGAAACTTTGCTGACCTCCCAAAATCTTTGCCTCAGCCCAGCTCCAAACCTGAGCTGGGGGCGCGCCTCGTCCCCACAAGCACAGAAGGCCGGGTCGAGGTTTGTCGGCGTGCCTTGCTTTCACCACACGGCTAACGGGCTTAGGTTTCAAGCACTGGTGAAGACTTGACATCATCTGCCGAGTCTAGAAACCCCCTAGCGTAGGCGGCCAGGATGCAATGCTCGTTGGGCCGGTAGCGGGACCTGGCGTACACCACTTTGCGTGTCAAAAATCTTAGATGCCTATGACATTGGCAGCTGCCGGGCACGTTTCCGAGGCTCCGAATGTCATGCTTGGCCAAACCGCAAGGGGGCAAACTGCGCGATGGGTCTTGAGTCGAGGTCTTCGATTTGCTAGACCCGGTGGCTCCAAACCCTGAAGCCTAAAGGCAACAAATGCTGCGCAAATGTAAGATGCCTGGGGAAGAGCTTCAGGAACTCGTCCACGTATCCTTCCACATCCTGTGCAGCGGTGGCAGACGTTTGTGCTCAGCCGGGGTCTAGGTTTGGGATTCGAAGATCGTATACTGAAGGCTGGGGCCGTCGGGCTTGGGATTTTGATGTTGGGAATTTGAGAGTTAAGACCTTGGGTTCGAGGCTTGACCTGCGGAAGCTTAAAAAGAGCACCAACCTACGGCGAACGCCCACGAATACTAGCAGGTACATGTACATGGTATGCTGCCGAATGGCTCGTCTTGAGACACGCATCATACAAGCAAAATCTCCGTCGCGCGAGGACCCTGTATGAATCCGAACCCTGAGTAACCTTCGAGCCTACCGATGCTTGCAACACCACAAGCTGCGTGGGGTTCATAGTTTTCGGAGCGCCCTGGACTCCCCGTTGATCTGTTTGGCCTAGGCCTCCTTTTTCTGACGGTCGTTGGCATCCCGGCGCCTGCAGATTGCCAGACAAGGACTTGAAGCGCATGTAGACGTAGAACCTCATTGACAATGGTCCGCAGAGCGCAGAAATGGAGTTCAGAGCCAAGTTCCACAGCCTGGAACCTTTCCGGGCATTCAAAGTAACCTATCTCGCCGTGGCGTGCAGCTGACCGCAAAGCTTTCGCAGTTGCTAGGAGCGCAAAAAAAAAGATCGCTTCGAAGTGGAGTTCCTTGTGGGACAACTCGTATGGTTGGCAGGTACGAGCGACACACAATATCGTGAGTAAGCGGTTGCCGGGCTTGGGGTTACGGGAGGTTCATACCGGGTTTGGGTTTAAGGCTTACAGAGTCTAGGGTCAAGTTTCAGTATACAACTGAGGCTGGAGACTCCTCGAACCCTCCTGTAGTCTGGGTAGTGTGCAGACTGCGTGCCGGCCTCCCCACCAGAAGGGTTCTTGGCTTCGGCTATGTTTTGGGCTGCTCGCTTTGAGATGGAGGGTTTCCGTTTTACGAGCCGAAGCTGAAAATTTCGGGTTGAGAGGATGTCGCCCAGTACACCGAGCCAGCAGCGCAAGTAGAATCTGAGGCCCCGATCCCCACAGCAGTGTTCAACGGACTGCTACTGAAAGGGCGCCCGGCTCAAACTCCATGCCGTGCGTCGTGAGCATTCCTCATAGTGCAGTTTTTTGCTTTTGTTAGCGAAAGTCCGGACCCCAAACACGAGGCTTCAGCTGTATAAAACCCGAACACCCTGAGACCTCTGCTTCCTCATCGCATCCGGGCGAGCCCGAAATACTAGAAGCCCTCAGCCGTGCAGAGAGCCCGCTGGCCCGAAACCCAGGGATCCCAACATGATAGCCGAAAGGGCTTTACTTGAAAGCAACTCAAGCTCTCAGCAAATAGATCGTCGGTGCTCATCGCAGGATGTAACTACGCTTACTATGCTGCCACCAAAGGTGACCGCTTCAAGTCTTTGCACTGCAAAGTTGCTGGACTTTGCTACCATGCAGCATACGAGTCGCGTCCGCTGCCCCGTTGCTCTTGCAGTGCGCAGGTCTGTGTTTGCGTTGTGACATTGGGAGTCCCCATGAGCAGGGCATCTCAATCGAAACTAATGCAACTCTGTTGCCTATTAAGGCGTGTAGGGTCTACGACGCACTGCGCGATTCTTTAGGGTGAGTGGCAAATGAACAAAGAAGCGCGTCGATTCACCACGTGACACATCATCGATGGACTCATGAACGTATCATCACCTGCAGGAGTCGCTCCCCAAACCCGATGGAGCACCTCTACGAGGTGAAAGTGAAGACAATCCTGCCCCATCTCCAGTAGAAATCACTCAAGACCGCTCCGGACATTCGTCAAGCATATTTTGTATTGACTCACAAGCGGGTCTCTACTTTGGAAGCCAAGTTGCGAAGACGGATGATGGTCCGATCTTCCTTGCCCTTCCCTTGGAGATTGTGCCTTGACTCGCGCGAGCTTACATGTGGTGACAGGCGGAAATGGAGATGGTGGTGGCTGAAGGGGTGGCAGCAGCAGCATGCTAACGTTCGCCGAGAAATGGAAATTCCCCGAATCGGATTTGTTTCGTGGGAAGTCACAACCTGACGCGCATGGCGTTGGATTTGTTTCGTGGGAATTCACAACCTGAAGGCATGGCGGTCCTTGTCGATTCAAAGAGACTCAAGAGAGCACACAACCGCTCGTACTTCTCGGTAACCTGTGGCCCGCGTGAAGCCACCCAAACCATGCAGGCACACATTCGTGTTTGCGTTTTGTGGGCCTTCCCAGCTAAACGCGTGGTGAGGCGGGGAACCGAGATGTCTTCTGCCCAAGCGGCTGAATCCGCTGGTAGCTGGGCAGATGCATCTCACAGTTCAGCAGTTGCTCGAGCCTCGAGATGCGAGGGTCCCCTCAATGCGGCATTGAACCAGCTTCAAAGCTGAGGTAGGTAAGATGAGCTTTCAGGTCTTTCGGAAGTTCCTGATGTCTTATGGCCCCGGGGCTGACGAGTTCTTGGTAAGGAGGTTGCCATAGCCAACTACCCGCAAAAAACAAAGCCACAGAGAGCCTAAGACCGCGAAGATACGGACGTTGGAAGCCCGTTGTAATTTGGAAATAAACTCCTCAGAAACCCTAAACCCTCAATCCTGAGCCCACGAAATCCCAAACCACAACAGCAAGCCGCAAACACTAAACCCTTAAGCCCTAAATCCTAAACCCGAAATCCTTAGTTAAGGGTTCACATAGCCACTGAGGCGCTGCATGGGCCGGCACACGCTCGAGTCCACCCGGAACTTGGGGCCAGCAGCCTCCACGAGCTGGTTCACCTCACAGCGCACAGAACACAGTGATCTAATGTACTATGATGTGCTACGATATGCGAAAACCTCCGATAATACAATATGCAAGTATATCCTCTTTCTCTGGGGGCTTTGCGGGCTCGGATTTGTGGCGTTTTGGGGGAATGTGAATGACATGAAAGTCCCACAAAGCCTCAACGTTGCAAAGGGACCTCTTCGAGGGCTCTGACGGCGATAGCCCATTGCCCGCGCTTCGAGAGCGGGCAGTAACCTTCACATGCAGGGAAAGCCGGCTTGGGACTCGGGTTTCTGTTGCCGAGGACGTAGTTTCAAGGCATCCGACAGTCAGAACTGCGGGGTCTTGTCCGATCCGATTGCTTCATGCTGCTTTATGCTTCCGCATTCAAGCACACCTGACTGCTGGACGTGGCGTGAGTGCATGTCCGGTCCCGGAAGCCCAGTGTTTGTCATCTGAGAGCTTTCATTGGTCTCTCAACCCTGAACCCGGAGACTCACAACGGCAAGTGAAGCGCGCAGCTGGATTCAGCTCGCTGTCTGAAGGATCGCATGCTTCTGGTTTGTGGATACATCGTACATCGTACCCGAATATTCTTCTTCGCTGCATCGCAAGATTTCGACAATGGGCAGCCTTCCATCAGCAGGTCTCCAGGATCGACCCTTCTGAATCCCAAACCCCACAACCCCGAAGCCCGCGGCCTACCCAGGTTCTTGCGCAGCCGCAATGCCACTCTGGCACACCGGCTTGGGTGCAGGTCCTGAGCAGTTTAACCCGGGTCTAGGCTCAGGGTACCGGCGAAGGATTTGGAGATTGTCACTTGAAGGTTTCATTGTTTGATGCCTGAGGGTACGGAGTTTGAAGGCTTGGGGCTTAGCAGCTTTGCAGGGGAAGCTGTTGGATTCCGGGTAAGCCTCATTTCCAGCCTGCCGAGGGAAAATCACAGCTCCCAAGTGGAAAAGCGTCCCCAGATTTTCCGGATGGACAGGCAACGAGCAACAGCATACAAGCCTGAGCCAACAGACCGTACCCTGCTTACTGTAACATTCCAGCTGGAAGTTTGCCTTCGCTGCCGTCTTCGGGCTCCGAATCGGCTCAATGCTTTAAGCTTGACTGAGGCTGGTCAGACGACAGGAGTAGAGGACTCTGAAGTCACGCAAAAGCGAGTTCCCAAGGCTTGAATCGATCTTGTGAGTGATATGCTTACCTTCCAGCTTCCAAATTTCGCTCTTCTCTGCTTGTGGCGCACCTTCGCCGAGGCAGCTTCGAGAGGAGGGATCGGGCCCGGTGGTCCGGAGCATCCTGGCATCTCTTGGGAAATGGACCGGTTCACAGCAATTAATTTGAACTTTGCAACACTCTCAAATAAGAGCGATCATTGCAAATTCTTAACCCCTTAACACAGATCAGCTTGCTACTTCCGAAAATGTTGATGCATGAAAACACCCATTGCACCACCATTACATGCTGCGAATGGCTGCGAAGTGTCAATGCCAGAGGTGATGGTCTGTTCCAAGCTTCAAGCTCGCAGATTGTGCACTGATTGTACGTGTGCCTTCTGCCAACGTCCTACAGCTCGCCGACCCATGGACGCTCTGAGGCACTTCCGAATCACGCCCCGTATCAGTACATGCGTCTAGGCCATGAAATCACTCGAAGACATCTTGCAGTCTCCTACGTGCTCCTGTATTTAATTCGGCGGTAGCTTGCTATCTTTCGCCAAGTTTCCATGGCCCAGCACAACCTACAACCCCCTACCAGGAAAGCCATGAACGACGGAATAGAATCATGAACACCAGGGACCACACGAACCCAGCAACTTGGGAACCGCACCCATTGCAGCTCGTTTTGAGCAGCACCTGCACGAAGAGAGTAGACGGAGGATCAGCTTGAAGAAACATCGGCCGTCGCTGATGTGCGGATTGGACGGGGTCGCTGCAGTATCAATATGCAGACAGCTACACGAGACCGAAGCCCCACATGCACCAGATGGCAAACTAATCGGCCCTCAGTTGCACCTCTAGCGGGCTTGGATTTTGCATTAAGTGGGTCGTTCATTGATCCAGAAGCTAGATGAACTGCTCAGCCTTGGTTTTGGACCTTATCGCACAAGACAAGCTTGAAAAGCATCTGTGTCAGGGATGCTTCTCTACGTTCCTCTTTGCGACGATAGGGTGAAGTACACGCTTCGGCAGGAGAAGGATCCACAGAACCGGAAGCACAGCAGATAACAAGGTGGAACAAATTAATGAAGCACAGGGGGCAAATGAGATGTCACTCGCAACTTTTTCACAAGCGAGAGCTGGAACAGCCGAAGGAAGGCAGGTTCAACCATGGTTGCCTCTTGTATGATGCCCTTTGGAGCATCTGAATCAACAACAAGAGGCGCTCGCCCAATAAAAGAATAAAAATGGGTCTCCAATGATCTCCATGTAAAGCGAATTCATCTTGTACAACGTATGGTTCAACCGCAGCTTACCACAGGACCACGCAACACCCCCCATGCCCAAGAGTGCACTTGCCCTGGCCAGCCTTATCTGCTTTGTCGAATTTCTGCGTGCGATGAAGGCTTAGTGCTAGTGCCCTTGCCCCTGTGGAGGCTGGCTTTGGGGCTTCTATTGCGTAAAGCCGTGCCCACACCATGCAAGAAGCCTGGCGCAAGAATTGAATGACCACAGACATACCAGTTGCTGGAGTAAGGTGCAAATGCTGGAGAAAAGCCAGCAACGGTGAGGTGCATACGACTTGTTGCGTTGCTCTCAAGGGCAGCTTGAAGCTTGTTCCTGAGGACCTTGTCGCGGCCCGAGGCAGCTTGTCAATGGATCGCTGTGCTGTCTTCGTCTTCATCGTCATCCCGCCACTTTCCCAATATCTCAACATCTAAAAGTGCTAATTGGAATCTACTCTTCACTTCAACCCCAGCTCAGCCAAAACGCATAGCTGAAGGACTTGTCGACGGGAAACTTCCCTGGCTCCGTGCCTCCAGGATCCTTCCCCGAGATGATATGCCGCAGGGTTGCATACCTGAGGCAGGTTTTCCACAGCTGGCGAGCTCAAGCTTTGCAACCACCTGCTCCAGCCGAAACCTGGAATCCGCCACGTCCTGGACCCTAAGTACGATGCTCTACTCTCACGTTGTCTTGCCGTCACTGCACTGAGCCCGTCGCACATCATACCAGGAGGAGATCACGAAGCGGTTCTGCTCCTTACGGCGGCTGGGATACCGTGCTTCATGGAGCCTCATAATGATACAAGTAGAAATAACCCAGCCCAAACTCCTCAACACCTGAAGAGGTTCGGAACCACAGAACTGGAACCCCGAAAACCACCGGGGCAGCGGCCAGGTTCCACATGTACCGCCTCCAGAGCCGAGCATTCTCCTGCCCGGGGCCGGAAAACTTGCTTCGGCGCTGTCGGGGCCCACCCGGGGCGAGGCGCGTCGAGGCCCGGAGTGAGGGGTTTCCAGCTTGGACCCAAGACCACCGGACTCGGAACCTTCAGCCGCCCGAAGCCTTGACGTAGACCGCTCGGTGCGCAAGCCCACAGGTCAGGTTTTGGGGGGCATCACAGCCGAGGTCGGCGAGCCTCGGCCGCTCCTCTCAGTGTCCTGCGCTGATGAGAGCGAGGCTACAATGAGGCTTCAGGCTTGAGTGCTCAAGGTTATGGTCGCAATCCAAAGCTAACTCCCAACACACTTGAAGCACTTACCAACCTTAGCCACAAACAAGTCATTCACAAAAGCATCTCAGGCTCCGCTGAAACGTGGAGCTGCCAAGACTCGGTCCCGGTGAGGTTGCTCTGGAGATGAGGCAACCCACAGTTTGTCAGCAGGCCTCTCAAGTCCCGGCTTTGCAGGTACCCTACACCTTCAGTAACTCAGGAGATGGAATGGGGTCTGCATGGTCTGCAGATGTAGGGTCAAGGTTGTTCTCGAGCATTCACGATTGAGGTTCCACGGCTGCATGACTCACAACAGCTGCACTTTGTTTCACCCCGGGCCTCAAAACAGAAACAGATAAGAGGGCTCGAAGGCTCCACTCCAGCAATTCCAGATGCCAGGCCCCAAACCCAAGGAAGTTGATTGAAGCGCGGCAGGAAAACATAAGGCCTGCACAGGAACTCTCCTCCGCGCCTCCGCAACCCACGTCCGGCAGGCGCGCTTCTGGCACCAGAAAGGAGACCTCTTAAGGCTTGAGGTGCCGCTGAGTTTTATAGATCGGGCTGACACTCAACCCTGTCCCAAACGTCACACAGCAGTTTCGCGAAGATGCGCATTCTGAGGTCAAGTCCAAAGGCGACTTCCTGGGCTAATGCCAGGCTGTGAGGCGAAGTCGATGCACGTGATATTGGAATGGAAGCGGACATAGGCTCAGAGCCGATGCTTAAGGTTCATTGAATGCCCAGAGCATCATCCAAATTACTTTCCGGAGGTTCGAATCATCACTAGACGATGGGAACATGGAGAATTGCAACTTCGAGGCCAAGCTCTGAACACGAATGCGAGCATGGCCACAACTGCTTTTGGCTACGAGGGCAGACCTTGCGGCATCAACTTCATGCGACCCTCATCCTCGGTGTCGTCTTCAACATCGTTAGCATCGTCAGCACGGTCATCATCATCATCATCGTCATCAGCATCATCATCGCAGTCAACGCAACCGTGGGTAATCATCATGACTATCACCACCGCCACCACCACCGTTATCATAGTCATCACCATCATCATGCGGCAATGCTGCGGGCCGGAACACTGCCACAGCATGGCAGCCGCCACCACCAGCAGCACCAACAACAACAATAATAATAACAACAACTACTACTGCTGCTGCTGCTGCTACTACTACTACTACTACTACTACTACTACTACTACTACTACTACTACTACTACTTCTACTACTACTACTACTACGACGACGACGACAACGACCACGAAAGCAACGACAGCAACGACAGCGACCACGACGAAAACCTTCATCGCATTCACGAAGCATGAGGCCAGCCTCAAACTGTCGAAAGCTCAAGAACAGAACTACACTTGTTTTCGGGCCCCTTCGGCCCAAGAAGCCCCCAGAAATCGTATGTAATCAGGGTGTGGCACAGGTGTCAACTGTACCTGTACGGGTTGCAAAAACATCCGAACCTTCGCTGAGCCTTGGTGCTTTACTCCAAACGTCAGGTTTGGGGCCCATGCTCATCACACTCGTTGGGCGGACCGTGGTCCCCAGCTAAGACCTGGACTTTTGGACCATATGCCAAGGAGTTCACAGCAAAAGGCGCAGGGTTGCAAGCAGGCATCGGCGAATGCCGTGGAAGCAGGATAGAAAGTGTTCAAAGCTTGAGGCTCTTGGGGCGAGGCGCAGGCTTCCCAGGTGCAAGGCTCTCTGAAACTTGGAGGGACTTCCCTTTTTTGTCTCTTGCGGTTGCATGAGTGCTCGGGCCAAGTGTCTACTCCCTCGAACCGCTGCTGGCCACTCTTCCTGCCTCGAAACTCCACCCCGGCTCAAACGACTCCGAAAGAGCCTGTAGCCCGGAACCTAAGCATCAGAGAGCCAACACCGAGAGTCCGGAGACAGGGCGAGCCACCCTATTAGGTCTCAGCTTCAAGCCTACGCCCTGAACCTTCAACAAAAGCCGCAATACACCCCCGAACCGCTTCAGCTGCGCAGAAGCAAAACGTGTCGGCAACACGAGAAGCGGCCGAGCCTCGGGTGGGAGCCTGCCAGCCCAGGTCTTACGTTTGTAGTTGCGTTTAATAGCCCTATAAGGGAACCATGGCATCACAACCCTGAAGCCTCAAAAACAAAAACGAAGCTGGTTTCGAAGATCCCTCCCGGGCTAGTCGTGGCAACAGAGGCAGTATATCGTAGTGGTCATCTCAGAAGTTGGCTGAGAGACAGCAAGATTTACAGGAACAGGAGGAGCAGCGACAGACGAGGACAGACGAGGACGAGGAGTCTGAGAAGGAGAGGGTGACTTGGACAGCTACAGTCCTGGCGCCTGCTGAGGCCCTCGAGGTGCGCCGCCAATGCCTCGTCCTTACAAACAGAAGCAGTAATTCTTTGGGGGTTACGTTATAATAGAAAGACCGGGTACCCTTGTTCTGCCCGACTGCCCACCTTGCGGAGAAAGTCCTCCGATCGTCATACGTCGTAGTAGTAGTAGTCGTGGGCGTAGTTGTTGCTGTAGCAATTAGTGGGTGTAGTGGGGGTAGTGGGAGTGGGAACACTACAGTCGTCGAGGCTGAGCTCAACTTCGAAAACACATCATCCAAGTTTTACCGTAAACGGAAGAATAGGGCAGGGGACAGTTCTCCAAGAACCGCGCGAGCAGCTGCAGCGCATGCTGAGATTCGTGGGAAGCCTAGCAAGAGTTCGAGCTGGAGCAAACTCCGGGAAGTTCCCCATCCCAGCCTTCGGTACCCCTGCAACCCTGAACCGCACTCTAACCCTCGGAAGCACCCCTTTGCTTTGCAAGTGGGGGTTCGGAACAGAACTCATTTGACTACACTGTGCAGCACCCCCAAGCCCGCAAACCGATTGTGGAGCCGGTGTCGGGCGTGAGGAGCTCAACTCGAAACTCTGACCCGGGAACCCCACACCCTAGAGCATGTCGAACTTGATCCCTGCGTCCCATGACCGAAGAGCACCTGAATCGACATCACACCTGAACGCATTTAAGGATAGCTGTAGCAGCAGCTCTTCTCCTTCTACTACTCCTATTACTACCACTACTACTCGTGGAGTAGACGGCGGAAAGGAGGGACTACGAGGTGCTGCACACTCCAATGTTGCGACGTGCGATCGAAGAAGCGCTGCAGCAGCAGCAGCAGCAGCAGCAGCAGCACCACCACCACCACCACCACCACCACCACCACCGCCATCGGCACCATCCCCAGCACACACTAGACCACTGCCAACACCAACAACAAACCCGACTGGTTTTGAAGTTCTAAGCCCCTCAGCCGAAGCCTCGAGGTGCAGGTAGGCAAAAACAGGGCCATCGGAATGGATCTCCTGGCCAGGGCGCATGGCCTTTGAATTAGAGCGTCCGTTTGTCCGGACTCAGAGCCTGTAGTCGAAGTGACCTGGTAGGTTCTGACAGAAGCTCTCCGTGTTGTATGGGAGAACAAGGAGCGAGAGACAGAGAGATAGAGACAGAGATACAGGTGGACAGACAGCCGAAGGTTCGCTTGGGCGGACTGTCCAATGGTTTGTCACTGGCTGTGTTGGCCTCCTATCTCTAGAGGCACGCTATCCCAATGTAGCCCGAGTATCGGGTAGTCGGTAGGGCTGAAGGGCTCAAGATCTGATGGCAGGAAGGATCTTGATTCATTCTCACCTTCTCTGCCATATCACAACACCCGTCCTGAAGCAAGTACCAAAGCCTCCACACCCAGCCCCCAAGATGAACAATAAGGCTTCAGGAGATTCGGCCTCGCATGCTCGGGGTTTTACACAGCACCAAAAGCCTACACTCGAAAGCCCAAACAGCGATTTACACGAAAAAACTCTTCACCACGGGCAAAGCCGTCTGTTTACCCGGCGTTCCTGGAAGCGGAGGAAATAGTCCAGCAAGTGTTCACTCGGACGCTTCCCTCCGATGCAGCCGCGCTTCCCTTTCCTGGCTTTGCTCGGAATTGGGGTCTACTGGGGTTACCTCATCTGTAGGTTTACAGAACACAAACGAGCCCACTATTTTTCCTAATAACTAGATTTTCTATAACTTCCGTTTGTACGCAGCGGACGTGTGCTCGGTGGCAATTTCGGAGTCGCAAAGCAAGCAGTTGGCAGTTGACGCCAAATCCACGCGAGCATTTCTCTGAAGCTCTGTACCCTTCACCCCAAAGACTGTACCTTACGCCATCTACCCTGAAAACCCTCAAGCCCTCTGAGAAGTGGAGCCTTTCCAGCATCATGGCACGCCATTCCTTAGATCCCAATGGCTAATGCACTCTGGTCACAACGAGAAGCTTGTCATTGAAACTCATTGAAGAGACCTGGTGATCAGTCCGAGTCAGTCCCAGCTTCGTGTTGAGAATGGCAGTTCGGATCGATCTCCAGGCTGGGGACGACACCTCAGAAGGCGGAATGGCTCAGGAGACCTCGTCGGCCCCGAAACCGGGAAGCCCCTCTAGTGTCTTCACGAAAAACCCTAAAAAATATCCCTTGAGAGTCAACGCTTGTCCCGAAACAGCCGTGAGCAAAGAAACCCCAAACCTTTCCCTTTCCCAAAGCCTCGACCTACACGCCCAATCCTGGCTTTACTTTCAGTAGGCTCCGTCTCCGGCTCCAAACCTTTGAGCCTCGCACTGGACCCGCGGCCCTCCAAAGCTTGTGTTCGTGAAGCCGCATTTGAAGCTGTGTAGCTTTGTCCCTGAGTTTGCCGCCTCGATAAAAAGCGGTCAACTGGGTCAACCCGCCACGCCCGCACGCCATGCCTTTCCATCTTGAGTGTGGCAAGGCTCTTGAAAGATCGCTTCGCGCTCGACACATTGCGGCGATCACGTGATCCGCCGGTCGGGCACACGTCCGTTTGGCGCACCGTTCACTTGTCGAAATTAAGAAAACTGCTGAAAATTAATACCTCGGAACCCACCAGCCGGAAGCAAAAAATGACGAGAACACTTCACTTAGCCACAGCGCATTGCATCATGCCACAGGTTGATGAAAGCACACATGTACCGCGAGACCAACTACGCAATCTGAAAGCAAAACAACAGTGAAACTCGATGTACAGGACCCCACCCCCACCCCCTCCCCCGATATTGATTGTACATACCCAGCGAGACACGCTTCAGGCCCGGGCGGTCGAACTGGCCAAGCCACTTGCGGCAGTATCGGGTGCCAAGAAAACCTCTGCACGGCTCAAGTCAAAGCACGTATGTGTTTGGGAGATTCTCTTGTTCATCGGACGCCTCAGGGCGTAACGGTAGGGGTTCACGAGTTGGAGCACGGCAGACTATACCTACTGCTGCGATCAGGACCCACAAACGAACGCAGCTTCATGTTGCAACAAGCACGCAAGTAGCTGTGCACAGCCCATACTCCGAGCTCCGGAAAGCTTTCAACACTTGAACCTGTCTACTTCCCAGAATAATATGCTATAATACATTTCCTTACCACATAATGTACTGTAATATGCTACAACGTACTGTAAGACTGCCTCGAAATTCCTCAGATAAAAACTCTCCGTGGGCGGATTCAAGTCCTCGTCATCAGACTCGACTACACGTGAAGGGATAAAGTCGGTAAGTGAAAAACAGCGCCACGAGCCGCCAATCCAAAGCCCACGCTACAAATCATACCTGCGCATCTTCGGAAGGCATCTTCAGCTCCGACCCGAATGTACGGACCTGAACCTTATGCTCTCCAAACGCGTCGCCGACAGACCCCCAACAGCGACAGAAGCGCAATTCATGGGCAATGGCCATTGCAGCCGGTGGCGCCAAAAAGCGTCTTGTAACCTGTGGCGAAATCAGAAATACTGGGGCACGAGAGAGACTTAGACTCAGATCGGCATGAAGGGCTTCTCAGCATTCTCAGGCTTGTGGTGGGGGATGAGTTTCGTGTTCTGTAGTCTGGGATTTGCTGCTGTCGCCTTGGCTTTCTGCAAACCTGTTCGAGGACGTGGATCTCGGGTTTGATCTGCAAGCTATCTGTCTTCAAACGATCGAAACTGGCTGGAACATCTGACGCGTGTCGAAGACTATGTGTGGCCTCTGCAACGAACCCTGAACACAAACCTGTAAAGATCGAACTGAAGCTTTGCGTCGGAGTCTGTCTGGGGCTTTTGCCATGCTTCTTCGCGATGTTCCAGAGAAGCCGTCCCTGCAACGCAGCATGATGACTGTCATCGGGATGTGACCGGAATCACTGCGATTGTCATGGCTCCTGTGCGCATGGTGATGTAGCTGAAGTTGAAGATGACAGCACCCGGCATCATCATGATGATGCTGATGCTAATGCATATTCTGGCTGATGCCTGACGACAAATACAATACATCGAGAAGCAGGACGAGAACGAGGAGATGCTGCTGGTGCTGTGACCTACGAAGTCATCGTGTCCCCACGCTTTTCGCCAATCACTATCGCCACCACCACCGCCACCGCCAAAACGTTCGCCGATATCAGCATCATAAGAATTTCTCTGCGTTTTGGAGACTCCATGACATGATGCTGAAAGAAAGCCTAGGATTGCTAAGCCACAGAGTCCACAGAGGCAGAATCCGACTCGCACGAACCGTCTAGTACACAGCAAACCGCGCCGCACAGAGACATACTGAAGCACATCCCTTATCCTCAAAGCACTCGGAATCAACACGAGAGAGAGAGAGAGAGAGAGAGAGCTAAAACTGAAAGCCTGACTCTTATTGGACCCAGGAAGACCTGAAGCGTGGGCCGTACGCTGTGGTGCCTCCGGAATCCCTTCCAGAACCGTTTCACATCTCCAGCCGGCCTGAGGCGGGAAGGGGGTCAGTTGAGCGGGGCTATGTAGAGTTCAGGATTTAGCGGCTTAGGACTTCAGGGGTTTAGGGTTGCACGGAAGATTGTTGCTCAGGTGGTTCGGGCTTGAAGGCGTCTGGCATGTCCTTCTGGTCTTGGATCAGCTAAGCTGAAGAGATCCAGGAACGCTGTATGACCTTCTGCTGGACTGCGTTGGACCCCTTTTTGAGCTCTGCAAAGTCGGCGACCGGTAGCTACAGAAGCCTTGGGGTCCACCCGGAAAAGTTGAAAGCTTCCGAGGTTCGGGGCTCCAGCTGGAACGAAGAATCCGACAGCCAGGGTAGCGGAGAGTCCCAAGGTCTCATACACTCTTTCTTGAGTCCCGGCGTGCTTCCTCTGCACCGTGGAGGAGATGCTTGCGCTCACAAAAGCGATCGAATGCGCTCTGCTTTCTTTTGCCACATCCTCAAGGCAGGGTCCAGGTTCCAGTTGCGATTCTTCGCCCACCTGCTTGCCATGTCCAGAGACTTGCCTCGGGGCACAACCTTAGATTTCCAAGACTCGCGAAAAGATCCCCAGGAATGCCAGAACTAAATAAAACATAAAACTTGCCAGTGGGCCAGCAACAGGCCAGCTGACTAGCTCCTGCAATAGCTTCTGGAACAAACCGACTCCTGCAAAATCTTTCTTGCGGTCCTTGTGCTGGTGGCTCCTGCAAGCTCTGTAAAACCATACTGTCAGCAAGTAACCCCACGGCACTGAGCCTGTTGAGCTGGGAGTGCTCGGACAGAACACAGCCTTGGCCACACGGGTCGCATCTCGGGCCCCTTGGTAGACTTTGAATTTGTCCTTCAGCAGGACATCTGCCGCGGCACGAGTCAGGACGCCGGCGGCATTTATTCCGAACAGAGTTTCGAACGGCACACTCTCTTCCTCAAAGTGTGCGTTGAACGGCACAATTTCAAGCTCAGGTATTGTCGCATATTCGACGAGGATGGCTGCCGACTTGTTTCTTAGCTCCACTCTCGTAGGGTACAGCTTTTGCCCCAAGTCCTCCACAAACCTCTCCCATGATGATGGAGGATGGATTGGAAAATCTCCCATCTTGAGAGCATAATCGGAATCGCTGCCATGGATGTCAACACCATATGCCTTGGAGCCTATCTGCTCAAGCTCTGCAACCCCACGTTTGTCTGCCCATCTGTCGTCAGCAAGGTCTCTAACAACCTGCTTAATCTCCTCCAGCTCATCAGCTTCGGAAGGGGAAGGCTCTGAGGGCTTCAAGGACTGTGCAAAACTTCGAAACGACTTCGGATCCCGCAGAGCCTCAGCAACATGCTCCTCGAACTCCTCCTGGCTCTTCGGGGCGGGCTGCACATCCTCCGCTGTCCTGTGAAACTGCCCGTGTTTTCCCGCTGATGCAAATGGCTCGAGTGGAGCTGGAGCTGTAACAAGCTTCCACACTTTGCGGCTTGGCTTGCTTGGCGACGACCTCCTCTCAAGCTTGCCTTCCTCTTCCAGCATATACAGTAGTGAGTTCACGTCCGTCTGTGTCCCACTGTTCCCCACAACAGCTTTGGAAATTGCGAGGGTGTCTGTCCAATCACGCGCTTCCAAATATTCAAGAATCTCGACTGTCCTGTCTCTGCTTGGTGTGCTTGTCGACGACGTTCTCTCGAGCTTTCTCTCCTCTCGAATGGAATGGAAACGGTTCAGCTTCTCTGGCCCGCTGTCTCCGTCATCCTTGCTGATCTGCGCCGCCACAACCTTCCACTCTTTGCGGCTTGGCTTGCTTGGCGACGACCTCCTCTCAAGCTTGCCTTCCTCTTCCAGCATATACAGTAGTGAGTTCACGTCCTTCTGTGTCCCACTGTTCCCCACAACAGCTTTGGAAATTGCGAGGGTGTCTGTCCAATCACGCGCTTCCAAATATTCCAGAATCTCGACTGTCCTGTCTCTGCTTGGTGTGCTTGTCGACGACGTTCTCTCGAGCTTTCTCTCCTCTCGAATGGAATGGAAACGGTTCAGCTTCTCTGGCCCGCTGTCTCCGTCATCCTTGCTGATCTGCGCCGCCACAACCTTCCACTCTTTGCGGCTTGGCTTGCTTGGCGACGACCTCCTCTCAAGCTTGCCTTCCTCTTCCAGCATATACAGTAGTGAGTTCACGTCCTTCTGTGTCCCACTGTTCCCCACAACAGCTTTGGAAATTGCGAGGGTGTCTGTCCAATCACGCGCTTCCAAATACTCAAGAATCTCGACTGTCCGGTCTTGCACTTCAAAGCAACATTGCGCAGAAGGGCTTTTGCAGTAGCGCACACAGGCCCAGCAGCAGAGACGAAAGGGATCTGCGCAGTGGCCCACACAGGCCCAGCAGTGGTGGCAAAAAAGAAATAGGCGAAGAAGCACTCCCGCTGACCACGAACAACCTGTCATGTTGAAACCCGAAAATCACGACAAAGTCCTCAACTGACAGCCAGCCCACCAAAAGCAGATGCGATTGCTAAGGCTAAGGAACAAGAGGTTTCAACTTTTCGAACACAAAGCTCGAAATCCCCTCCCTGGGCCAACCTGGGCTTGCAAGCGCACTGGCCAGCTTACCAGCGCCAAGAGCCCTAAAGCTGCAACTTTGTTCACAGACTTCGACCGCATGCGCCGGTCCATCCCCAGTCCAGTGCATCGGAACGCCCACACTTCTTCAAGCCTGAAATGGCCATGCTTGAACTTGTCGGAACTGTCGCGTGCATCCCATCTGTTTCAACGAATATCCTGACGAGGACCTATGAGCAACCCCCTTGTGTTGCCGTGAGGATTTATCCTGATGACCTCAAGAGGGCTGAAGCCTCCATCAACCCATGCCCTCAAGTTGTCCTAGGCTAAGCGAGGCCGATGACCACCACCGCGGGCTCATGCGCAAACATGGTCCGACAAGCTGACACTGCGATAAACTTAATCCTACAAGTTGCCACATACAAAGCTCATGGCCACATCCTGGACTTGCACCAACGAACAATGTCGTTCTGTAACGGGGGGACCGAATTGAGGAATATTCACTTCTTCCACTCTGAACTTGGGCCCCCGGTTCAGGGCCAAGCCCCCTTGGCATTTTAACTTACCCTTGTCGCAGGTGTCTTCGATATTCGGCAGCATGCTGAAACTTCAGTCAACAACAAACAGATTAAGACATGTCACGCACAATCTATGACTCCGAGCTTCTTCATCCTGCCTGGAATAACCCGTGGTTCAGGGTTTGGAACTTCATTTGGAAAGCCCAGCTCCCAAGCTTCATTTTGGAGCCCCGCCCTCCGTTCGGAGTCTTTGGCCATGTCGAAGGAAAAACCTGGCAGAAAACATCCCTGCAAGAACTGAAACCCGTGATGCGGAGGAAGGGCTGCAACTGCAGGGGAAAGCTTCGGGATATGAAGCAGCGAAGGCTTCCGAGACTTGCAGGTAGAACCATATACTGCCGTTCTGGGAAGTGTTCCTTGATGTGCTGGCCATAGCGCAAACAAGAACCTTCTAGTGACGCTAGTGGTCAACAACCGAGAAATCGCGCAAGGTCGTGCTCAAATGCTGCCCCATGGTGTGAACGTTAGTCTCCTTCGTCCCACCAGCTGCGAGAGGTACATGGAAGGTCAGAGCTGGAATGCAAAAACTTCAAACCCTGAACCTGTCGGTCCCGGTGCCAAACCAACGAAAGACACAAGACTGCAAACCCATAACGTCCCACCACCAAAAGAGCGCGAACCCCAAAGAGTCGTTGACGTGACAACCATACTTGCGGGCCTGTAAGCGCAGGTACCATATTGGCTACCTGGCACGGAGCCGACTTCGAACCCACTTATTTGAGGGGAGGTGTTGCATGTAAGTTCAAGGTTTTTCGTCCATCGCTCAGGAGTTGAGTGCTGTTGGATGTAGGACTCTTGGCTTGAGTTTTGGAAAGACCATATCCTGTGAAACAAGAATCAACTTTAAACAGTATCTTATGGCGAAACGACTTACAGGTCACCCTCAAAGAACGCCAAGATAACCCCTCGACCGAGGTCCGCAACGAACCCAAACTAAAAGGCTCTCAACAGCGAGGGATCACGAATGACGCCCTGAAGCGAATCTCATTAGCCAAGGAGCTCCCGATCAACTGCAACCTCAAGATGAACCCGAAAGAAAGCCGTGCAATTACTCCTGACGAGAATCCCGCTTAGAACCCCTGACAGAACATCCGCGAAGAAACTTCAAAATCAGGAACAGTTGAAACGTCGAGGGCGAGGCCGTGCCGCCATACAAGGCATGGAAAAGCGCTAGGTCAACGACCTGATAGGTCTGTTCGGAGGCGAGAGAGGTCTCACGTTTTGGAGGCGTGCATGAGCTTGGAGGTTTGAGCAAAGGGCTGACGGGGTCGAGGCCTGGGCGACTGGTAAACGTGAACCAGAATCATCTCCGAGCTCAGCTGCCGATTGTACCTGCACCTTCAACTGTCCGAAGTTACAAGTCTCCAGTTCCTATTGGTAGACTCTCGGAGTCGGAGTTCCCTCGAAGAGAGGTGAGGGGCCCCGAAGATCTGAAGACCGGAGCGGACAGCTCACTGAGAAGCGGTGGGCTATCCAAAAGCCCTGGCACGTGAAGAGAGAGGCTGAGAGCTGCCGAGGACTGGGTTCTACAAGTAGCCCCAGGCTTTCCCGAATCAAGATCTGCTGAGGAGTGGACTCGCCACTTCCGGCTGTTTGGGCTCTCCTCGTCAGCACGTACCTCCCACAGAGTACGAAGTCAATCTGACTTGGCCAGAGGCAGACTCAAGGCACATTGAAACCAAATCAAATTAAAGCAAAGTGCTCACACCGAGCTTGAACCCACTCTCTCATGCCTCATTCTAAAATTCCCGAAAATATGGTCCCAAACGACATGAAGCTGGAAGCTGCACTGGTCGCTCCAGCCGGCTCTGCCGTCGTAGAAAAGCCATCGTCTTGGGACAGAAGGCCTGCGCCACAGGGTCAAAAGCTCGTGACTTGTGTGTGTTCGGTGGTTCAGGATTTGTGGTTCTGGGGTTGTCAATTCAGGCTTCCACTTGGAGTTCAGATCTCCCACGCTGACAAACTCCGATGATGACACTCATATCTCGCGGTTTGGTACAAAGAGTTACGGAGAGCTGCAATTAGTGTAGGGTAGCCAGCTTGGGACCTGATCTTCCTCTAGCCCAAGTTACGGATCTGAGGCCCAAACGCGACACACGGGGCAGGGCATCGACGAGTTAGCATTGACAACATCGCATTTGCAAGCTGGGCTCACGTAGTCAAACCAGCCGAACCAGCAGTCAAAGCACCGGTCTGGGGAGACGCGCCCTACAGCATTCGCCCGCATGCCCAGGCGGTGAATTCGTTAAAGAAATCGAGACTACATTGACATGGGAATCGTCCTGCCTCGAAAGCAGTTCGCGATGCGCTCTCAACAATCAGGATATACACCGAAGCGCCTCAGAAAAGTGGGTCGCATCGCTTCGGAATGTGTGCTTGCTAGGTTCAGGCCTCGAGGTGTTGAGCTACATATGGGAACCGGTTTGCAAAATGGGGGCAAGGCCCCGTCCGCAGGGCAGCATTTGGGATATCGATCCGACCGTTCAACCTTTCAGTAGCGGTTCCATGCAAGGTTCGGCTCCTGCGCTCAAGCACTCTGCTGTATGGGGAGTCCGTGATGCCCTCTAAACAGCCATCGGAGTGCGCTGCTGTGTGTCTGTCCGAATGAACAGTCGGCACTGGCGACATATACTATATGAGAGCAGGAGGCCTGACTGCTACCCACCTGCTGAAACTTAGAACATTGACATCGAACCACAAGAGCTCACATCTTCCAAGGAACAGCAAACGAGAATCCAACGGAGGATGCGGGTGCCTGCGCCGCGAGCTAAAAGCAGTTCCCGAGGCCAGCACGGCGATCCGAGAACCCGAAGGGCAAGCGACTTCGCCGCGCCTCGGAAAAACTCTGAATAGCAGCACTGCAGCTGGCAATGCCAACAAACGGCCCTGCAAGCAGCCACTCTGGCGTCTTCGGGTCCAAACTTCCATGGCCGTGCCAGCGCTGTTTGCAACAAACCTCGAATCCTCCTCCTTGGCTCTCCTCCTCCTCCTCCTCCTCCTCCTCCTCCTCCCCCACCTCTTCCTCCTCCTACTTCCTTTTCATTCTCCTGCTGCTACTACTTCGACGACGACTACTAGGACGACACTGACTACGGCTACTACTCTGCTGCTGCTGCTGCTGTCCCAACTGCGTTCTCTGCAGCAGAATTTGGAAAAATGATTGCCAGCCAGCCCGACGGAGAAGCAGAAGGGTCGCAATGCGAGTCCCGGGCCCTCTTGCGGGGTCCGAGACGCTGCGGTTCGATGTGGACGTCCCCAACTGTGGCAGAAGCAGGCTGCTGGTGCTGGTGTGTTCCATACCTACATATAATTACATATACGAACGCTTGCAGGCTTGGTTCACAACAACGCATTGGACATCGAAAGTGTTGTCTCTGTGCCGCAACTTCCATAGTGTTCGTATGCTGCCGCTGCCGAGATTGAGGGGGGATTGTTGCGAGGAGGAGCATCGTACAAAGACCGGCAAGAAAATAACAACGATGGTTGCTGATGCTGATGCTGATGATGATGGTGATGATGATGGTGGTGAGAATGACAACAGTGATGATGATTATGACGATGGCGATGATGACGATGATGATGGTGATGATGATGATGATGATGATAATGATGATGATGATTGTGATTGATGTTGATGATGTTGGCGGTGTTGGTGGTGATGACCATCATCATTATGATTATGATTGTGAACGCTGTGACTAGCCGCAGCCAGCGCAATTGGTCGTCATGTCGACGAATCACTTGACAACCTCACTGCTACTATCCCGCTTTCTTCCCTCATGTCCAAAAACTCTTCGTGTCCTCTCGTCGTTGCTGAAGTAAAGCCATAGCAGCACATGAGCAACATGACCAGACCTGACCTTGGGACTTGTGAGCCTCCGGCTCTGACGCTCTAAGATTCGGGGCTTCGGAGCCTTCCATAAGCGGCGCACAACGGAGCCATCCCACTGCGTTGTGGGTAAGGAAGGCTTTGGGGTGCGAAGCGCGAAAGCCTAAAGCCGACCTGGATTTTCTGGTTGAAACCCAATCCGAAACCCGAAACGCAAAGCCGTTTAGCATCTCCCTGGGTGCCCGGGCACCGGTGGATCGGGCTGGAGATGCGCATCCTAGAGTTTCCGTGTTGTCTTTGGGATCTCGAGCCGTCTCTTCTCGATTGTCCCCATTTTATGTATTGTGGAGCTTACAGGGACACTGAGACAGCTAATGAAGAGCATGCACATTTGAGACTACGGAACGGTGTTGGGCATCGTCGAACACATACACAGTACGCTGCGATGCTGCATGCCCTTTATTCCTCTTCCGTGACACAGGGTAGCGCTTCACGGCGCTTGCGAACATCGAGGCTCAAAGAAAAGCAGGTTTGAGTAGCTCCAAGTTTGGACTGGACCTTTTTGAAAAACCCTTGAAGCAACTTGGCAAGCATGCCTGGTTGAGCTGAGGACCGCGCCCCTCCCAGCCCAACCGCACCGGCAGCTCCTCAACGCTCACCGCACGCTGCACCACATACCTGGGTGTAGGGCTTCTTTAGGGCTTCAGGGCAGAGGCGGAAAGTTTAGCGCACACGCGGCATGTGGGGAAGGCGAGCCCACCCGTCACCCAACTGCATCAGTATGTGGTCCCATGCGTACCACCAAACGTGTTGCCAAACAGGGTGTAGTCTGGTCCGACGCGCGGACACTGCTCGCTCTGTGTTAATCGTGTCGTTACAACGGCTGAAAAGCTCGCAGATGTTTTCGAGGCTCCACGCACAAAAACGCTGAAAGCTTCGAGCGCCCATGTACAGGGCATGGGTGGTTTGGCGTGTCCCGGAAGTCGGGACATGGGAAGGACAAATGTCGGCTCTGGGGTCTACGGCCTTGGACTCAGGAGCTTCTGCCCTTCCTCTCTCGCAGCCTCTGCGAAAGTAAACTCCTTGCAGGGCCCAGGCCGCCTGCCCGGAGACTTTCTTACCTGAAACTCTCGGCGCCCGGCTTGCTGACCCAGGCGTGCGAATTTTCCATGTCCTTCGAGGGTGAAATCCCGGCAGCCCGGAACTCGTCAGAATAAGCGCTTAGGGGACTCTTGGTTCTTAGAACAGGATCAAGGCATGGAGCTGAAGCTCGAAGGTGCGAGTTTGCAAGTCCAGGAGCTAATGGGGGCCTCCTACATGCATCGGCGTTTCAAGACTGGCTGGGTGCAAACGAGTGGCTCCTGCGAAACCAGCGTGGTCTGAAATCCAATCATGTCAGAGTTCAGGCAGAGCTTCTTTCCGAGACAAAGCTTGCAACCCAGCTACAACCAACAATCTGTGTCCCAATATCCCTACCCTTGCACCCATACACACCCAGCGTTGAAGCCAAAGACCTCCATGCCCATACGCTGCAGGACGCGGGTGATGTCCAACAGAAGCAACCTCATCCGAAAGATGTCCGAGGCTTGGGAATTAGGCAACCCCATGTTCACTGAGATGCGAGGCCTTAAACCCGAGCAAGCAGCTTGAAATGTGCAGCTTCGACTAAAGTTCCCACTCGCTTGAGAGTTCTGGCTGTTGGAAGCTGTTCGTTGAGACTTGCTTTTGCTCTGGGAGTTCGGGAGATGAAGGCACCTGCGGCAGCGAGCTTTAGGACTGGGCACCTGTTCCAGTAGCATTGTCGCCGGCAGCGAAATCATGTAGACACGCCATGGACTAGTGGTGCTTGCCCCTGAAAAAAAAAACAACTTCTCGTGCTAACGACTACCTGTTGCGGTTAACGAACTATACTGAAACGTCTCCGGCACATCAATTATGGGTACGAACTCTGACTTTGTACCACCCGAAAGGAAATTCGTCTTCAACCGACCCCATTTCCCAGACTGCGTGGCTTCCCTACCTGGTTTCGGCATAGTTACCTATGTCCAAGTGTTGCTTGTGAGTTTGCCTGGACCCAACACGAATCCCATCAATCTACGAATTTAAACTATCTGCACTGGCTTCCTGCTCCTGGACCAGTTCGGAGACTCTGGTTGCAAAACACTGTGTTCAGCAGCCACATATGTGGAGTCCCGGAACCCGAAACTCTCTGGCCAGACGGCAGACTTCATAAGCTCAAGACTCCGGAAGGTTGTTCCCTCGCAGCCGGATCAATTCCTCAGACCGCGCGATGAAGTGGCTGAAGGATAGGGCTTCAGCACCACAAGCATCCGCTTTATGATTTTAGGTGCCCGGGACGACTCCAGCCTGTGGCAGTTCTGGGTTCGCTCTTGTTCTGGTGCATGGGTTTGTGTGCATGAGGGGGGGGGGGGTTGGGTCCCTCTTGCACATGCCTGCCTAACGTTGTCAGCACACTCGTGCGGCCAGTTGCGACTCGACTGGTTTGGCATCGCGGAGAGCATTAAATGTTGTTCTTCTTGCTGCTGGGCATCGGCATGTGTTCGCACATGAAACATCTTGTGGGCTTGCTGCCTCGGGCACTGTGGGAACCCAGCTGCATTTTAACATGATAGATAACTGCATGAAACAAAATGAAACAACGACAAGGGTCTCTTACACGACGTGGCATTCTCTTCAACTCTTCCTTCCGAAGCCCCCAAGCCTACAAGATCGCTGACCAAAGAACTGGTGCAGCTCTCTTAGGCTGCTGCCGAGTAGTTGCTCTCGAGCCGCAAGAGCCCATGGCCTCTTCCGAGGATTCCAGGCTTTGACTTTGCACGGGCTCACAGGGCTTAGAATTAAAGGTTCGATGGCAGTAGTCGGGGAGGATGCTTTTGAGGCTTTGCAGGATGTCATTCTTGTGCTTAGTGGTCCACTGAAGTGGCCCTGAGGCATGGTCGAAGTGTTCCAAGTCGTGCTGCTCTGGCGCTTGTAAGACAATCGAAGGTATTGAGATGGCACTCTTCTCTACAAGATAGAGTTACCAAGAAGTTTGCTCGAAACCCGAAAGTGGCGGGAAAGAAACATACCGAAAACACCTCCCTAAACCGCAACACCTGAGCTTGATGCATCCATCCATTCATGACCTAAACCCCGTAACGAAATCTCTTGAATCTAAACCCGAAGCCTATCGAAACCCGGCTTAACCCTACGATCCAAACCCCAATCAACCCAAAACTCTCCCGAGCCGCCGACGGTAGGACAGGGCCAAGGCATCGGAAGCTTCTGGACACTCGAGTAGCTCTGAGCCCAGCCTCAGTGTCGGTGAAACAGCACTCGGCTCGGCTTGGGGTTAAGCGCTGTTGCGGTTCGAAACATGCTGGTACTTGCAGAAGGTTCCGATGCATGAAGGGTCTAATTTAGGGATGAGGAGGAGTGGTGCTCCCAGCTTAGCCGCCGCAGCCAGCCATTCATTGAATCCAAAATGCCCAAACCATACTCAGCAGTTGCAAATCCTTCGCATCCTCGGTGCCCGGACTGCATGCGGAGCCTCGGAACAAGGACAATGACAACAAAGAACCGAATGAACTTCGCCCACAATGCGACGTGCCAAAACTCGAGTCTTGGCACTGACACAAACCCTGACTGGCATGGACGTCATCATCCTCTGACACTGCCCCGCGCCCCCAGAGCAAAGAAACGGCACAAGACAGATACCAACAGAAATCCACGCACCTAACTCAGGAATCGCAAGATAAATACGCCATCAGCAAAGATCTCTTGGACGCAATACCAGCACCAGCCACTTCTTTGCCTTCCGAAAAAAACATTGCCTTCCGAGGCGGCGCTAGCATCTGGTGTAATAGCATTAAAAAAACCCAAGGAGCCTCCTGTAGAACGTCACCGTGCGGCGGCACGGCTCCAGCGAGATGCAAGAGCTTGGCTGAAGACCGTCAGTAAGGCCTCTTGCGGATGTTCTTTCAGGAAGACGGGTTGACGATGCAAATGAACAAGAAGATCATGATGCTGACGATGGTGGCCATGATGTTGGAGAGGCCCCAGACAGGGATGGCAATGATTGCCAAAATGATGCCATGATGCCGGTGAGGATGATGATGACCAAATGACAAAGACGATGCTATTAGCGACGATGATCATGAGGACAATGCAGGTTTTGAGGGCAATATTGCTGATGATGACGATGACAGCCGTTGTGGTGCAAGTATGAAGGTATCCGGTTGATACTTTGATAGAAATGCGGCAAGCCTGCTACTGAACCTGGCTATCTTCGAGCGGCTCTGTAGCTTCTCAGTCTGCATTGTGTGTACAACATCACGAGTCCAGAATCTCGGCTTATGGGTCAGGATCTCCTCTCGCTTCCTCATCCAACAAGTGTTGGCAAAACTGCCCTGAATAGCGTTAGTTTGAAGCCATGTGAAGTCACACTTGCCCCTGTCGTGTGCTTGCTACAACGGGATAGTAGCCGGTGCTGCATAACCGCTCCCTGTTGGCCTTTGCAATGCGCCTTTCTATCATCTTAGTCTTGGGACAGCTTGAAGCACAGTCTCCTGTACAACCTCACGCTCCTGTGGTTTTCTTCCGACAGTTTCGCCCCACTAGCTTGCATTTGGTGCTCGTTGTTCATGTCTTGCTTGCAATGCGTCTTGTCCTGTCTGCTAGTGCCTCCACGTCTGACTGGTCCGGCAACGTCTACCTGCCTGAAACACCCGTACCCTGCCCTACAAGCCTTCTGCACCAGCCTGTTTCCAGCACTTCTGCTCTTAGAAGGGCTCGGAGACACACGATGCAGTCTGAATTCGTCTCCAGCTTGGTGTAAAGCCCATATTTGAGGATTTTTGCCAAGCTCTTTGCAGCAGATGCCGCTACAAATCCTACATGCGTCGTACCAACTCCAATGCTTACATACTGCGCGCACTCGCTGTCTTGCTTGCTGGTTGCCTCCGTTTGCGTTCGTTGTTGCTTCTGTTGTTGATACTGGTGGCCGCGGTGCCTGTACTGAAACATGATGAAACCATTCGCATGGCTCTGGCTGTCTCTGGCCTGCCGTCGGTCGTGCAGCCATCTGCATCATCAGATCCCAAACCGGCCACCTCGATGAGGTGTCCATAGCAAGACAGGGCAGTTTGACTTTTTGCAACCATGATTCCGTATGGATCATGTGGTGTTGAAGGTCCGGGGCTGAAGGAAGCGAACGTTGTTGCGAATTAGGCTGCAGCATTTGGAGTAGCATCTGGGGCTTATGTTGCTGGGCTTCTCGTCTCGAGTTGTTTGCTCTACAGCTTGGGAGTTTAAGTTGTGGGATCCGGACTGTCAAGGCTTCGGCTTCAGTGCTGAAGGAGTTTCTCGCCTAAGCCTTCAAGCTTTGCTGGCAGGAATGGTGTTCGCACGACATGCCAGGAAGAACACACCCGACGAGTGACACAAACTCCGGAAAACCTGCTGAGACCGTGATGCCTATGCCTCGAGTCCTACACCCCATGCCCCTACTGTACTTCCCCTAAGGCTTAACGCCCTCGAGAGCTCCGGAACCCCAGCATAGCCTACAGCCGACAAATCTCCTTGAGTCCCCAAGCCCAAAGGGGCCCTGGAGCCCCAAAAAAGCGTAAGTCTTGAGGCCCTCAGAGGCCCCAAAGCCCCACTGAGCCCCTTGGCCGGGTGTAGGTGGCTTGCAAAAAGCTCAGATCCTTCAGAGAATCCTGAGCTCGCCTAACGGCCTCGGCTCGGTTCAGGAATCGGATTTAGAGAAGCTCGGGGTTTAAGGCAGCAGGGCTTCGCATGGGGTTGGGTTGGATGTGGTTTTAAGGTCTGGGATGTACAGGTTCAGGGCTTGGGGGTCCAAAATTGCTCGGTTCAGCGTCAACTGCACCTTGAGACCAAGACGGACAACATGCCCCGGCGCCTATCGCGTGACAAACCCTGCCCACTTCTGAAATTGAATGGGAACACACCAAACACCGAAACCCGGCGCCCTTACACCCGAAGCCCCTGAAATCGAAAACTATGAAGCTCCAAGACTCCTAACCTAAGCACCTAAACCCCAAACTAAGCCCCAAAGCCTTGAGGATTCCGCGCTTCGCAGCTCCAGGGCCGTGGCAAACATGTGAGGCAATTGCCCGATCCAGGCAGCAGCCAAGGAGGCCGTGGCCTCTGCCTTTGGAGTCAAGAGCCAAGGTTAAACGTCTAGGTATTTCAGGGGTTCGGACTTCGGAGTTTGGGTGTTTTAAGAGTTTGGGGGTTCGGGGTTTAGGTGCTCTTTTTTGCAGTCGAAGCTCTGAGGGTTGAGACCACTGAGTGAATTCGAGTTTTTAATCATGACTCATGTATTCTACTCTGGTTTGGGCGTCAGAACCTTCTCACCCCTTTGAGAAGCCAATGCCTAAATCCTACAATTGATAATGCTAAGAAGAAGAAGGGCAACAACGACATCTGGTTGACTCTGCATGTTTCTCAAAGTGAGCTACCTTCAGGTCGCCTCATCACGCCTATGCCATGCCTCGGCGCAAGCCACAGTCTGCTGGGAGAAATACGCGTGCGTGGCCACGGCCTCGTCCAACTGTGTACGCAATGCTTAAGTTGAATCAACAATTCCTAAGAGGGACTAGTTAGTGTAGGTAAACCTGGGGGTTGCTATTGTCACAGGATGCGGCCCGTGGTGCCGCGTGGAGCCACGGAGACAGGACTATGGTGCAGCACAAGAGTGCGCAGGTGCGCAAGACAGCTCGGTGAAGCATATCTACACAGAAATTGCACAGGTTTTGTAAAAGCTTGGGCCAACCCCCTGCATCCGGAGCATCAAGCCAGAGGCACGTGAGCAGGAAGTTTTCCCCTGCCTAGCGACTATCTCTTGTTTAGGGAAAGCCTCCACTTCGAGGAATTCATGCCTCAAGCCATTCATGCCAAAACCTCAAAGGCCCTAACCAAGTTCTTCAAAGGCCCTGAACCCCTACACTCTTGAAGCCATGTCCGAAAATCTCCAAGACTCTCCGATTGATGCTCTGCCGCACTCTAAGGCCCCGAACCAGCCGCCGCGTTGGCCTTCGCTGGCTAAGCGCCTCCTTGCCGACTTCAGGCATCTGGGCTTCAGTCTTCTGCACTCCGCATGTCTTTGCTGGAGGAAACTCTAGGAGCCTGCCACGTTTTGCTGTGGGCTAGGGCTCTCGGGGTCTGTTTGGGGAACTCTTTCGGGTTTCCGGCTTCAGCTTGATGGGCTCTTCCAAATTGCAAAGCCTACAGCTCCTACAGAATTTGAGAGATGCATGTATATGGAACCCTGTACGGATCCCAAAACGAGGTGCCCCAAATCGTAAGGCAAAAACTTGTGGAGTCCGGAACTCCCAACCCTGTTTCGGGATGCCGAAGGCCGGAAACCAGAAACCCTAAAGCCCCCCAAGGCCGTAAGGCCCTCGACCTTCGAGATGAAACACCAAAGCCCCAAAGCGCACACCTCTGCAGCTTGCCAAAGCGGCTGGAGGACACGTGTTGCCTGGGTTGCAAACACGATTTCGCACTTTCCATGCCGCTGTCAAATCTTCCTTGAAGTTTGGCTCCGCAGCAGATCTGCAGTTTGGACACGCAAGTCGTCTGTGGAAGCGCTGTGTTTGATCAGGCGGGCTGGTGCCCGAGGGCGGGGGCATGCGAGGGTTGGCGAGGGCTTCTAGCTTCGCTGTGGACCTCTGGGAAGTATGGGCTTGTAGGGAGCATTACAGGCTGAGGAACTTAGCGACTCGACTGCATAAGTCAGATCTCGAGTTCAACCCGAACGCAGAAAAGGCGAATGCCTCAAAAACCTGTCCACTTCTTTAAATCTAAACTCTAGGGCGAGAGTGGACTGGGAACACAACAGCTTGATCTTGTTGAGACCTCCCAAGAGCGTAGGTCGTAGGTAGTGGGCGACGTGAGGGACTTCACGAGTCCTCCCAAAACCCTAAATGCAACCGTCATATCCACTTTCAATCACCTTTGGCGTTTCCTTTCCGAAGCCCTGAAGCCTAGAAGAGCGCCTGCTCGTCGGAGGCACGACGGACGAAGCCCGTGTACGGCGAGGCCGGCGCCAGAGGCTCCTGCACAGGGAACAGAGTTGTTCAAAACTCGTTTCTGGGATATGGGGTGTCGCTTTGCTGGGAATCTTTTAAGGTCTCGCGGATGAATCGGCTGCTAAATGAATACCAGGAAGGCCAAGGCTTGCGGCCCTCGAGAACCGTTGCGGATGGAGACGCACCTTGACCGTACGACTTCCCACTCAGTTTTCCAGCCTGGGTCTTACGAGGGTCTTCTCCTACCATCGTCGATCAGCGGCGCAGTGGAAAGGTGCGCCGGGTGCAACAAGCGCAGTAGCTGAAGAATTGCTGTCGTGGCGGTGTCTTGGTGGACCCACAACTCACCACTAGCAAAGGTGAATCGGATGAGGGTAGACAGGCAGGCTTTCCAACAGTTCCACATGTCCAGCACGTTCTGCTCGGAGCGGACGCGAAGTCAAGCTGCAGGCTTCGGGCTGCGATCTCGATCACTCCACCATCAGTGATCCATCACACCCGAGTATGTGCCGCTGTAGCCTTGGATCAGCCAACATGAAACCTAAAAAACATCTCACCGATCGGAGAACCAAACCCACTTACGCCGACCTTCAGGTACATAAAGCTTAAGCCCCAAACCTTCTTAGTATAGGCCTTTTCCAAAAATCTCTATGTCCGCGCAGCTGTGATCTCTCAGTTGGCGGTCGAACGTGCGCATGTCGCACAGGACCTCTTGGAGAGCCTTCCAGCACAGTAAACCCCGAGCCTAAGTCCGCGGCAAAGTTTTCTGAGGGTCTAGGATTTCTGACTTCAAGGCTTGAAAGGGCTTATGGGTTTAGGGTAAAGTTTAGAGTTCAAGCATCCAATGGCCTTGGGCTCTTCCACCCAGGCCACTGACAGCGAGTTGACACAGTGCCTCTCCGGTGTGTCGCCTGCCAGTGACCCCAACGGTGGGGATGAGACGAGGAACTGAAAACCAGAGCGTGGCAAAGAAACTCACCGATGATGCTGCTGATGAGGAGGAGTACGAGGTCACTTAGAGAAGAACCCAATCCAGGCTGCTAAATGCAGGGAGGTCCCTCCACGACCGCCGCAAAAAAAAAAAGCCCTGGAATCTCATATACATACATACATACATACATACATACATACATACATACATACATACATACATACAGATATATATATATATATAGAGAGAGAGAGAGAAAGAGAAAGAGAGACACAGACAGAGAGAGAGAGAGAGAGACCCAACACTCCGAACAGTTGAAGTCATAATCTCATCACCAAAAGTGCAACAACTAACAAAAACACGTGCAAGGCCTCCGAGGGAGGCGCCATCCATGAACACATGGCCGAGGTGGCCCCCGCAGCTGCGGCAAAGGATCTCACGGCCACCAGCTGACCAGTCAACCTGATCAATGTACAAGCTGAGCATCACAGAAAGATGCTGATGCTTGTGTGTCGCGTCCGTATTGCCCGCCTGGGCCACAACGGACGCAAGCCCTTCTGCGTCCTCGCGTGGCAAGGTCGCACCCAATTGATCACAATCCGCAGCCAAGGAACGCAACCCAACGGACGTGCAGAGTGCCTGCAGCGTGTAGCACTTCGAGAAAGCTGGCCATCCACAATGTGCCTGTGCCGGGTGAGCTATTTGTTTTCGAAGGTATTGAATATCGGGGATGACTTTCTACTACTTTGTAGCTTTGTAGCATACCACTGCTTCTTTCGGCCGTGTTGTTACAGCTTCGGGAATGCGGGTGCGGCGGGGCCTTGATCTTCGACTCCGGGGAGTACAAAGGCGTGCTGCAGCCGGCGCATTGAAAGTGGCCTGTCTTCGGGAAGAAGGCGTTGTACTCGCCGGAACCCCGCGGTTCCGTGACCTGCACAATTTGGAACTGCAAGCTTCAAGCTTGGGTTAGTCAGTCTGTGTCACGTGTACAGCTCGGATTGCTTCACAGGCAGCTGGGATGGCACAAATGGCTAAACTAAGAGTTTCGGGCTTCGAGGCTCGGGATGATCCTTGCTAGTGCGCCGAGCTGAGCAGAACAGAGAATCTCAATTACCAGTCGAACAGTGTGCTTTTGGCCTGGCTCCTGCACATTGCCTTCAGATGGCCATGAGACAACAACTAATTAAGGGGCATAACTATAGGGTAACAGCACCGTGCTCAAACATGCAAGCACTAACAGTTCCGTGGGCGAAGGACAACAAACATGTTCTCAACCGAAACCCAAGCCGCAAATTCTGCGCGCAGTTCACCCGCACTCCAAAAGCCCCGCCATGTGAAAATTTGCCTGACACATGAAGCATGAGTGGAAGCAGAACCAACGAACCTCCGAATAAACAAACTGCCAAACTCTGCGAGAAGCCGATAACTCTAGGAATAACAGCAAGTATACGAACTGTAATCGTGAACATAGTATTACGCATACTTCCTCGCGTTCGTTCCACGGCCCGGGCCCCTTCTGGCCTTCTCCCGGAGGACTTCGAAGACCTCCGGAAGGAGCTCGGCCTTCCACTCCTCCTCGTCGCGTGGCTTCCTCGGTTTCTGGATTTCTTTGGGCATTTGGGCAATTGGAGGTCTGGGACCTTGGCCTTCCTTGGCCTTTCCACGTACAGCACTGGGTGAACCATCTCTTTAGTTTTCAGATGTCGCAACTGTCAGACAGCTCCATCCTTCTCTCTTAGTTCGTAGTCGTGAAACTCACAATGCCAGCGAGCACCTCATCCCAATCTGCAAGCCAAGTCTGCTCGGAAAACTCTCGAATCGACAACACACACAGAAACGATTAACCGTTCAGTTTCCAACTCCAGAAATTGAGCCCTGAACCTCCGTATTCAATCCTACACCCCGAGACGTACAAACTCGAGAAAGAGCTGCCGCTCAGCTTCAGCGGCCACGGCGCTTCGTCGACCCTGCAAAGTAAAGTCTTGCCCGATGCCAAACTTACCTGGACGTGTTACGCGGCTTGAAAAGGTCGTTCTTGTTCTTCAAGGACCCGCTACGACCAGCTGCGAGATTCCAAGAATATCCAAGAACTACGTGCGTAAGACATGTCGCGACTCTAATCTGGCTTGTACCCAATGGCTCCCAATCAGTATGCATGTGCTTCGCATCTACTGCAAAGTTCTACAGCATCAAGAACGCCGGGGACGTCAGAGGTTCGGCATCAAGCTTCGTACGATGCCACATCGGGTCAAATTGACGCCATCGCATGCGCACAAGCCAAACACCAATAAAATATGGTCCGAGTGTCGCTCACCCAGCCTTCCGGAGGGCCTTCTCCCGAATATCTTGGATTGGGACGAATTGGGACAGGAGGTTGCGGTGATTGGGGCCTCAGACTGGGTTCAGACGGATTTGTAGGTTGAGAAGCGCTAGACAAGGTTTTCGGCTTTAGCATGCTGCGGCTCTATGCGTCTCTCCCGAAGCTGTGGGAAAAAGCAACAAAGCCTTATCTTTGTCTCATGAGAGCATATACTGTTAACCTTCAAACAACTGTTTCTTTGTACTTCCGGAAAGTTGCAGGAAATTTCATGTTTTCTGCGGAAAACTATGGAAAAACTTCAGAAACCTACAGAAAACTACAGAAAACTAGAAAAGGCTAGGCAAAAACTACGAGAAAAACTGTGACAGACTAACTATTTCCGTGGATGGGGCTTGTTTTGGAAGGCTTCGCAGAAGCTCGGTGTTTCCATGACCATTACAAGCGGATTTGATTTTTCAACGCGTGCATATCCTTGCTACGAAAGGCTAGGAAAGCCAGAAAAGGCTGCCACGAAATCGAAAAACCTTAAACTGCTGGAAAATGTTAAAAACACTGTGCTAGACAAAGCTAGAACAACTATACAAAACTAGATTATTCTTGGCTTTGAGTCGAGACGGTTTGCAAAACTTCTCCGTCATGGAACTGCTTAGTTCTCTTAGTCGTGCTCCACAACCAAACAGGTACCTCGTCAAAGCTTACAGTTTCCGTTTTGTAGCTTTTACATAGATCTAGTCGACGTGCACAAGAAAGGCGAAACCCAACCAAAGCAGCGGCATGGTACTATCAATGTGGTACACATGTGAGGTTCGTGTCTTTTAATGGATGAAAGGCTGTTTCCCTGGCCCTTACGCAAAACATGCTGAGTTGTTGCTCTGGCCAAGCTTGAACAAATTCAATCCACACATTGCCCCCTCCTTGACAACGATGCAATGGTCTCTTTTTATGAACTGTTCCCTCAAACAATCCACATGATAATGCGAAATTCGCTAGCTGGTGCTAACAAGCCAGGTTCCCTGCTTTCTTTTCACAAGGCCATCGCTCGTCAGTAGATGAGCGAACGACAAGGGTAAATCGTTTTCTCAAACCTGGCTATGTCAGTTGGCCACGAATGGATAACGAACACGAGCTGGAACATGCCCTACACAATCAAGTAGTCCTGGCAATGCAGTCGTGATATGCGAGTCCTACTGCTGTCGCAATATGAAAGCTCAAGATGTAATGGCATAGCATAGCGGCTGAGCCGCTTTGCTTGTCTGAGGCTTTGGGCTCGTCAAACTTGAGGCTCAGGCCGCTGAATGAAAGGAAGCTGTTCCAGTATCGAAAGAATTGTCTCACGCCACACTTCCCTACGAACCGTCAACCTGCAAACAACAACAACAACCCCCCTTGCTTTGGATCCGAGAAACTTCCGAAAACGGAGTCTGCTTGTGCGCAACTCCAACTCCTCCGGGCACCATTTCGATCCCGACAAAAGATTTGCGATCTGAGCATTAAGGGGACCTTGGGTCTGTGCTGCGAGCTCCGCAGCCGAGCACATGAAACATAGACTAGCCGAGCGAGGCAGCCAAGGTGCAAGTTGCAAAGGTGACCAAACACCCGCTTTCAGGATGCCGTCGCAAGCCCACCCAAGGCATGCTGATATGCGTTATCACGATATTCCTCTCAAGAAGCAATTGGGAACCTTTGCCACACGGGTCGGACTGGCTCTACTCGCTGTACCGGCTTTCAAGAGAACCCTACAACTACCCTCAAGCCTGAGCCCCTGAACCATTAAAGCCTTCCCTAAACCTAACGCATAACAGCCCTCTACCCTGAACCCTCAGAAGAGCTTCCCAAAAAGGCCCTCTAAAGGCCAACCAAAGCATCCGCAAGGGGTCCTCGACCAGAGAGCCGCTGGCCAAGCGCTCAGCGCAGGGCGAACTCTTCAGGTCCCGACCCTCGCGGACGAGGATCCTTGGCTTCAGGGTCTTATGGCGGCTTCCTTTTTGTGGGTTTATGTGGGGATTTTGAGGGATTCCTTCAGCTCTGCAGGGCTTCGCCGAAAGCTTCAAGGTCCGGGTGCAAGATATGGACTGGGTGATGATGACATCGCGGCACGGCTGGCACAGGGGCGGCATTCCCAAATTGCCGCAACGCGGTTGCATTGTGATTACTGCTGCCAACTGCTGCAAAGTTCGAATATGCGACCCAGTACTGGTAGCAGCCACAGTTGGACTTGCCACTGAATGGAATATCAGGGTTTCCTCGCTTGGTTGTAAGGGGCAGACATGTACACAAACAGGCAGACAGAAATGGATACCGACGAAGATACAGTAATGTTGCAAGATGTGCCGGTTCTCGCGCTTTCCTTCCTAAGCTAACAATACCACATGCAGCAATGCAGCAGCCCTGCCAACGAATCCCAAAGCAGTGGTTGCAGTTTCTTTCCACACCCCTCCCTCCCTCCCAAGACTTGAAATCTGGCAGACTGCTACTTTTGGGGATGTCGACTCGGCCCAGGCTCCCTCCCTGCTCGGCTCCGGCCACCACCTTCCAGAGCTGTCTCATGGCCCACGCATGGCCCACGATGGCCCACGCCGAGGCTTCCAGGCTTTTACAACCACGCTTGAGAGCTGCTGCTCTTGGCTCCGTGCTTGCAAGTCACATGGGCGCGTGGCACCGCCGATGCAGGAGCTTATGGAGCCAGGAGCCGGAGCGGCTAAGATATGGAGGTCGTAGTACTCCCTTGTGTATGCCACTTGCTTAACTCGGGAAACATAAGCTTCGAAGAGCCGTTCCTGCTCGGTAGCGGACCTCAGCCCTCGTAGCCCACCTCTCTACCCCTGTTCATCCACCTAGCAACCGCCTAAAGGGACGAAGCGACGTCAACCTCGCGTTAGCACTATGCTCGGGTCAGAGCACTGAGCCAAGAGTACCCTGGCTTGGACACCAAGTGACACCAAGCCCTCAAGGGTGCAGGATCCGCATTTCCACAAGCTCCACACCTGAACTGCCACCAAAGAACCCTCAGAGCACCCGACCCCTGTCCTGCACTCCACACCAAGGCGATGCAAGATTCGCGCCCTGCACTTTCATCACCATAGGCGGAGATCCTGTGTGGCGTTGTGCTGTCGTAGCTGGGATGATTCCTAAGCCAGAAGCAATGTCGACTGCATGCCATTGGAGTCGTCGCTAGTTGTGGTTCCGTGGTGGTCCGGGTGGTGCCGGCAGTGACGACGGTGCTGAAAATGGTTATGATGAAACTGAAAAAGAGGATGATGATACCAGTGCTGCTGCTGCTGCTGCTGCTGCTGCTGCATAAGGCTCCTGGTGTTGCAACGTAATTTAGCTAACTGACAGCTGGGCAGCACCTGGAATGTGTGGGTAAATGCGGCCAAGTAGGACGGCGAGGGGCTCTGGAAACGTCTGGGCAGTGTTTGCATACGCTAGGATCAGATTGCTGGTCTCAAGACTGCTGCGAGCTTTCGGGCAGTCATCTTCTCGTCTTGGCACCGCAGCATCTAAACTCCAAACAGCGCCCGATTGAACCGAAGACAAGAGGAGAGCAGAGCAAGTAGGGAGAACACTTGTGCCGGCCTTCTGTCATGAAGCACCAGAGATGTCCGAACTGCTTCGCCTCCCTTGGCAATTCTCAGTGCTGAAAGCTGCGAAGAATGCCCTAGCTTGTGACTTGGGGCCGGGACTACGGGACTACAACCGACCAGGCTTCAGGCCGCCTCTGTAACGCCGCTCTACATAGTAACATAGTCTGTTGGAGGCCTCTGGCACCGCTAGATGTGCGAAAGCATGTGTTCACCCAACTCTCCAAGGACGACAAGCCTGAAACAACCCAAGCCAACCCCGCTGGAAGCAGTGGGCCGACTGGGGCATTTGTGGCAGCAGCCTGTCGTCTTCCCAAAATCCTGCAACCCCGAACCCCTACCTGTTCTGTTGAACCCTAACCTCTGAGACCATGAGACCGACATTCAACTTCCGGAGAGCCGAGGGTCCATTCGCTCTGTATGCCCGGCGGTCCGCGAAGAGCGGGACACGCCTGTTCATCTTCGTTGAGCACCGAGCTTTCCGTTTCTGCAGGACTTCTGTTCGGTGTCTTGTGTGAGTCTTGACGGGCTTGCCCCACGCCTGTTCAGAAATTCCTGAGCGAATGCCATGTGCATCTCAAGTTTCGACGGACCTCGTTTTCTAAACGTCTTTAGCAGACACCATCCGAAATTCTCAGATTAGCCTGTTACTGTCCGTAGGTGTAGTCCTGGTGTAGCACCAGCCACGAGATCCAAAGCTTTGCGCGAAACAGCGCAACGAGCACCAAAAGAAACATGCAAGTGCTTGCATTCAAGACATCTTTCATCCCTATACAAGCCCTAAAGGACCTCCCAGAATCCGATAGGCCCAGGGCCAATGATCCTCACTGAACAGTAAGCAGTCTCTGAGTCAACCCCGGAATCCGTCGACCGGGCCTCACGGGTCTGCCGACTGTATGCACCCAGCGCCTCAGAAAGCCATGCGACAGCCATGTGGAGTGACAGAGCACAGCAACTACCATCACGTACGTCAACTCGCGTGCTGAAAAAACGATCCCCCCCCGTCCCAGGTCTGGGGGTTTGCCTGCTGTGGCTTCAAGCTGTCGAGGCCTCGTACACCCGGATCGGGTTCAACTTGCAAACTGGGTGGCCAACAGCCACAGTGCTGTGGACGAAGGGAGATTTCAGGACGTTGACCTCGACAGCCGCTGAAGGGCAACCGGGGAGGAACGCTGAGGAAGAGCGCCCATGCTCAGCCCTGCTGCCACTTCGATCGCTGTGGTGATGATGGCGATTCTACTGATGCTGACGAAGATAATGAAGAATTAGATAAAGATGAGCATGATGATGATGATGATCAAGATCACCATGCAGATCCATGACTATGATGATGATGGTGATGACGAGGACGATGGCGACGGCCATGACGGTGAAGAGGACGTGATCATGGCGATGACCCTGATCTTGCATCATCATGATGACGGTGATGCCAAAGGCTGTGCTACTGCAGCTGACGATGACCCTGTTGACACTATACAACATGGAACGAGGCACCTGACCCTCCCGTTTCCACGCTGGCTTTGACCAAGCGCGCCACGAAGGGCAAGGCCATGAAGTCGTTGAAACCTGCCAAACCCATTAACAACAACAGGACTGTTGCTTTGTTACCGGCAGAACTGTCTGTACACTTGACTTCACCTCTCCGTGTCATATAACCACAACAGAAAGTCTGCATCAAGATCATCAACCTGTTTTCGTACTAGCCCAACATATGCTTGGATACTCGCAAATGCATTGCGAGGGGGGCCTTGATGTACCATCCAGTCTTGACTCGCCCGCAGAAACATATGGTGATGTGCACCAGAGACGTAGACCGACTGGGCAACAGCACTCGATGATCAGCGTGTGAAAAGCTGTTATTGCTTTTCTGAGCACGTTTGTTCTTGTTGCTGTGATGTCAGCATTCTATCCGGGGAGAATGCCTTGGACTTGTACCGGGAATGATGTGGTTACAAAACTTCTTTTCTCACTGGTCTTGCTACACATGCAACTTTATGCTCATAGAACAGTCTTCGTGGCAGCTCTAGTAGTACTTGACATTTCGGTGGTGCTAGCAGCAGCGAAGGAAGGAGCAGCAGGAGCAGTAGCAGTGGCAGTGGCGGTAGCGGTAGAAGTAGCAGTAGCAGTAGCAGTAGTTGTAGCAGCAGCAGTAGTACTAGTAGTGGCATTAGTAGAAATAGAAGTAAAAGATGGTTAAAGTACAAGTAGAAGTAGAAGTAGGAGTAGAAGTAGAAGCAGAAGTAGATGTAGAAGCAGAAGTAGAAGTAGAAGCAGTAGTAGTAATAATAATAATCATCATAGTACGAATACAAATAATAGTAGCAGTAGCAGTAGCATGAGCAGTAGTAGTAGCAAGAGTAGCAGCAGCAGTAGCAGTCGGAATTGTGGCAGTGTCGTAGCAATAGTAGCCACAGCACTAGCAGCAGTAGCAGCAGCAGCAGTAGTTGTGATAGTAGGAGTGGGAGGAGGGGTAGGACCAGAAGTAGGAGCAGGAAAAGGGGCCGGAGGAGGAGACGCAGCATGACGGTGCAGCATGTCCATCATCTCTGCCATGAAGGATGTGGATCCATTTATCAAGCCTTGGGGTCCAGGATTCATGCTTGGGCGCTGCCCAGATTTCAATGCGCGCTTCACCACTACCACAATTGGAAACTTTCTCCCAGCCAGGTGCATGACCATCAGGCGAACCGCCAGAAGCCTGAGCCCACAGTGCAGGTGCTGTTCTTGAAGGACCATGTGCAAGCCTAGACCCCAACCAGGTTTGAGTGTTTCAGGTTAGACGAGGGCTGTTGGTGCACGATGATGCCACCACGTAACAGTTTGCCATGCATGGGGCTGAAAGACTCAGCTGACAAGGCCTCGGATCTTGGATGGAGCATAATCGCTGTTTCGAGCCTGCTGAGAACCGGAAGCGAGTGAACTGCAAATCTCACACCTCAAACCCTAAATCCTACCCCTTTCATGCGCAGCCCTGCTGGGTCAGGGCCCCGAGCCCGAGGAAGCAGCCATCCAAACGAACGTCCTGGGCACGCAAACATATCAGCTTTAAGTTGGGGGGTCAGGACTTGAACATCTGTTTCGAAGGTTGGCATCCGGGCCCACGTGTTCAGTCTTGCAGCCGCTGCAATTGGGGCAATGCCCGTGCAGAAAACCTTCGGGTCTCCAGATCCCTTGCGTATCGCCTACATGCAACTTGCCTCAAGTTCCGGTTGGCACTAAGTCGGTCATCAAATTGACAAGGGTGGTCGTCGTTGCACAGGGATCCGCCTCGACGAGATCACTACTGAAGAACCCGTACATCACACATGGACCTCTTGCGAGTGAAAGTTGGATCCAAGGATGCCGAACCAACTCGCGATCACTGCAGTTGCTTCTTCACCTTTGAAGCGTAAAACGGAATCCATTGCGGATCCCATGCAAATCGCCTAGAGAGAACATCATACTCGAGCGACTAATCAAATTGACAACAAACTAAGCATCATGAGATGTCATGAGCCTGTACACCTTAACGACAACGACTAATACCATCCACAAGTCCGCCAACAGCACCTGTAAGGCTTCCTCAGACCCCCATGCTTCCAGTCGAGCTGCCCTGCCCTTGTCCGCCTCGAAATGTTCCTGCAACTGAACCTGCATTTCGTGTTTCGGCTGCAGCATTTAGTGCTCGGGACACAGGCTTGGGGCAGAAGCATCGCGATCCACCCTCTTGCCATGAGACCCGGACAGTTCTCAACCTGGCTCCGCCGATCCCGAAAGACTCAAGCTGCTTGCCCTGAAACCACAAGGCACAAAGCTTCACCCTGAAGCATCCAGGCAATCCCGAGATCCCCAGGCCTAGGTCAAACCCAAGTTCCAAAGCATCCACTCCAAGAAGCTTTTGGAACCATCCCACAAAATTGGCTGCAGCATCTCTGGGGCCCCATGCCGCTGTGATCATCACCTAGAGTCTAGAGCTTGCTTTGCATGTTTCTCGGTTGGGATGGCGCGGCGCCTCGTCAGTGCTTGAAACACATGCCGAGGTTCCCGGCTTTCCACGAAAGCTTTCAAACTCGGGTCTACCCCTCCTCTGGAGTTTCAGATTCAGCCCCAGCCTTTGAACCCTCACGCATCATCCCTCAATACCACAGATCTTCTTCCGCAGCCGTTCTATTGGCAACACTTCAACACGGTGCTTCTGTTCCTGAGTCTATCCTCGGGCATGTGATTGGGTCTGTGTGTCTGTTTGTGCATGTAGTTATTCTGCTGCAGAACCCTGCCTACATCCCAGAACCTGAGCCACTGCGTTCCATCAAACCTTTCATGTGGCCGACAACCAACATGCAAAAGCCGGACTTCATGTTGCTGACTCTGGCGTTGGCATACGGCTAGATGCAGACGACGGTCCAGTGCAAAACGTGTTTGACAAAATCCATGGCTGCCGGTGATGGTGGTGGTGGTGATGATGATGATGACAGTATAGTTTAGCATAGTATAATATCGTAAAAGCATCGCACAGTCTAGGATCGTATCGCATCGAGAGTATGGTACAGCATAGCATAGTATACTATGGCGGTAGTGGTGAGGCGGTGCTTGAAAGGTTGATGACGACCATGGTGCCATGGTTATGGTGATGACTGCAAACCGAGCTGGGCCACCGAGGAGTGCGAGAAGTTCGCGGCCACCCCGCGCAAGGCGGCAAGGAGGCTCGGCCAGTCCACCGGATCCTGGAAGCTCCGGAAGCTTACGGGGCTTCCAGGATCCGGTTGCACACAGGGCCTTCTTTGGATGGTTCAGGGGCTCGTGGAATTACGACTTTGGGGCTGCCGGTGTCGGGCAAAGGCAGTTGTTGTAGATCTCTCGCCACATGCTGTAAGCAACGTAAAAGCTTTGGCCGTTAACCTCTTCCTTTCTGCTTGCTTGAGGCTACAAGCACAAGATTGATTCTTGAACTCTGTGTCAACGTGCACCACGGCTTTGATTGAGTGCGCCGTCTTCGTGTAGGACTGAAGAATGCATTCGCACAAGGACTGAAAAGAATGGTACATGAGCCGGAAATGTCCTCGGCTTGTGTATTGAACATCTTCTGAGCATTCTGGCTCCGACAACTCTCAGTTCATCTGCGATCACCTACTGTGCTGGTAAAGCTTGAGCAGGGCGAGGTCTAAACATGGGACGGCATCCAAGTATTGTACTCAGAACAGCCAGCTGAGCTCCAATAAATCAGCCACAAGCTTCAGCCACGCAACCTTTCAAAACACAGTGAGACCAAGCATGAGCTTTCAATCTGACTATGTGGTATTTCCGGGGCTGGGTTTGGCGTGCTCTTCGTAGCGCCACCAAGTCCTCTGTGAACTCACAGGATAGTGGCCCACCATGTTGCAAGAGCACCTGCAACAAGGCACGCGTTGTCTAGAGTCTTCGAATGCTGTGAGACTGCCGTAGTGGTTCTTGTTGTCGATCTGTATTGCTTCAAAAATAATTCACGGCTGCTGTCCATGTCGCCAAAAACTTTATAAAGTCCTTGTCCCAAACACCTCCAGCCATGCGATCTATGCCAATCCACAAAACCAGGAGCCCCCATGCAAAGCTGTAACGTCCAGAACCCCGCGCCTGCCGCTCTACGAGATCTTCGTCCCTGCCATGCAAAGATTTCAAGCGGTCGGATACCTTCGTTCTGGTGGAATGGAGGCTTTCGCAGCTGTCACGCTTGTCAGAGCAGGTTCCACAGTCCAGGATGGTCCTGGATGCCCGAGACACCCCAAGATGTCTGTGAGTCGATGGCCTGCTTAAAAGTCAGGCGATAGACTCTTTCAGAGTCCTTGGCATCTCCAGGCCCCTGGGTAAAAAGGTTGCACAGCACTCCTGTCACTGCAACAAGCCCTGTAACCTCCAACGCCAGTGACGTTGTATAGGGACTGGGACTCAACAGCACTACATGCTGACGCTGCACTCGAAAGCTGGCACCCCCAACTGCTTGCATCATGAGGTGAGATGCTGCTGGCTCAGAGACCAAGAGCCGTTCCGTAGTCCCGAGTCCTAGATGCCGAAAAGACACGAGTGACTAGGATCTCTATAACTCCAAGGCATACATAGGCAGCTTCCTCAACCCCGAAGCTCGTCGACGCACGATCTCTCGGAAAGGCCTGTCGATCTCTGGCGAGCCCCAGCATAGGACCTCGATTCCAAAGCGGTTTCTCGGTCCGGACTGGACGCATAACTGCAGGGGAAACTGCCTGGGACGATCGGGAATAAACTTCAGTAATATTCTAGTGTGATGGATCAAACAGCTTCCGGTCATGCATGCTTAAGTAAAGAAAGATGGTGGAAGGAAGCTTGGCAGATGTTCAGAACTCCATAGACGTGATGCTTTGTTTCGGCCTCAAACATGGAGCAGCATGACTTCAAGCTCGCTGCATGAATAGCTGGCCATACAATGCCGGGTTTATATAGCAAGATAGAGCAAGATCCTGCACAAAGAATGCTCCTGCACAAAGAATGCTCCCCTGAGACGAGACACAGCCAGTGCAACAATCCGAGACACACAAGCCTTGTGAGTGCACAAGCTTCCAAAAATTTCACAAGCAAGCTCCGCACTTGTGTTTCCTCGCATCTGTGGAACGGAACTCCACTTCCCTTTCGGAAGTGATTTGTCGGACAAAGGTCACCCTACACCTCACTCGCGGAAGTGTGCAACACGTGCAACCAGAACAGTGATGTCGTCGGGCTTGCCACCCTTGTGACCTTGGCCGATACACTTAGGTCCTGCTGCCCTGCGTACGTATGCGCTTAAAAGCTGAAAGGCGTCACTGTCTAAATCCTGAGCTCACAGATCCAATACAGGACAAGACCTGCGGGATTCATCCTGTGCGGTTTGGCGGTTTCTGTTTACAGGAGATCGAGGCTTTTGGCCCTTTCAAGTCGCCCCGCCTCAACATTCAAACTTGACCTCTGTTGCGAGGCGGCAGGGCACAAGTGATTTTCAGTTCTCGCCCAAGGCTCGCTTAGCTGTGGATCTGGGGTGTTCCGTTTGAGGAGTTCATGCTTACGGTGCAGCAAGCAATCCGACAAAATCGAGAGCCAGAGAACGGAGCTGTAGGCTATACCTCTTAGAGCTTTCCCGGACTCATCCCTCAGCCCAGCATTGGCTCTCTGGGCCTTCTCTAATGCCGGTCGGGCGGCGAATGCCGTGCTGCGCTGCCGCGCGGCCGAAAGGCGTCCTTCACGTAGAGTTAGCGTCTTTCAGATTTCCATAAGTTAGCCGCTTGGAGGCTCTGCAGCGTGGCGACGACAGCGAAGACCCCCCGACCCTGAAGACATTGAGGCTTGCCCAGAGTGGATCCAAACTGCCAGCAACGGAAGGTGAAAACGACCCCGAAGGAGCACAAAGAGCTGTAGCAAGAACACAACTCGAGAACCAGACTCAGACCAGCCAGAGCAGCAAGAAGAATAAGAAACGCAGCAAGAATGGCGATGATCCACCAGTATTGCCAAGAGGCTCATTTAGCGACTGGGAGGCCGCATAGGCCACGCGCACAAGGCGGTCCGCAATCTCCGCGGCCGGTGCCGAGGCCATTGAAAGCACAACCTTGAGGAACCCACCCCTATGGAGGAAACCTGGGAGTTGAAAAGGCCGTATCAGGCTTCAGGAAGGGATCTGCTTGATTTAGGAAACTCAGGATGATGGTTCGGGACTGGTGAGCTTAAAGTTCGTGCCAAGCACACTGACCGCTTGCTCCTTCCAGACATTGTCGAAGAAGCCATCGGTGGCCAAGATCAACACCTTGGGTGTCCAATATGTCCGGGGGGTTGAACAAAGAAAACGTGTCCGCAGTCCGATGGCACCTTCAGGATCCGAGGCTTGTAGGCTTGACCAACCCAGGCCCGAAACCCTCGCGCCTCGCGTCCTGACTAGCCGACTAGCCACGGCCCAGTAAGCGAGGAAGCTCAGGTTCTCTGCACACGCAAAGACTTCAAGAACAGCAAGTAAACCTGGAGGCCTGGAGGTCCAGTCCGAGGCGCATCTCCTGGCCTCACATCGGTGGCGTATTTGTCGCTGCTGGCGGGCAGATCCCCCTGGCTGCTCATGGCAGAGCCCCCGGAACGCCGCGGGGGCACGCAGACGAGCTGATACGGACCTCGGCCACAACTGAGCTGAGCATTAACGAGCCACACCTCCAGAAGGATGTCCCTAGAGACAGCGCTCCTGGGCATCTGACAGTTGAAATAGTGCTGCTGCTCCTTCGTCTCCAAGCAGACATGTCCGTTTGGTTGGACCACCAGAGCCCCGCTGTCTCCGAGGTTAGCCACCTCCAACTCCCCAGCGCTGCAATCCAGCGAGGCGATGCAGGCCGTGCTGCTTCCCACGATCTGCCTGTCAGCCCAGGCGTGTGAGTGACTCCGAAAACGTGCAGGGTCGGGTTGAGGAGCAAGCCCGTTGAAAGCCGTAAACCGCAAACCCTGCAAACCCTGCAAACCCTGGATCCAAATCGGAAAGCCAACAAAGTCATTAAACTCCCGCTTCTTGACTCTGGCCGTGGTTTGGGATTCCGCGCAGCTGACTCTACGACCCAGGCCCGCTTTGCCAACTTCGATCGCGGCAAATCAATTTCATTAACACACAGCTCTTATCCCACCCTCCGCCTGGCATTCTCCCGTATCGCGGTTTCGAAGCCCTCTGTCAAGATCTCACCAGCATCCAGCGAGCCGTTCATGGCTGCACCTGTTGTTTTTTTGGATGGTGTCCCTGACAGACCCAAAACAAGAAGACCCTCCTTACAGCACAACCCGGTATACGCAGCCCCAAGCGAAAGCCACCAACAACCGACACTAAGCTGAACCCGGCTAGACCGGGGAAAAGGCACCCTCGCAGCGGACCATCAGCTCCCAGGCGAAGAGTGCCGGATTGATGCCGTACCTCTTTGATTCAGGGCTCAGGATGCTGCATGTACACCGTACACGTTCTTACGGTCACATCCGAGGAGTCTGGCGGTTTCCAAGCTGCGCTTTGGCTCTCGAGGTTCGGGCTTCGAGGTTAGGTCGGTCCGGGGCTGTGTCGAGTCTTGGCCTGGTTGGTCTAGCTGTGACGAGGGTTCCTCAGCCTGTACATGCTGCCCCGACAATGCTGAGGACACCCTTAGGTTGATGGTTGATGTTCCTGCTGACCTGTGCTGGAAGACCACTTCGTCGAAGGCCCGCATAAAAAATGCAGTTCAACCACACATCCAAACGCATACCCGAAAACGGCAAGCCCAATCCCATGATCTCAAAACAGAACGAACTGGAACATGGCAACTTTGTTTGACCAAGGCACCTCGCCCAGCTGCTAACTCCATCGGCAACGCCCACCGTCAGAGTCTGGTTGGCACCAGCCAAGAAGAAGGCATCATCGCCGCAGTCCTTAAGAGGCGTATTCACTTCCCGGTCGTGCTGTGAGTTGGGGCTTCTCTGAGAACCTTCGTCATGAGCCGATGAGGTCTCATGGCTATGCTTCTCAGTGCGTGACCTCCCTTGAACTGTGGACTGTCGTTGTACTTAGGCTTGACATGCACCGGGCACACAAGCTGCTGTGACACGGAGTGAGAGATACTCTGGAAACTCGAACAGACATGGCTACACCTAAGCATGTCCGAAGCCCAGTTGCTGCTGTTCGGATTCACGGCCTACACTTGGCCTGGTTGGCGATCCGAAAACGTCTCGACTTGTGAGTCCGGACCCAAGGCCCAAGATAGATAACCTCCTTGAAATTTGAATGAAAATCTTCAAGCCGGCAGATTTGCATGCGACACTTTGAAGCCCGTGCAACTCTGTCATCCCGCCACCGCCCTCCACCCTTTCCGAACATCGGCCCAGCTTCGTGGCGCACCGGCGGCTGCAGGAGCCTTGGCGGGGTCTTGGACACGCAGCGGGCGGCGGAATCCAGAGTAAAGCGCTGGCGGCTGTTCCCGGTGGCCGGGTGCGACCACTCCTTCGACGAATGAAAAAGATAAGATTGAAAGGAAAGAACACAAGCCGATTTTGAAGAGCCAGAGCACGGATTGACAGCACAATCCTAAAATTTCAACTCGGGAATGGGTTTCGGGTGGGAGGGGCCTTGAAATTCTTGGGATTCTTCGCAGAATCATGGTTTCAGGTTGCAGCGAAGGGAAGGGAGCTCCTGGCCCTGCAAGCGTAGCTCGCACTGACACGGTCTCACGTTCCTCTCTGCCTGTCTCCAGCGTACGCCTGCCAGACTAGCGGGGATCGCAAGTCGGCAAAGGGTCGGCAGCTGCATGTTGGGAGTTACACTAGCACGAGGCTCCGAACTTTTCAGCTTCTTCTTCTGACAAAATTTCTATTCAAAACAACTACTTGCCTTGCACGCCTGTTTGCAAATTAACGTTGTTCAAATGTTTGCCGCTTGCGGACTCCACGTACGGGCAACGTGCTTGAGCAGAAACGCTGCCCGGATGCCTTTGAAGACAAAGGAGTTCAAACGACCTGGTGGAAGACCTGTCCGGTCGGGGCAGCCAACTGTCGTACTTCCGGCAAACTGGCTGCTCTTCGCCACTGGCCAACTCTCTTTGTGGAAACGCTATGACCGAAGACCTCCAACCCAACCACAAGCCAGAATCTCCAGTACCCGCAAGCGCTTTCTGGAGCACAAATGAAAGCACCTGGCAATTCTCCAGCCACAGCAATCCTTCGTACATCTGCGGAATTTGAGAGACCGGAATCCTGAATGCTTCGCATTTCTGACTTGGCTTGCTTTCTGAGCTTAACACGTGAATCTTGAACCGGGTGACCTCCAAGTCCCTCAAATATAAATCCTGAACCCAAAGAGCCGCGTGTCAACTCGAAAACTCACTGAGGGGCCGAGCAGTCGCAAGGATCCACGGCAACGCACAGGACATGGCAGGACGTCCCTACCACGCCCAATGTATCTCGCTGGGGGACTGAAGTTTGTGAGCGTTGAAAGCTGAGAATGTGTCTATGTTTCGTACTTGGCTTGGCTCACTGCCTTGGGAGCCAAGGCTGGTGTTTGCTGTGTATGGGATTGTCGCTCATGCTTGTTGACAGCTGCCAAGTGGGTCTGAAAGACTGAAAGTAGAAACAAACAGAATTCACATTACAATAGCTTGGTATGTCATGTCATGCTGCGACTACTCGCCGTACTCCATCCAAAAAACCAACGGGTTAAAGCAAAATCCTTCTACTTAAAGATGAGTACACCACCCCAGCAGCAGACGACCATCCCCTTGCACGGCGGTCTCTTTAATATCACAAGATTTACATGTGTGACATGTTCATGATGGAAAGAAACCAAGAAAATCACATCAAGATGCTGCTGGACTAGCCCATCTAGGCCCTGCGTGGCCTCGACCATGCAAGTTGAAGTCCCGCGTCTGAAACTCAGCATTTCAATTTCTTGGAAGCTAAAGCTACGAGGGGTCATCCACATCACGACATGGAGTTGCACATGTTCTGATGTAAATAATGGCGGCAAACGATACGTCTTTTTCTTCCGCGGTCGCACGCAGTGGCTCCAGACAACAGTTGCCGCAGGAAGCACGAAACGTCCGCAGCGGAGCTGCGCCAGCGACGGCTTGCAGCACAACATGCGACCTGGCGTTTCAACCCTGATTCGGAAGCATGACACTTCCTCTCTGCTCCCGGCTTGCTGTGGGATTCAAAACGTGACAGGCGCGTGATTTTTGCTGTTGCCAGCTACATGCGGCAACAGCACAGACCAAGCACCAAGGCTGCATCGTGTATTAGGACTTCTGCATGGGCTTTCGAAGTTTGCTGCACTGACCTCGCACGATCACTTTATAGGGGGTTACAGGGTTCCTTTATGGAAAGGGATCTAAAAGGGTTCCTTTAAGGGTTCCCACGTTGGCATTTGCAGGGCCATCCGAGACGCTTGCGAGCGTGGGGGACCCAAGTGAATCCACGTGGATCTCCCCGAAAGCAGACAAAGAAGGTCCACCAGTAGATCTTGATGATTTTCAGGCAGTGTAAGGCCTGGCGCATCGAAGCTGGAGGCGCAGCAGCGGAGTGAAAAGTCTCAGCAACATCCGCCGTGGCAACAGCCAATCCTTGCAAGTACAGCACTCCGGTCATGCATGGCGCCGGCATGTATGCCGAATCGCAGTACGCTTGGAACGTGCTGGTCGAGACGGCGGCTGGTCGTCTGTCAACGAATCCTAGTCGTCGATCAACGAATCCTTACGAGCTACATTAGAGGACCAATCGCCCTGTTTCCAAGAACAAGCTTCTGGTTGGCACACGGATGAGCTGACGGTTCTTCGGCACACACACACACACAGACACCAAGCATACTGACCCACTGGTCACAACAGCTCTGCAGAAGTGGCAACTGCGACCTGTCTGTCGCCAAAGGCTGCAAGCCAAAAAACCTTCGGCACAGCTCACAGCGCTTGTTCTTGCACAAAAGCGATAGTCAATGTCTGCTGCGCCTGCCCAGTGGGGCACTTATATGCGGCCTGGTAAAGATTCGCTGATCTCTATGAAGGCTTGGGAAGGGCAGCAGAAGGCTCGGGTCCATCGTGCCACCAGGCATAATCCAACCTTTGCAATGAGAGGAAGGCTTCCAAAAGTTGCTTGACCTCGCTAAAGGTGATCTCATTGTTTCCGTGCCGAGACCCCGCGGCAAAGAAGCGCTAAAGTGCGGCGGTGTGGCGGAAAACCAGCACTTTCAGGCTCCCGACAAGCATCAACCTGCTGTGTTTGGGCCTCGCCTCATCATTGGCTAACCCCCGGACAACACACATGAATGGTGCTGGCTCTTGCAAACTATTATTTGGGGGGAGTTACGGTCCCAGTTTAAAATGCCCGGCAGGTTGTTCGTGTGTGAGCGCCAACAGGGGCTCTGGAACCATCAGGCAAGTCTCAGGAACTGTTAGAGCCCTGTTCAGAAACAGCCCCAAACCGTCCGGAACCGTTCCGAAGCATCCGAACGATAGATTTGTGCCGATCTGGGCTTCAAAGTTCGAAGGGCCGAATAGGTCTCGAGATTAATGCCCCGATTCTTGAGGCCAGAAAACGCAAGGACAGACACCCTCTATTAAGCAGACCACCAGCGATTCAAGGCCCTCCCGCATACCTTCTGAGTACCCTTTCGCGGCGGCAGCAGGAACCACGTCTGCTTATAAAGGGCCTCATTCTGAAGCGATGTGACTGTCTGTACGAAAAGGCCATGTGGCAAATCTTGTTAGACCGGCACTACCACAGGACTTCGCGCGGCCCCTCCAGCACGGTGCCCTTCCATGCAGCACAATGATTCGCTGTGACTTCAGACTAGGCCGTTCTCGAATGAAAATAGGCTTTAAGTGTGGCATCGTTTACCATTTTTTGGCCTTGCGTCGTCATTGGCCGGACAACACAAATGCACGGAGCTAGCTCTTGCAGACTGTTTCTTTGGGGGGTAACGGTTCCAATTTTTAGAGGAACCACGCACTAATCGGCCAGTGTTTACTAGGGGATTGACCCCTTCTGCGTAACCTTTCGCGGCGACAGCGGCAACCACGTCTGCGAATGACCGGCCTCACTCTGAAGCGATGTGTCTGTCTGTACAAAAAGGTCCACATGTAGCAAATCTTTTTGAATCTTTGGACGTCTTTGCACGATAGTCATGGACCAGCACTACCACAGGACCTGGTGCAGCCTCTCCAGAACGGCGCCGTTCCGTGCAGCACAATGAGTCGCTGCGGTTTCAGACTATGCCACTCTCGGCTGAAAATGGGTTTTAAGTGTAGCATCGTTTATTGTGACGAGCAGGAGCCAAAGAAAATGACGTCTGCCCCTTCTGCGTAACCTTTCGCGGCGACAGCGGCAACCACGTCTGCGAATGACCGGCCTCACTCTGAAGCGATGTGTCTGTCTGTACAAAAAGGTCCACATGTAGCAAATCTTTTTGAATCTTTGGACGTCTTTGCACGATAGTCATGGACCAGCACTACCACAGGACCTGGTGCAGCCTCTCCAGAACGGCGCCGTTCCGTGCAGCACACTGATTCCCTGCGATTTCAGACTATGCCACTCTCGGCTGAAAATGGGTTTTAAGTGTAGCATCGTTTATTGTGACGAGCAGGAGCCAAAGAACATGACGTCTGCAGCGCCTCCGAGTGCCATCTCTCCGGAGGCTTAATAGCACCAGGAGAGCCTCTTGAAAGAGCTGATGGAGCTTGATGTCCCCTGCTACCTTGTGCGCAAGAAGTTGGGAGCGTTTGTGGTTAGGGTCAGGGTCGACTACAAAAGTCTGAATAAAGACATCGTCTTTCCTGAGTCCCCGAGCTGAAGTTTGCACTGGCCACCAACGACAGGTCCTGTCTATATGCACGATCCCTTTTGTCTGCCGCGCGAGAGGTGTCGCGGCTACCGGGGCCACCTCCTGACATTGGCCCTTCGTGGAAGGTCGATCCCTTTGCCGGCGAAGTTGCAACTGTTTGTGGTTGCAGCTGTGCCTGTGCGTGGTCTGGGGCAAAGCCGGAAAAGCATCAAGCTTCCAATGTATCGCCCCCACTTCCGAGCCGAAAACGACACGGCGGGACTTTCACCTTCTGCGGACCAGACTCATGATCTCTTTTGCCGAAAGACTATGGAGTCAGCCGCCCACGAATCCTATGCGACCAGCATGGATTGACTTTGCCATGCTGGTAGTCACCAGAGTTGCCAGACAAGACGCTGGGTGATCCGTGGCCACGCGCCGACATGCTATCCGGAACATGTCTCAGATGCAGCGCCCTGGGCACGGGCATCGCATTTACTCTAGATGCTGGCTTTGCCAGCTGTTGCTTGCTGCGACAAAGGCGGAGAGACTGCTGGCAGGACGGGAGATTGCTGGATTGCCTCCCGCATACCTTCTGCTTAACCTTTCGCGGCGACAGGAACCACTAACTCTGAAGCGACGTGCATGTCTGCCCAGAAAGGTCCACATGTAGCAAATCTTGAATTTTTGGACGATAGTCATGGACCAGCACTACCACAGGACCTGGTGCAGCCTCTCCAGAACGGCGCCGTTCCGTGCAGCACACTGATTCCCTGCGATTTCAGACTATGCCACTCTCGGCTGAAAATGGGTTTTAAGTGTAGCATCGTTTATTGTGACGAGCAGGAGCCAAAGAACATGACGTCTGCAGCGCCTCCGAGTGCCATCTCTCCGGAGGCTTAATAGCACCAGGAGAGCCTCTTGAAAGAGCTGATGGAGTTTGATGTCCCCTGCTACCTTGTGCGCAAGAAGTTGGGAGCGTTTGTGGTTAGGGTCAGGGTCGACTACAAAAGTCTGAATAAAGACATCGTCTTTCCTGAGTCCCCGAGCTGAAGTTTGCACTGGCCACCAACGACAGGTCCTGTCTATATGCACGATCCCTTTTGTCTGCCGCGCGAGAGGTGTCGCGGCTACCGGGGCCACCTCCTGACATTGGCCCTTCGTGGAAGGTCGATCCCTTTGCCGGCGAAGTTGCAACTGTTTGACACGAGACTGGCTTGGTTGCAGCTGTGCCTGTGCGTGGTCTGGGGCAAAGCCGGAAAAGCATCAAGCTTCCAATGTATCGCCCCCACTTCCGAGCCGAAAACGACACGGCGGGACTTTCACCTTCTGCGGACCAGACTCATGATCTCTTTTGCCGAAAGACTATGGAGTCAGCCGCCCACGAATCCTATGCGACCAGCATGGATTGACTTTGCCATGCTGGTAGTCACCAGAGTTGCCAGACAAGACGCTGGGTGATCCGTGGCCACGCGCCGACATGCTATCCGGAACATGTCTCAGATGCAGCGCCCTGGGCACGGGCATCGCATTTACTCTAGATGCTGGCTTTGCCAGCTGTTGCTTGCTGCGACAAAGGCGGAGAGACTGCTGGCAGGACGGGAGATTGCTGGATTGCAATCA